ATCTACATATTAAAGATTAATTGTAATAAGACGTTGAATCATTCTCATAATTTAAAATTTAGACTTATCTGTCTAACTCGTAAAAAACTCGACGTTCCTTCGATGTTAGTTCTTAAAATAAGAACATTAAAATTCTGTAACGATCCGAGGTTCCAATTGCAGTAATTATATCGATTATTATTGCGAAGTGTATCTATATTAAATTAACAAGACTATTTGAATTTATATATTTGCTATATTAACTCTATGGCGGAATGCCAATTTGCTATTTTCATTAAGTACTAAAATATATTAAGCATTTTTCTTACTTTTTTAATTAAATATTGAAATTGAAGAGATTAGAGCAAAAAGATTAGCACTTAGTTCGAGGTTGTTAAACTAATATTATTCTAGACAATCGCGGTCACCAGACGTTCTTAGAAATTAGGTCACAGATTAAATCAGATGATCGGAAATTGAAAAGCTGCGCGAATTAGATTTTCACGCTTGTCAATCAGTGAACGATTAAATAGACGTAAACGTTAGCGTCTATGAGTTGCATTTTTAAGTGTTATATATATATATATATATATATATATATATATATAGATCTGATTAATGTGATAGTAAACATTCATAAAGAATTTGATAGTTTAGACTTCGTACCTTAATCTAATTACAAATAAGGAAAGTAAAAAAACAAATAAAGAAACAAATATATAATACTACTACTTAGAAGTTAGTGAATTTGTTAAGTTTATAAAATAATACTTATAATATAATAGAAAAACTGAGGTACTGAATAATTGTATTTATTACCTCCTTAAGTTTTCTTACCTACCATATGTGAGTCAGATCGGTCCTCGATCATGAATTTAACATATTTTTCCATATAAATTGTTTACTTACAAGATACAAAGAACAATAGCCATAACATGTTCGTCGATTAGAATTAATTAGAGTCGCATTAAAATTATTTTGTCGGCACTCCAACTGTTCAAAGAGACCAATTACATTTTAATTATAATTTGATAAGTGACAGTTATATTAACTGCTAATCGTTCGAAAGTGTTTGCACACATGCGGAAAGTTAAGCCAACCAATGTACACTATCATTAAAACAAATCAATAGGAATAGAAAACTGCTTTCTTAATGCTGTAAATTACTCTGTGTTGACACATGTGACCGTCGACTCATAATATGTAATTTAACTTCAATCAGGTGGTGTTTCCTACATTTTCTTTATTTAATGAACATAATAACGTTTTTTACATAAAAGGTTTATCTGGCTTTGGTTAACATCGTTAATTAGCTAAACAAAAAATATTACTTAGTACTTACGCAAATCAACAATTTAATTATCCGCCCGCGTTCAGATGACCATAAACCAAATTTTTAGGTTTTACATATTAGTATACTATGATAGGTATGATGTAAGAGTATATGATATATACTCTTACAAAGCAGTTTTTGTATTTTTTCTCAGAAATGAGATATTTTCCGGCGGTAAAAAGTATCCTATTTGTTGACCCGGATAACAAAATAGCTATCATCATACCAAATTTCATCAAAATCTGTCCAGTGGTTTTCTCGTGATGCGGTAACAGACAGACAGATACACAGATGAAAATTCTAAAAACTATAGATTCGGACTCTGTATCGATAATAATGACTATATTAATTAGTTTTTCCAAATCCGTTTTTTCCCGTGGGAATAAAGGAATCACAAAGGAAAAAGAAGCCTATGCCACTCTCCAGCCCTCTACCTATCTCAACATAAAAAAACATGCCAATCTGTCACTCGGTTTCGACATAAAAGAAGGACAAACAAACAAACACACTTTCACATTTATAACATTAGTATGGATTTAAACATTAAAACGACAACCTAAAATATAATACGCCGGCTAACATTGAACTTGCGACATAAATAGGTTGTCTAAAATAAGGTCGCGAATATGTAGAGTCATGACCTCGTCATTCAATTGTGCTGTCCACCTTCATTCATGCACTCGTAACATCTGACAGTTTACGCCCAGCTTTTAAGGAGTTTGAAAATTTATATCTAGTGTTTAAGTATTAATCTAAGCAGAATCTGTACATTGAATATTTTTTGTAAAATTTTATTGAAATAGACCTTATTATTGATACAGAGGCCAAATCTATAGTTTTTAGAATTTTTGTCTGTCTGTCTGTCTGTTCGTTACCGCATCACGGAAAAACCACTAAAGGGATTTTGATGAAATTTGGTATGGTGATAGCTGGTTATCCGGGTCAACATATAGGATACTTTTTACCGCGGGAAAATATCTCATTTCTGAGAAAAAATACAAAAACTGCAATGTAAAAGTATACTAATATGTAAAACCGAAGAATTTGGTTTTTCTCATTTGAACGCGGGCGGAGCCGCGGGCAATGCTAGTTTGCTATAAAAAAACACAGAACATCTTTCCTTATAACTGTACATGACAGCGGCACACTATGTACTTTCAACTTTCAAGATAATTTATATTCCGCTCAATTTATTATATCAAGTTACTAGTTTTGCTCGTGTCATTGCACGTGAAAAAAAATCATAATCTATACATATAATAAAATTGTAACTAAGCCGAATCTGTACATTTTAAATATTTTTTGGAAAATCTTATTGAAATAAACATTATTATTTATTAGCGATACAGAGGCCGAATCTATACTTTTTTTGAATTTTTGTCTGTTTGTCTGTCTGTTACCGCATCACGGAAAAACCACTGGAGGGATTTTGATGAATTTTGGTATGATGATAGCTGGTTATCCGGGTCAACATATAGGATAATTGATCTTTTTACCGCGGGAAAATATCTCATTTCTGAGAAAAAAAAACAAAAACTGCATTGTAAGAGTATACTAATATGTAAAACCTAAGAATTTGGTTTTTGGTCATCTAAACGCGGGCGGAGCCGCGGGCAATGCTAGTCTATACATATATCATCAATTGATTCATATTGATTGAGATCAAAACGACATGACTTTTCGGAATGCATGAAGTTATACTTTAGGTATCTAAAAAATGGGACTTGCGATGTTTTGATGTTGAAGAAATATTTATGATTTACGTAGTGTAATATTATTTTTTAATGAAAAAGGTATTAATAGAAAAGATAACTACTGATTTTATTATAAGCGTGCAAGAAAATGGCGGAAAATTATATAACAGGTACACGGTAAATAAGTACAGTTTTAAAATGCCAGGTATATTATACCGAAGCTATAATTATTTCATTATGGTTTTTTGCAGAATAATATGAGAGTTAAGCCATTGTAAATTATGAGTGTTTTATGAGAGTTCTTATAGAATTCAGTTTTTATTACGTAAAGAAAAAAAGTAAGTAGCTTTAATATGATTACTGAAAAAGTTCTTCTTGCATCTCTTAGTTTTTAATAAACATCTGTTGTAAAAGTGGCCTTGTCAATCCCAAGAATAAAACCCAAAAATAGTAAGTTCTGATTTAAATTTACGCATATCGCATATCACATAATATATTTTTCTTAAGTTTATCTTCCGATAAGCAACGGCCTTCTGGAGTCAGGCAGAATAAAAGCTACGTGGAGTACGATCGTTGTTATATTTATTTTATTATACTATCCAAAAAATATAATTTCATAATTATACCGTAAAAATTCCTATAATCATTAGGAATGTGTATTAAACTTATTGTAATTGGTGATGGTGAAAGACCATTAGAAATAATATTTAAAATAAAAACTTTTTAACAAAAAAATAAAAACTGACTTCAAAAAAAGCACTAAAAATTATAAAATAACTGATTAGTAGTTTTCATTTACTATATATACGTAATCAAATATTTTCGAAGTCGGTGTGCTTTGCTTTTTATTGGCTGGCACCGACTTCCAAATTATTAGATAGATAAAATTAATAGACTTTCTATTTCAATAAGATTTTCCAAAAAATATTGAATGTACAGATTTGGCTTAGTTACAATTTTATTATATGTATAGATATAGAGAAGGAGGACAGAATGCTATGCATCAAAAATACATTAAATCAATAAAAAAAAACATTACACACACTACCATGTATTTGACACACACACGCACATATACTTTTTTTTTATAGTTAAAGTCTGTGGTCAAATTGAAAATAGAACCTCAATATCGATCAAACTTAAGGAATTATGGTTGATTTTCAACCACGTGGCGATCATTAGTTATTCTTTAATAGGGATGGATATACAGTCGCTGACCAAATTATAATTATTATCTTAAAACACTTTCAGTTTTCAGTATTTCGTTCAATCATTTGTTATGCTGAACTGTGAAACTTAAAAAAAAACTACCTACTATCACGAAATGTGCATATAAGTAGGTAATATGTAAATCATACTTTGAAAGTTGTGTTGCAACATTGCATGTTTATGAATGTAGATTTTAGTTTTTTTTATTATTTACCTAAATAAATTTAAAAAAATCAAACAAATATAAATCAAACTCTTGATCCATATTACATATTGAAACACCTCGTTGTTACAGTAAAATTAATTTAATTTATATAAGCGACGACACGTTTGGCTCAGTATGTAGTGACCCTACTTGCTGTGCCAGCGGTCGCGGGTTCGAGTCCCGCTGGGGACATTCATTTTGTGATGAGCACGAATGTTTATACTCCAGTCATGGGTGTTTATATTTATAATATGTATGTATTTAAAGTTTATATATGTGTAGTGTATCAACTATCTGGTATCCATAACACAAGCCTCGTAGCTTACCATGGAACTATATGGTGCTGTGTGTAAATGTCCGAACATATTTATTTATTTAAGTCTCTACAGATAAAATTTAGCAAAAGTGTATTTGAATTTCAAAACATTTTCATTTAGGTCAAAGTTGGAGCTGCGCTTGTTTATCTAAAGTCACAGAGGGATACTAAATATTCATTTTAAAATTATGAATAATGTATACTTTTTATTCATAACTATGCTGCATATATTAAATAATAATGAAATTATTTCTCTCGTTTCAGCAACTCTTTTGGGATCTGAATGCGCAGTATCCGAACAGTGTACGCTAAAAGTAGCATATAGCGCCTGCTTGGACGGCGTTTGTCGCTGCTCTGACGGACATTTGCAGTTTAGAAAACATACCTGTCTCTCGCGTAAGTATAACCTAACAAACTAAATAAAGTCCAATTAATCAAATAAAATGTATACATACTAAACTAATATTATAAAGAGTCAGAGTTTGTTTGTTTGAACGCGGCAATCTCAGGAACTACTAAATTAGATAGCCCGTTTATTTAGGGAGGCCGTAGACTATATATTTATCTTCTAATATATAAAATTCTCGTGTCACAGTGTTTGTAACAAAACTTCACCGAAACGACTTGACCGATTCTTATAAAATTTAGTGTGTATGTTCATAGGTCTGAGAATAGGACGTAAACTATTTTTCATACCCCTAAGTGATAAGGGTGGTCCACCCAAAAAAAAAATGATTCGGCATTAAAAACACATACAAACCTAAATTTTCATTAGGGACTACTACGTGTCATAATATATAATCTACCTATTCCATACTAACCCTCATAATAAATTAATAATTTGCTTACTCTATCCTACTAAATTAAAATGTTGATTTAAAGCAAATGCCCCAATGGAAATATCTATTTTTTTTTCATATAAAATTTAATTGTTTACATTTGATATGAATATAGAGTAATTCGTAAACATAAGCGAAGATAGACACGTTATAAGTTATCGTGTTGGTCGCAGATAAGCCACCGTGTAATTCTACAATGCGAGCCGATGAAAGTCCCGATAGCTATAACTAGGTAACCAATTGCCATCGTATAACGATTCCAAATTGGATATTCAAAACCACATTTGCCATTATCAATTTTTATAAGTACTATCAAAATGTGCCAAACCATATAATAATGATTTGGTGAAAATTAAATTTGAATTACCGTATAATTTGTTTTTGTATTCCTTTAATTTGTTATTTCTTTTCAAAAAGATTTTTTTTATATAAACACTACATGTGTATTTCGTATTGTCATTGAACTAATATTGATATTTTAAACACTAGGTACTATGTGTTCTTTGGCATTTCTTGCTCCAATTTTAGCACAAACTATCTCCTTTCTAACCTATAATTTAAAATAAAAATTTAGTACGACAATTTTCTTAATTTATGACTGTGAGAAAAATGGGCAATTGTTCTGTCAAATCAAGGCGGGCGCCTTTTGTGAGCATCGCTTATTGACTATAATACCTTCTGTGTGAGAAATATTTCAAGCTGTCAATTTGTGTAACTTGACATAGATTCATTAAATATTCATTGTAAGAAAAACATTTCCGTGCTAGATTTTCGTATTAAGGAAGGGTACATACATATAATAAAATTCTAACTGAGTCGTATCTGTGCATTAAATATTTTTGAAAAATCTTATTGTAAAGGTCATTATTATCGACACACAGGCCGAATCTATAGTTTTTAGATTTTTTGTCTGTCTGGCTGTCTGTCTCTCTGGGAATCCATCACGAGAAAACCACTGGGCAGATTTTGATTCAATTTGTTACATTGACAGCTGGTTATCCGGGTCAACATATAGGATACTTTTTACTGCGGTAAAATATCTCATCTCTGAGAAATCTATACTAACCGTTAAAACGTAAAGTTATCATATAAAAGTATTAATATAATGTGTATTAATATATAATTTTTAACATAGGAGACCTTTGACGAAAGAAACTATAAAATGAGAGATTTTATATAAATTATACATAGTTATAGTTAGAATTACCGACATAAGTTATAACAGATATTTAAATATTTCAGAAATAAAGGCTCTATTAGTTATTTTTAACATACTCTATTTATAAAGTCAATATGATACATATTATTGAATGAATTATAATTGGAAGTAATTTATGACAATTTAAAAACCAGGTCTGTCATTGCACCGATAAAGTTCGCGTGACGAGAAACGGGCGCATGAAGAGATTACAACAACTATTCAATTCATTTTATGACTTCCATTCTCGTCTATAATGAAGTTAGAATAGTTGACTTATAATAATCTACTTGGTATATACATATATTACGACCATCAAAATTAAAAATATATTCTTATTATTTCACGAAAATTCGAAATTTTTAAATAAATATAAAATAAATAACTCGTCGCTTTGTCTACAGCAGAAGAAACAAATAGCATTGTTCTAATTTACAATTATTTGTAGCAGAATTAATTTAATTTTAATGATTAACTTATGTAATAAAAACATTACTAACTAAATTTATAACAGAACCACCAGAACCCGCGGCTTCGCTCTCAAAAAAACTCTAAAATGGTAGGTTTCATACAAACTTTCATCCGCTATTTTACCCCTTATTTCAAGTAATTCTGATCATAATTTTTTTGGCATTGTACTATAACGTGTTTTCCCGTTGGAAAGAGATAATCTTCAGCGCTAAAAAGTAGCCTATGTCACTCTCCAGCTCTCCAACTATCTCCACACAAAAAATCACGCCAATCCGCTAGGCCGTTTCAACGTGAAAGAAAGACAAACAAACAAACAAACAAACACACTTTCACATTTATAATATTAGTGTGGATTATTGCCAAGTATAATTTATTAGAGCGTTTAGTGGCAAGTCTTTCATTGTCAGCAAATTGCTAACTACGGTTCACAACTTACAACTACTGTACTACACTAATGATTTTCACGGCTGACAATTTTGAAACCGTATCAGTAATTATGTTCTATATACCGCAGGCTAATAAATGTTTATTTTACAGCTGCGCCGCCTGGTCATGTGTGTTACAGTAACGAACATTGTCGATTGTGGGAAAAAGAAAGTCATTGCGAATTTGTCCTACCCAATCTGTTTGGCAGATGCGCCTGTAACGCCTTTTACAAACAAACAGGAGATAAATGCTTAGCTCAAAAACAAACTTCCTATCCTACGGAAGCCACAATACTTGAACAAGATGTGCCAACAATGGATTCATCTAAAAGAACATCAGTGTACAAGGAATTACCAACTAAGTTGCCCAAAAATCCTGAGTCTGAATTTAGTAAGCCGAATTTGTTGGTAGACAAAGATATCCAACCAAGTAATTTGCCCATGTTTACTAGTAAAAATGACGTACTTAGCACACAAGAAGACAGTCCCTTAATGCAAGCTGTCCTGAAAGTACCAACTATAGAGCCAAGTAAGCGACTACCTGTATCGAATAGAAAAGATGGCGAACCGAATGAATTGATTGCAGTAGATGAAATGACTGCCAATTTGCACGCTAACGATCAACCTATTTATAGAGTAGTGACTCAACCGTCTTCTGATAAGAAAACTAATAAGAAAGGATCATCTAAAGAGCAAAACAACAGCAAGTCTAACAAAATAGGACATCAAAAGAAATCTTCTATGAAAGGTAAACAATGATCATGATAATTTCTATATGTTTACCTTTTTATTATTATCTAAGACCCCAATATAAAGCGCACGCACTAATATTTTTAAAGTCAGTTGTAAGCAATGATGACCTTACATGTGAAATTTACTTAAACAACTCAAAAATATCCAATTACCCATTAAATACCTAATATAGCATGCAAATTTATCAAATAGCAACGAGAGCTCTAACAAAACCTTTAAACCGACCATATAGATAAGAACCGTGTCCGCGCGGAGAGCACACCGTACGAGGGGCCAGCTTCGCTGGGCATACCGTGCGCAGCGGACAGCCAGTGCCTCGCGCTGGACCCGCACTCACGCTGCGTCAACAAGCGCTGTGACTGTGCGTATCGGAACAATTCCACATCGGCTTGTTCTGCACGGAATAGGGGATGCCTGCCGGGGACTTTCCAGGTATGTCCATTGAAAAAGAAAAAAAATTAAATAAAACTATCTTTTCGGATTATTTCGCGGATTTATTTTGATTTTTGGTTCCCGACGTTTCGAATGCTTTACAACATCCATGGTCACGGGAGAGACTGATCTAAGAAAGTATTAAGCAAAAAAATATTATTAAAATAGCCTTAGGGTAGCATTTCACTGGTTCCAGATAAACTGAGGTTATGTGACATAGATATAACGCCAACTAACAAATAAAGGTTCCTGATATGAGCTCATCATTTTACCCGAATACAGCGCAAACCAAATGAGGGATATGTATTATACCTGTATGCACATTGCTACGGTAATTTATTTTCATATTTTTATCTATTTTATTCGCTTTTTACAAGTCGAGTTTTTCCTTTTAATCAAATTTACTATTTTACTGTTTGTTTTTTAAATAGGCGTTTACTGAGCAACTGCTTTTATTATCAACTAAGTTATGAAACTTCCGTGTCTGGATTTAGTAAACCGAATTTGACAGTAGCCAAAGGACATCTTTGCAACCAAGCAATTTGCCGGTGTTTATCTACGAATAAATCATTATTTATTCGTATATGTTTAGTCATAAACATGTTTGAACTATTTGTTATTAAACAGGCGACTACTACAATAATCATTTTCATTGTGTAGTTAATGCTAATTTTGTATGTTGAGTTTACACTCTTTAGTTTTTATAAAATAAAATTCGTCTTTAATAAATTAATGACTGTTGGAAGTCAATACCTGGCATACAGGTACGGCTAAGCGTTGATTATTTCGATAATGACATAATATCGATATCTCATCATTTACCTCCGCACCGGTTTTCTAAGAAATTAAGAAAATAAAATTCTATGAAATCTATTGTTAACTGACACGGGGGCGTGTCCGCAGTCGTGGAGGGACTAAGTAGTCTAAAGCAGAGCTTTCTCTAAATTCGCCCAAGACTACATATTTTCTTGGTCAATAGACAATACTAGTATTTATTCAATATAAAATTTCAACCTATTACTCGTAGCTCTGACGGTCACGTGACGTATGAATTAGAATATTGTACGTTGAACCTATCGCATGCCAATAATTCTAAATATTTATTACAAGCATTAGCCACGTTCGGGAAACCAACATAATATTACCTATATAATATGTATGTACGTGCCTGCCTCTACATAATTCGTTGGCTTACTATTACAAGATTCTATGTTAATTTTAATGAAGTTTAGTAATTTTTACATAGAACTTCGTTATTTTGTTATCGTAAAAAAACATAGAACTATGTAAAATTGGATATTTTGTAGTTATAGCGCCGCTATCTAGTGGTTTGTTTTTGCAAAACTGTAGCTAATTACACATAGAACCTTGTAGCATTAATAACTAAATAAGTACTAAAATTTAAACACAGAACCTTGTAATAGTGAGCCAAAGATTATGTGTATACCTCTATAGACGTGGTAGGTAGTGCCAGATATAACAAACCAACATACCTACCTCTGGTAGTCCTATCAATCGAAATATGGATCCTTACTTTAGGCTGTTAATTGTTTAAAGTAAAGTGGATATTTATAATTTTTCAGTGCCGATCAACGGGTACGTGTATCAGTTGGTACTTCGTATGTGATGGCCGCAAAGATTGTCCTGACGGATCCGACGAGAAGTGCCAAGGTACTGGTAAAGGTAACTATGCACGTACCTTTCCATATCTTTCCGCACCACTTATAACTTACTGTCCTTACTCTCTATTAGAATAATCTAACAACTATGCGCAGAAAGATGATAACTAAATTATACACATAATTTACAATAATATACTAAAACTGGTGGTATTTTTTTATTATAGATAAGTACTGTCAAATTAGAAAATATTTAACTGACTTCCATCTAATATGTCGGTATTATTAATCACTTTAACAGTCATTCAAAAATTACTACCTACTATAAAATAGCAGTTCCTAATTTTTATCTTTGGGTGTTGCTATTGGATTACATCAGGCGTAATATTTTTGTTTACTTAACTAGGAAAGAAAAGCCATATTTTAACTCCACACAGCTAAATGCGTGTTTTAGGTAATACATATAAATACCTAATACAATATGTATGTCATAATAAACATTTACAACTATTATAAAATAACTGATTTTTAATCAATAAATTATAATTTTAATATGTAACTGGATTTAAAATAGGAAAAAACAACATAAATATAAATGAACTGCCCAGTTGGGTTTCTTTAACCAGTCCCTTTTAAGTCAATGGTACTGTCAAAGCTTAATGTAGTTTTATATTTATATTTTATAAATATTTTAATAAATGAATGAAAAAGTTCTATCTGGCTAAGCTTATAAGCTATGTATTATAATTAATTGGCACTGAGCTGGCGGCAGATTCTTGCTAGATTTTAATAAGTTACAATATTCTATTCTGCAGAATAATGATTTTAAATCTAACAAAAATACACACGTTTTTGGGTAACTTTGAACTCTCCAAAATGAATCATATAAGAGTAAACTACTAACTTACATCAAAATCCGTTTAGTGGTTTGGTGTGAAAGAGAAACAAACATACATCCTCACAAACTTTCGTGTTTATAATATGAGTAGGATAGGATAGGATTAATATATTATAATGTCTATTTTTACTGCATAGACGGTACCGGCGAGCGTTGTCCAATGCACGCGTTCCGCTGCGGCGGGCCGGGCTCGCCGTGCGTGTCGCGCGCCGCGCGCTGCGACGGCAAGCCGCAGTGCCCCGGTGGAGAGGACGAGCGGAACTGCCGTGCTACTAAGAGAAGAGGGTGAGTATATTTTTCTGAATGTCTAGTGCTACTGGCCCTACTGGTCTATACAGCGTCGTTGTGCGGAGAGATAGAAGGCCATGCCTAAACGTTGAACAAGAAGCTGTAAACTAATGCTTTCGTAAGTTCACTTCCTGCAAGGTTCGGACAACGAATTATGGAGCTATATATATGAATAAAACTCATACCTACGACAGTTGTTGTTAGCGATTAACACTTGACATTTTATTTCAACACCGAACACCACGCAGAATCTCTTTAACCAATAAAAATAAAATCCCTCTAAAAACCATTTCATTTTAAGTTTTATTAGTTCATAATATCGTTTAAGAAACATTCTAATGTTTTTCATCCAACACGTTTTACGTGAATTTTTACTTATGTAACCTCAAAGATTATTTCAGATAGAAGGTAATTAAAAAAAAGAAGCGAAGAAGAAGAGTTAACGAGCATGATATACCCATATTTGCATTTTATTGACGAAGTTGTATAGTTAGAGTAGTTATTATATTATGTTAAAACGATCCTTAGATCGTTTTAACTTTCATTATAAGTAGACAGTTTAATCATCGATTTCAAGTAATGCTGTCATATATTTATCGTAGTCTCCTAGTCCTGCGGCTAAGTTATTTATAAGTAAACTAGCATATCAAATTACCGTAGCACTCCCTAGTGGTATAAACAAGTTCTATTTTCATTGATATCTAACTTCCCAGCTATTAGCTCAAGTTACCGGGTTCAAATAAATTAGTCTCTTATGGACATTTTTATTTTCCATTAAATATACAAAGTGTACAAAAATTAACATATTACATTCACAATTCCGCACTGTAGAAGCCCATTAGTAGGTATTTATGACAATCATCAAAAATCTTTCAAAATTGTAAACTGAGTTTAATAATTCTTATTTAAATGAGTAAATTTATTCAAAAGGTAGGTATAAGTAGTCCCAGTCCCATATAAGTTTCCAAAAATACTAAATAGTAAAATAATTAGGTTGATTGTTTTTAAAGTGATTTTAAAGTCGTTGTACTGTTTTAATTAGGTAAAAAATAATAATTGAAAAATTCAATACATAATATGGAAAAATAAACTATTTTAATTTTTAATATAATGCTTTATATGTCACTTTTTCTATTATTGAGACCATACAAAATAATTAAATGATTATTTATATCGTTGAACAATTTTCCGATATAAAAAGATGATACAAACACATCAATCGGATGAGAACGAATCTTCATCTCAATGTACCTATGTATGCACCATAGGGGGCGCATTGAATGAACTGCAAGAACTAGTATTAAATAAAAAGCATGTAATAGATTCCTCAGACTTAGAGCCACCAAACAGGCTGTGCGCCTATCTGGCTTATATTGACTGGTTAGTGGTTACCGGTCACTAGCATAACAGTACGAACAGTATATTAGCAGTTGATCGCGACACGCATTTCCTCGAACATTTAATGGAGAAAAAAATTCCATTTATATTTTACGTCACATCATGATCACACATGACGAAACTTCTGGACTTTTTTGACGAATGCAGGTACTTAGTAGTTCCATGTTTCGTTACAAGCAACTCTCGCGATTAATAACGTCCATATATTTTAAGATTTAATCATGCATACACATATTTACTAATCTACGATACTAATTCTTCGCCAGAATAATACCAATTAATTGTCAGAAATTTACTACAATAATACATATTTAGTGACGCCATCTGTATTCAGCCCTTTTTTGACGTCCCAATCATCCGTGCAAATCGCGTTGTTTCCTTTGGTTTGACACTGGTACTGCATACATACTAAACAAGCTCCTTATGAGTGACCAAGCTCTTTAAGTTTGGTTTTGCATATTTTAGATTTAATATGGCACCAAAAAAAATTTTTTTTCAATACGATATACGATATTTATGAAGCACTGAAATACTCGTAAATACAATCTGGAAAAAATAGACAATAGTACAAAGATTAATAAAATTAAAATGAGACATCCCATTCAACGAAAAATGGGCCCGCCAATAATTTTGATACCTAATGAGAAACGATTGCTATGTCGGTGGATAAATGCAATGGCTAAAAATGGAATGCCTATTAAAAAGGAGTACTCAATAGTAAAAGTCATAAAAAAGTAGCCCTAAGAATAAATCTTTATTTTAATTTCAAGATTTTTTTATTATTATTGTTAACACAAAATGATACTTGTTGGTTTTAATTAGCACTAAGAATAAACTTTTTTTTAGAATAAATCACTACATAGTATAAAACAAAGTAGCTTTCTCTGTCCCTATATCCCTATGTATGCTTAAATCTTTAAAACTACGCATCGGATTATGATGCGGTTTTTTAATAGATAGAGTGATTCAAGAGGAAGGTTTTAGTATATAATTTGTTAAGTTTTTGTATACATTGGCTAAAATATAACGATATTTGTTGGAGGTGTCGGAAAAAATAAGACGTCTGGGAGCTTTCAACGAAAACGTTGCCTAAACCCTTTGAGATATAACAAAATAATGTATGGTGGAATTATGTATCTTATATAAGTCTACAGAAAAGTCCGCGATGGTATATGTCTATCTCTTAAGGATAACATACTATATCCATTTTAATTTAAAACGTACCTAGGGACGAACCCGATTGAAGCGAGGGTGAGTCGCTAGTAGGATTATAAAAAAAGATCTCCTTTTTTTATTTAATTAGTTTTAAAAATGGTCAACCTCTGGTACAAATCCTATCAACGACTGGGGCCTGCTGGTCAAAGTAGCGTACATACCAGTTTCAGAAATACTATGTAAAATAATAAAAAAAAACTAAAAGGAATTAAGACTACTAGTACAGTGTTGCGTTCTCCATACAATTCTTACAAATAACAGATTATATATAATAATTGTTATGACTGTGTGTTTGTTGGTTTTTTTCACTTTCACTAAGATATAGCTGTAATCCATACAGGTAATAGCTTACGGTCTACTAGCATAATAATATAAAATATACAATACCATTATTTGGTTGCAGTTGCCCGCGACACACATTCCGCTGTGGCTCGGGCGAGTGTCTCCCCGAGTACGAGTTCTGCAACGCGATCATCTCCTGCAAGGACGCGTCTGATGAGCCGCCGCATCTGTGCAATGAACCCTCGAGGTACGTGACGTCGAACTTATTGCTATTACTTATTATTATGAATTTACAGGGTACTTAAAAAGTTCCTCATTTGTTGGAAAAACCGTATATAGCTACAACGCTTAATATATACAGCAATATGTAATAATAGAATAAATAGTAATAATAAAATTGGACTGCGCTTATGTTTCCCACACACATGACACATATATGTGCATTATATACCTAATATAGTATCTCCTGCGCAGATGGCTATGGATATGGCTAGTTTTGCTAAATATGTAGCTAAATTGATCGGTCAGAACACAGAAATGAAGTGCATAAAAATATGATATCACTAATGCTGAAAAGCGACTTCGACTAAAAATATGTTCTTTATCTAAAGCACCTTTTTCTGATGCTACTGCAGATCATAGTCTATCTGTGCACTAATTTTCATCAAAATTCGTCGAGTCATTTCAGCGTGAAAAAGTAATTCCATATATAGGCAGCGCCGTTTGGTAAATTCTACTAACAGTATACAACCTTTATGTTACTCCAGGTAATATATATGTGTAAGTAGATACTGAATTCCGTCCAAATATTTCTGGATATTTTAGTCTAAAGGAATAAAGGACATACACAGACTTGTACTCAGCCCTTTTTAACGTCCCACTGGCACGGGCCTCCCTTCAATACGAGGGGGATCAGGCCATAGTCAACCACGCTGACCAAATGCGGGTTGGCAGATTTCACATGTCTTTCGAAAACTTGTTAGGTTCTCTCAGACATGAAGGTTTCCTCACCGCGTTTTCCTTCACCGTAAGGCAAGTGGTTATCATTTTAGAAATGATTCGCACATGAAAATATCAGAGGTGTGAGACCACTCGGTCACTCGGTTTCCCAAGTGCGCGCGCTACCACTGGGCTACCACAAACATACAAAGTTTGAACTATATCATAATAGTGTGATAATTGCAGATGGCGTGCGGCCGACTTCTGCCCGCTGCGGTGCGGCAACGGGCGCTGCCGCAGCACGGCGGTGGCGTGCTCAGGCCGCGACGGCTGCGGCGACAACAGTGACGAGATCGCCTGCAGCGTCTGCAGTCAGTATCTATACTAATCAAATCAAAACAAAATATACTTTACTAGCTATTTATTCCTCAGTTAACTGGGAACTGATATTATGATTCTTAATTTAAATAAAAAAAAATGTAAAAATTGACGAATTTAAAGTGCTTGTAAAAGGCTATTTGCATAGAGTTTGTATTCAGCTCTTTTTAACGTCCCACTGCTGGGCACGGGCCTCCCTTCAGTACGAGGGGGATCAGGTCATAGTCCACCACGCTGGCCAAGTGCGGGTTGGCGGACTTCACATGTCTTTTGAAAACTTGCTAGGTTTTCTCAGACATGCAGGTTTCCTCACGATGTTTTCCTTCACCGATAAGACAAGTGGTAATCATGTTGGACGTGATTCGCACATAAAAATATCACAGGTGCAAGACCCGGGATTTGAACTCGCTTCACTCGGTTTCCCAAGCGAGCGCGTTACCACTGGGCTACCACTGCCTTAGACTTGCCATAGAGCTTATCTTAATTTAATTCTCGCATTGTTCGGGCCGTTCAGGGTGTGTCCCTAAGCGCATAGAAGTGGGTAAAAAACCTAAAGTTGAGAGAAACATACACAAACATAATTTTCTTTTGATTTATTTTTTCTCTTCACAAGTAACAAGTACAGACAAATATTTTGCAACGGTAGAAGTTGGCTACTACCCGTGTGAAACAGGCTTCTTCATAAAAAGGTGTTTTACTGCTTAGTTCTTAGCGTCTTATATATTATACTAGCGACTCACCTATATGTACCTGTATGTACGTTCATCTGTTCCCCCTAACTTCGAAACTACCTATCATAATTTGACAAATGATATGTCGTTGGAAGCGTCTCGATCGCTGGTTATAAGCTTTGTGACGTCACATTAAATTGAATATGGCGCCCTCTAGAGAACATGAAGTCATATCAATTTGTTATATTAAATCACTGTATATTTACTGCTTAGTCCTTAGCGTCCTATGTATTATACTAGAGACTCACCCTCGCTTCGCTCGGGTTCGTCCCTAGATAGCTTCCCAATACAAACTTTCATCCTCATTTTCACCCCTTTAATTCATACATTTTCGGGATAAAAAGTATCCTATGCTCTTCCCAGGGTCTGAAACTATCTTTACATCAAATTTCATGTAAATCGGCTCAGTAGTTCCAGAGATTACCCCCTACAACGTCACAAACTCACAAACAACACGTTTGGCTTCGTTTGTAGTGACCCTACTTGCTGCGCCAGCGGTCGCGGCATTCGTTTGTGTGAAGAGCACGAATGTTAATACTCCAGTCATGGATGTTTATATTTATAATATGTATGTATTTAAATTTATATATGTATAATGTATCAACTATCTGGTATCCATAACACAAGCCTCCTAACTTACCATGGAACTAGATGGTGTTGTGTGTTAATGTCCTGACATATTTAAAAAAAAAACTCTACCTCTTTATCGTATTGATAATACGATGTAAAACTGGTTCATTCTGGTACATTTGACTCTCACGTGTCAAAATAACTATGAGATCCTTAGCGCAAAGAACTACCCAAGGTCATCATATAGCTAACCGACTAACCGATCACGCAATGGATTTTGCACATTATGCTATTTATGTCCAAATTATGCCCAAATAAAAATAATTCTAATGACAAAACTCTTTTCTCTCTTTTGGGCTTTATTAGTTTTAGTGCCTGGAAATTGTTTTTTTTTTAGTTTTTATTTTTCCATTTTTAAGGTAGACATAATAAAAAAGAAAGTTTTTTAATAACATATTCGACTAAGCCACTTATTTAAAAATAATTTATTGTTGATTTTTTAAGAACTGCTGTCTGCTGGACCGATTTTATAAAATTTAAATGGGACCACCTGGAAAGTATGCCCTTTGAAACAAAAAAAAATGTACAAATCGGTTCAGCCCTCTTCGAGTAATCGGTGAACATACATAAAAAAAAGATTCCCATGAATTGAGAACTTCCACCTTTTTGGAAGTCGGTTAAAAAATAATAATTAATAATATATTGAGTCGGTTGGTATATTTTGCCATTGAGCTGTTAGGCAGCATTTATTTCGAGATCCACCTGTACACACATCACTTACCTACAGACATACGTATCTACGTTTGACACCCAAATACCTGATTTGTCACGATTTTTGTTATGTTGCCTTCATAACAAGCAATATAATTATTTATTTAAGAAAATAACCGTTTTATGTGCTAGTTATACTGTCATGGCATAGAAGCGGCATAATTGCTATAGAAACGACAGCAATGTGGTTATTTTATGGGTCCTTATGCAAAAATTTTACATGTGATGGGTTTTATACAGAAATTTCATGTTTGTAATATATTTCGCTTTTATCTAACCTACATGTGCCTACTTTTATCTCTCCCAGAGCAAATAGTAACAGCAGACGTTACGTTTACACCCTATTTTTTTATTATTACAAATAATACTCTCAGATAATGTATATTATACTAGCAGTACCCGCGGCTTCGCCCGTATCCAAAGTTCCGATCGCTAACAAAATTTACTTTATCACGCGCTGGGCTAATCTGAAGATTACCTGAAAATATCAAAATCTCTCTAGCTGTTTTTTTTTTGGAGTCCATAAGAAACATATATATACACACATCGATTTATATTTTATTTAATCAACAATTGGACCCAGTTATGCAAAAAACAGCCATGTGTGTAAAAGTACCCACAGAGTTATAAGTATTTTATTATAAAAAATAAAATAATTATAAAAAATAAACAATACTTATATAAATATTGTTCAATTTTAAAATAACCAGAAAAGCAAAACATAACCCAAGTGCAACTATCGACAGATAAATGCTTATAACTCTGTTGGTACTTTTACGCACATGTTTTTTTTTTTGCATAACTGGGTTCAATTAAAATTTATTTATTGCTCGGAAAATGGAATCTTTTATGATAATTTAGTGACACACCGACTGCAGCGCCACCTAACGGATCCATTTGTGAATTCAAACTTTGCAGTGGCCCATTGAAATATACACACAAAATTTCATCCAAATCGGTCCAGTCCTTGAGGAGGAGTACGTTAACAAACACACGTTCAAAAGAATTATATATATTAATATAATATTTGCAGGGAAACACCCCCAAATGTTATTGTTTAGGGACATAGCGAAAAGATTTATACTAAAATATCTTTGTTTTTCAGGATGTCCAGCTCCGCCTCAACTACCGTGAATACACAATATGGAACACAGGTGATACCTAAAACCCGTATAGATCTCAACTAACATCGATTAAAGGAAATATACGACAAAAAATTTTAGCTACTAGAAAATTATAGCACTCAAAATTGAGATTAGTATCTTGTTCAGATAGCAGTAGAATATTAAGTTAAAATTATAGTTAAAATTTATAACATTTTCTATATTGAAAAATAATATTAACAATTATCGATAAATAGTAGATATTATTTTATGCAGTATTTAATAATAAAAGACGTAGAGCGAAAAAAAATTGCCACTAAAATAAGACTGAGAAATAATGAAGCGAAATATTTTATCATAATTTATTAGTTACATATTCATATACAGCAGGCACATTGGACTTCATAATACCTACATATTTACCTACCTATTTATTTATATTTACGTAACGAGCACATTAATTACGTGAATACGTGAAGCTAAAATATAATTAAATGTATATACAAATATACAAAACAATTATAATATTATAATTATTGTACAATTTATTTCTTTGACATTGATGAACCAGTCTTGTCACCAGTAGAGGGGAAAAGATAAAGTGTCTTTTTTGAAGTCATATTTTATGATAACTATAAAATGAATCTATACGAGAACATATAATAAAATTGTAACTAAGCCGAATCTGTACATTAAATATTTTTTCGAAAACCTTATTGAAATAGACATTATTATCGATACAGAGGTCGTATCTATAGTTTTTAGAATTTTGTCTGTCTGTCTGTTACCGCATCACTGAAAAACCACTGGACGGATTTTGATGAAATTTGGTATGGTATAATATACAGGATACTTTTTACCACGGGAAAATGTCTCATTTCTGAGAAAAAATACAAAAACTGCAATGTAAGAGAATACGAATATGTAAAACCTAAGAATTTGGTTTTTGGTCATCTGAACGCGGGCGGAGCCGCGGGCAATGCTAATCTAATATACTTTTACTATCCAATTATTTTGTGTTTATTTCAAAGAAAATAATAACAAATTATTATTTGCCTAATAACTTTATGACATTAATGATAACAGTATATATTTAGATTACTCTGACATACATTCAACAAAATTCCCAGTAACTATATATTTAATAGTGTCCTAGTGTAATGCCGACTTGAATAAATGTAACCAAAACTGCCTTCAAACTTATTTCACAATCCCTTTTTTAATTAGAACTTAAGTTTCCTCGACACGTATTTATTACATTTTAATATGACAATAATTAAAGGTTATGGAGCAATTGACCGACTTCAAATATTGCGAAGAACTCAATTTGGGTAAATGTTTAGACTAAAGAATCATATAGACAGAGCGTCATAGAACTAAACGTGAAGTCTAACAATAAAGTTTTTAAATAGTTAATAATGTTTTAAAAGAGTATACAAATGACAATTTGTATACTGAGTGATAAGTAAATAAATGTGAATTAATAAAAATAGCTAACGGATTTTGATGATGATGTTCTCCTAGTCGATTCCGGCCACGGCGGCCAATCTCAATGAGATTAGCCAACTGCGCAGGAGATATTATAGTGCTCAAGTGTACGCGCAGACACAAGTGCACTCTCTATTCCTATCACTCTCATACTCCGGTGGGACGACCACTCGACACGACCGGTGAGAGTTAAGGCGCAGGACCGACGGCTTTACGTGCTCTCCGAGGCACGGGGGTGAAACACCGCCAACTTCCCAACTCCGGGCTGTTACTGAGACTTACTATACAGGAAGACTCAATAACTAAACTTGGCCCGACCCGGGACTCGAACCCAGGACCTCCGGGTGTGCAGCCGTACATGCTAGCCACTACACCACCGAGGCAGTAACGGATTTTATTATATTAAAGAAAAAATAAATAAATAAACAAATAGTTAGATCTCTCTATCAAGGGGAAGAGAACTAATTCTTAAAAAAAACAAAAGAATATATTGTTTTTACCTATTATGTTTATTTTCTTTTTAAAAACTGTAAATTAATTTAAATGAAACCTATAATATATAAAAATTTTTTTTTTCGAGGAAAGTAAACAAACTATAAGGCATATTCGAGATTAGTAGCATGAACAACAAAATCACTGTACTATTTTCCACTTTGACTCCTTTTAGTGGACTCTGTGTACATAATTATTTAGTGTGAGTTTACGACTTGCGTCATATCTCATATATCGGCATATCGCCAAATTTGAGCAGATTGTCCTGATCCTTCTGCAATTAAGACCAATTCCTGTAAGTATAACACAATCACTTCTAAAGTAATTTTGAAGTCGGTACATTTTTTTAGTTGAAAAATAATTATTTGTCATATTAAATCACTGTATATTTACGTAAGAGTTAAGGTTAAGCTATAGATTTATATAAAATGTTTAATTTACATTGAAAAAAAAAACCTATAGGACTATAGAAACTGCCACTGCCATTTCGAAACTAAATTTTTAATTCCTTCAAAGAGAATATTAAAATTGGCATTCAATGAATTAATGTAATAAAGTTATAATTTTTAACATAACATGCTAGCTTTTGCCCTCGACTCCACTGGCGTAATTACGAGTATATATGCGTAAATCGCTACATTTCAAAATTTCATGGCGTCATCCTAAGGATAATGAGATATGCCCGTAGCCTTCCTCAATAAATACTAAATACGATATAGTGTGCAAAAAAATTAGATCTGTTTAATTGTAAATTTGCAAAACAGTATAATTAACTAAACATATTATGTACATACTAGGCAAGTGTATTTGACATCATTTTAAAGTTATAAAATGTTGCTATCTTAATAAAGTGGAGCACAAAAAGTTCACCTTATTCTATAGTTTAGTTCGTCACAATAAGATTATTTTCATATAAGTAATAGGGGAGGAGGGGGCATAGCGGGGCCACGGGGCATAGCGGGGCGAGCCTTATGCAGCTCGAAACGAAAGCTGTGCAAACTATCAAATGGCTCGCTTTGATTGGTCGCTAGTCGGTGCGTGACCTCTATATGCGAGCCACGCCATTTCGGTATGTGTTTGTGTGTTGTAAACAAAAATATCAAAACCAGTGTTTTTCTTAAAAAAAATAGTGAAATTGAACAGCAAACCTTTCTTAAACGTACTTGTGTACTGTGGTGTATTATAGTTTATTATGAATCAGTACTCTTCCGCATTTCTTAATCAACAAGCACAAGGTCATTGAATCAACGGTAAGATGACGTCAGTTTGTGTTTAATTTTGAACGAGCCGGTGGGGCATAGTGGGGTATGGTACCTGGGGCAAAGTGGGGCACCCCACTGTGCCCGTTTTTTATTAGAGAAAAGTGCCCCACTTTGCCCCGTTTTAAAGACTCTTAAGTTGTAATATATTTATTTTTTACGTTTTTAGCCAACATGGTCCTCATATACAAGAGAAAGACTGAACAGCATTCATGGTCTGTGGAAGCTCTGAAACAAGCTGTACACAGTGTTGTGTCCGAAGTAATGGGCTACAGAAAAGCAGCAAATATATGCAAATATACAAAACGTTCCACAAACAACATTAGAACGTTATGTTTCTAAATATCGGGGCAGTCCAGACGACAGCAACTTTGAAAAGAAATTGGGCCATTTTCCAAAGCGTGTTTTCTCCCTCTGCCAATTACATAAAATGATGATGGAAGCACGGTTTCATGGACTGACTTCACGTGACCTGCGCAAACTTGCATTTGAAGTGGCTCAAAAAAATGGAATTCCTCATAAATTTGATTCAGAGAGTGGTTTGGCTGGTATAGATTGGTTAAAAGGATTCCTTAAAAGACATCCAAAAATATTAGCTACAGAAAACCTCAACCAACATCAGCAGCTAGAGCTATGGGTTTCAATAGAGTAGCTGTTGAAAGTTTTTTTCTTAAACTCAAACTAAAACTCTTAAACTTCTTTTTTGTTTTGTTTTAAAGGAGATGTGACTTAATAAGATGATAAATAAATGATGTGAAGTAATGACTTAACTGTACCAAAGTTCTGTATTTCCTTTTTTCAATGTGTAAATTTTATAAAAGAAAGAAACATGTTAAAGTTTTTTGTGTGATCTCTGATTTCTTTAACTTACAAAAATAATAATAAAGAAAAGTTTTTGTAGTGATTTTCTTATGGTAAAGTGTTGTTGTTATTTTTAATTTTTTTAAACTGTCGTTATGTTGCTAAGAAATAAAACTATTTCGTTTGGAAGTTGTGTTTCGTTCCTTATTATGACCACCCCACAATGCCCCATAGGAGACCCCACTTTACCCCTATGCACGGGGCATAGCGGGTCAAATGCCTTTTTTCATTTAAGTATTTACATCTCGTAGATTAATTACGTTATCAACATAAAAGTATCCATGGGCATTCACAATGAATTAAGCTATGATTCTAAGTAAAAAAATTTAATTTAATCACATTATTTTAGTTTTTAGCAATGTTTAAACGTTAAGTACCCTACTATGCCCCCCTCTCCCCTATATATTATTATTATTTTGAGAATTCGAAAAGTCATAATTATATTGGTTATATCCTCCTCTTTCTTTCTTTAACATTTGTGACTACTGCAAATGTGCAGTATTATAAATATAGAAGCCGAGGAAATATGACAAGCAATTTAAATAGTGTGGCCAGTTATATAAGTCTATGACCTATAACAGTTGTTATTAGCTTAGAGCTAATAACCATTAGTGTTACACTTTGTGAGCTTACTTCTTTTTTAATCTTGAACATATTTAGAAAAATTGGACCCAGTTATGCAAAAAACAGCCATGTGCGTGAAAGCACCAACAGAGTTATAAGCATTTTTCTGTCGATAGTTGCACTTGGGTTATGTTTAGTTTTTCTGGCTATTTTAAAATTGAACAATATTTATATAAGTGTTGTTTATTTTTTATAATTATTTTATTTTTTATAATAAATCTCTGTTGGTACGTTTACGCACATGGCAGTTTTTTGCATAACTGGGTCCAATTAATCGTTAGGTATATTACTACATTACAAAGAAATGGTCTTTATACATGTAAACAGTAAAATAGCCCCTATATGCTACGTTTTATACGAAAATTTTTACACTTCAATTATATTTTCATTATATTTTCAAGCGGATTCAGCTGTATTACATAATGTATCTTGTATGTATGTACTTACAGAATAGTGCGAATAGGGCGGATCGATCAGTCTATACCTATAACTAGATTTAGACTTTATTTAGAATTTAGAGATAAAAGAATATAACACTTTAAAATTCTAACAATTTTTTTTTAATTATTTATAAATTTAGTACTATTGTAATCCTTTCTTGTAAATAATAACTATTTAAGCATTTTGACACATACTTCTGTTTTACACAATAATCAAAAAACATTTAAACAATTTCGCACTGTTTAATATTTTAAATTTAGCATAAAAGTATAAAAAAACAGATATTCGATGCACATAAAATATAATAATTTAAGTTAAAAATAATGTTTGTAAGAAAATAACTTAATTTTTTTTGTAAATCACAATATTCTATTAAGAAATGTTAAAGAAAGACTTAGTTAAGTGTGGATTGCAAAAATGATTGTAACTTATTGTAAAATATTGTGTTGATGTGTGTGAATGTGGAAAACTATATTTATATAATTTATAATAAATAAATAAATAAATTATCTATAAATCGTATTTTATTTCCGAGACATGTCTTGGCGTGTTGATTCTGTCATCTGTGTAATTTTGACTAAGTATACAATAGCAATGAAAAAAATATGCTCTAAGTAAAATACACGCTTTCATACTATAACAAAAAGAGTATAATTTGTTTGTTCGTAAATTAGGGATAATAATGTATAAATTTACTAGATAGATTTTAAATGTCATTTTTGTATCTACTACCCTTAAGTAATATATAGTTGACAAATTTCATTAACATAACTTGAGTTATTTTTACTCCAAGAATAATAAAAATAGCTGAATGTAACCGAAAATACCAATAAAATGAAAATAATATCCTCTGGCCGATTTCAGTTACAGCGGCCAATGTCACAAAGATCAGCGATCTGCACTAAAAAATTATAAATATTTTTTCTTTTAATTTCAAATGTCTTTAAAATATACATATTAATTATTATTCCTTTTACTCTCCGAACTTCGACGGAACGAAAATTCGACACGACTGGTAAGAGACCGAGCGCAGGACCAGTGGGCGCTGCGTGCTCTGTCTCGGCACGGGTATTTAGTACAGCTAACTGCTCAGACATCAAGCTGCTACTGATGATTTCTTGAAACAAAAATCCACAGTATATGACCAATAAATCCGAAGCGCTGGAGTTCCGGAACTGAAGTTTTATTTGCTAACTCTACTAGAATAACGAGAATTAGGTAATTAACATAGCATGTACATCCTCTCTATCTATACATATAACAAAATTATGACTGATACAGAAAACTCTAATTAAACTAACAGAAATTAAGATTTATACCACAGATTATACTTTATATGCGTATTGGTGATTATTGGGTACTCTTGATACTTATACTTTTAATTCAAAGTATGTACCATCAAAATTAGTCCATTAATTAAGCAAAACTTGAAACACAGAATGGATTTGACCGTAATATTTTATATATAGTTGAAGCAGTGGTAGCCCAGTGCTAACGCGCTCACTTGGGAAACCGAGTGAAGTGGGTTTAAATCTCGGGTCTCGCACCTCTGATATTTTCATGTGCGAATCATTTCCTATATGATTACCACTTGCCTTACGGTGAAGGAAAACATTGTGAGGAAACCTACGTTTCTGAGAGACCTTAGTAAGTTTTCGAAAGACATGTGTAGTCCGCCAACCAGCACTTGGCCAGCGTGGTGGACTATAACCTGATCCTCCTCGTATTGAGGGGAGGCCCGTGCACAGCAGTAGGGCGTTAAAAAAGGGCTGAATACAAAAGTTACTGATGAATACATAGATATAGAGAATAAGACGTATAGAGAATCGGCTATTAGAGGAGTACCAGAAGCAATCCGCATGGTGCACTGTCGATCAAAGTGGGCCTCCTAGGGTGTCGCTTGCTTTCACAGCTGGCTAGATTGCCAGACGCTAATGAGAACCTCCCCCCCCCTCCCCCCTCCGCACACTAGTACTAGGTGAACACATGTAGGGGGTCTTTTTGGGTTAGCTTATGGAGGATTTCACTAGTAAATAATAATCCATAAGGTAAAATCTTTACAAATAGCGTAGGATCTCGAATTCCCGCTATTGCACCTGGACAGAGGAAGACGAAAATAAACCATTAATTTTAAAAATAATGCGAAAAAATACAGACTATTTAAAAAGCAGGGTCACGTCTACAAGAGACTTTTGATGTTTTAATATAAGTAGCTTATAATACCAGATATGTTAGAGAGATCCTCTCACGAATTCAATGATAACACCATTTGGCCATATTACTGCTCATTTAAACCTCAAGTCATAATATTGTTGTATGCTATAGATCGAGTTATATGTGTATAAGTATATTGATACAAGAGTTTGGAGCATGCGCAGTACCCCTTTAGGGGTAAATGTGACGTCACAGGCTGTCTGATTCCTTTCCCGGTAAGCACTTGAAGCATGTCCTATAAGGAGCGAACATATTTGATATTTAAGAAAACAAGTTACATTACTATTTTATAATTGTTTAAAAATGGGTGAGTATCTAGTATTACCTTGTTTTAAACGTAAAAATAAATTAGATTTTATTTTATTTAAGTAACATTTTTTATATATATATATTATTATTCATACGCGCTTATTTCATGTAATTAACAAGTTTTTAATAAGTCTAATTTGTATTTTATAATGAGCAAAATTATACGAATCTGCTTACTAATTTAATTTAATTTTTTTACTTACTAAAATATTTTAAATTATTATTATTGGTGTCTCTACAAAAGTTGAATAAACTGTTAATAAATGTTCATAGTTCGTGACTTAAATTATTGTAGGTATACGTACCTACTAGTATTTAATGGATTAGCGATATTGAATCATTTTTTCTCACAAATTGTAATATTGCTCAATTAACATTTAAGAAGTATATTATCAATGATCTATAAGTAATTCATATTATGTTAAAATACTAAAATTATATTATTATTTATGTTAACTCTCGTAAACAACACGTTATTTTTGTAAATAACATAACATTCATCATTAATATTTACAAAATATATGAATGCCAAAGAACTCACTTTCTTCGAACAAGATAATATCATTACGAAGATTATAGTTACACAAAACGTTTATATGCTAACGTCATTGTAATGGAAGAGAAGAATCAAGATTTAATAACTTCTTGTAATATTAAAATTTCGAAACATTTGCTAAATTTTATTACAAGGTCAGTGGTATAGGTGTCCTTAGTTTTTATTAGGTATAATAACCTACAAAGTTCGTAGTTAGCAGTAACTCGATGATTTCACCCATCAGTTAATGTTACTGACGTGTTAATTTTAGATTGTTTCAATCTGCACGATCTAAGAGCAAAGTAATGTTTTATTTAATTAACAATAGGTGTACCTTATCTACCTAAAATATTTCGTATTTTTTCAATTCTAAATGTATTTTTGTTTCAGATTAAAAAAGATAAAGAGGAAACTAAACATGAAGTCAATCAAGTTGAACCTTGGTGTGGCCACAGTTTGCATATGCTTCGTCATCTTACTCGTTTACCACTTTTATCATTTTTCCTTTACAAAAAATAATCGAAACGCAAATTTTATAGTGGAACATTTATCATCGAGTACCAAAAGAAATTATGAAACACCTATGAGACATATACCTTTGAATGAATATTACAAAGACATTTCCGATAAGGACCAAGACTTTTCGATTGAATTTGACGAATCTAAACAAGGTACCTTACTTAAAACATACGTGTAATATTTTTATTGTATTTTGATAGCATGTAGGCAATGTGTTTTAAAGGAAAAACACTCAAAAGTATAGATAGATATTGCGTATTCTTGAAACTACAATATTTATAATGTATTGTTTTATTTTTTACTCTTAGATGACATGATTAATACACCAGGCTGCCGAATTCCAGTGGCATTAGTTAATTATAAGGTAGGCAAAGAGTGGAAAAAGGCATCATGTGGAGAAAGAGCAATATTTTTAACAAGAATAAACGAGACAAAACTTAGAGTATCTGTAAGAGAAAAAAATATGAAAAAATATTTGAAACAATCTTTGAATTACAATTGTTGCTATAAATTTTTTCAAAGATCCCTGAGACCCGGATTACAATATAGGAAACTCAGGTAAATATCGTCTAATTATTATATGACAATTTAGCAAGTTATTGTAGTTAACTATGTAGGTATCTATTAAATGTAATTAAAATTATACAACTAAAAATTCCCATGACGATGATTTTATACACTTAATTGACACACGTTTCAAGGATGTATTGTACACGACTATTAAATAATCTTTGGCAATATATAACTATAAAGCAAAGTTACGATCGTTAGCATTTATGTAATAAGCCTAATATACGTAATCAACAACAAAACATCTAAAAGCGTTTCATAGATAATAAAATACTAGGTTATAGCTCGCGTACCTATATCTAAATTTAGTCCAGAACTACTTAATATGACCTCCCGTTTTATATGGAATTGCATAGTATGAGGAGCTGAAGCTGTTTTTTAGACTCTAAAGAAATTGCAAAATAAAAATCAATATGTTTAAACTATAAAGTAGCCTATATATTATGTAGTATTATAAAAATACTTAATATAATATATTTTTGTATTTAAACCTTATAATATAAAGACTAATATCTCAATTCTCAATATTATATTTCAGATTTACAGATTGCAAGGAATTACAAAATGGCAAGATCATTTTTATAAAAAGCGATTTTATTAATATTCAATGTTTTCAAAAGGTCCACAATAAATCTAAACTAATATATGAAGACAATTTTGCATTTTGTAGAAAAAATAATGCCACTTCTAAACACAGTGATAAGACACTTAAAAAGAAAAAATATAACATTCTCATTGTAGGAATGGATTCTATGTCGTTATCGCGTTTTGTTCAAACTATGACAAGAACTGTAACATTTTTAAAAAACAATTTTTGGCCTGGCTTCAGGGGATATCATAAGGTAGTGAAATGTCTTTAACTTGTGAGTCTATAAATATATATTCTTTTGAACTTATACCTACTTCTTTTTGGCACGTTTGGAAAAAAATAAGAGAGTAAAATTTTTACGATGCGCGCGCATACCGACCGCCATAAAAACGATATGATGAAGTTATCTGAAAGCGACATAATGAAGTTAGCTTCATTCCTTTTATAAACAGAGTACTGTGACATACGGGATGAAATCTTTAGCTATTTTTGTTCTGTTATGCCAAAGAAGTATAACTTCTTCCGTACGTACATACATAAGTACATACACACGTTTTTTAATGAACTAAGTAGATATACCTATTTTTATTTTATTTTTTATTTTTTTACTAATAAATGTGTTTTGAAATGCAGACAGGTGAAAATACGTTTCCAAATTTAATGGCTGCATTGATGGGTCAAAATCTAACGACTATTGAACACAAATGTTCGGGGAAGATGGATCAGTGCAATGATATTCTGATATGGAGCATGTTTAAAAAATCAGGCTATGCGACAGCTTATGGAGAAGATTTTTTACAATTGCCTGATATGTTCAGCAAAGGCTATACCTTTCGCCGAGCACCTACTGACCACTATATGAGGACGTTGTTCCTTAAAGGAGAAAGAGAAATAAACCATCGTTCCTTATTATGCAACGGACAAGTTTCATCCGGACAGCAATTACTAAATTATGCATTAGACTTCGTTTTGACTTACAGAAACGACACCTTCTTTGGTTTCTTTTGGATGAATTCTTTCAGCCATAATATAAATAACCGACCTCAAGATGCAGATAAACTTTTTGAAGATTTTTTTAATCGTCTCTCTTATACAGGAGCGCTAGAAAATACATTTGTAATATTTTTGAGTGATCACGGTGTCCGTTTCGGTGAATATCGTCTTAAAGTAGAATCGTATTACGATGATAGAATGCCATTTCTTTTTATATGGGTACCACCCCTTTTCAAGATACGCTATCCAGAAAAATTTAATTCCCTCCTTATTAATCAATACAGACTTATAACTCCGTTCGATTTATTTAACACTATGCTTGAGATACATGAAATATCAAATAATAGCACACGAAAAATAGAATCTTCTGCGAAACATCAAAGTTTATTCGGCATCGTGAGCGCGAATCGGACTTGCCAGGACGTTGGTATTCATGATAAGTGGTGTAGTTGTCACAAATTGTATCCCATTGACGTAGACGACACGGAAGTAGTTAAGAGCGTGCACTTTGTGGTATCCTACATAAAAAATATAATAAAAAATATAAAAACCAAGCGATGCTGGAGCTGTACCAATCTAGCGCTCAACAATGTAAGCAGAATTCATTTCTATTACGATAATGAAAAAGTAAATTTATATTATGTAGTTGCTTTTTCTATGAGACCAAAAAATATATTTTATGAAGCTACTGTGCTACGAAAAAATAAGAAAATGGAGCTCGTGGGCCCCGTTAATATCATTTCACCTTACAAAGGTTTCGGCTACTGCACTATCAATCATGAAGATAAAATCTTTTGTGTGTGCCAAAAAATAGCTAATTGTCGCTTAAAAACAACTCTTTAATTATATGCTTTATATTACTTAAATACCAATAACATTTATAAAGACAATTTGTAAAAGTATTTAATCCAGCTGTGATATTATTGTATGTCAGTTTAATTAATATATAAGTAAGGTAGGTACTAATTATATGTTTATATCTCAAATTATATTTATTATTTTTTTGTTAAGAAGGTGACTGAGTTAATAGTGAAAAATAAATTATTTTAAATTTTTCTGTAAGTTCTTTTTCCCTTAAACCCTGTGTTAATTAAAATTTGTTTATTACTAATGTTAAAAATATAATAATTAATAGTTTAAATATTTATGATTATAAAAAAATATTAATCGAAATATACCTATACTTTATCTTTACGAATACTATGAGAGGACAGAGAATACTTAGACAAAAGTTTCGTGTCCGCCACAAGTTTGGTATAAGAAATAAAAATAAATATTCAAACCCCTGTTTATATTAGCAATATTTTCAGTTTTAATTACTTTCAAAAAATTGAGCATTTTTTTAACTTATCTATATCGTATCTAACACCTATTATATTATATTTATTTATCATAATTAACCACTATTATACCTAACACAAAACCTCACAAACACAAAAAGTAGAGTTTAAAATTCTATGTCACAAAATATTATTGTTATAGATTTTAGATTTTACCAGACACACTTATTCTAAAAAATTTTGCTTCATATCCTAGAATTTAAAACGAATAATTACAGAAACATTTTTTGTATTTTTTGAAACTGCTAGTCATCAAAAGAAGGAAGGAAACAAGAAACATAAGGAAAAAGTCGTGAATTCAAAATCATGAGCACGTTTAAATTGGCAAATGTTTATAAGTGCTAACTATAAACTATTGCATTGTTGGGTAATTATAATGGAGTGGACTAATAAAATATACTCTCACGTGTCAACTTTCAATTCATGATCATCTGTAGAATTCGCAGGTTCGATTCTTATTCTGACGAATATTTGTTTCGATCTAGTGTAACCTGTAATGAGAATATTACATCGGAACTTCTTTTTTTAAGCTTATTAACCCAGATGGTGCATTTTGATCGATTTGAATATATCCGTTTGGCTACATGGATTTTCCCGCTGAAAGTGTAGTAAGAAGAAATGAGTCACTCACTGCGTTCTCTCAGCCTACTCTTCAGGGGATATTACGTAAAGCGATATCATCATTTTTAGTTGTGTTATGAAGTAACGCATTGTATGTTGTTTGATAATTCTATTCCAAGGTACAGTTTACTATTGTAAACCAATAGTAACGGACGTCCTTTTTTTATTACTACTCTCTTACAAATATTTTTAACGAAATTGTTTACCGTTTGTGTTGAAAAAATGTAAAATAATCAAAGATGTTGTGTTTGAGATTATAGTGGTGCTTTCTAATATCAATTAATTATATTTGAAGTCACAAAAATGTATTGTACATGTAAATATAAAAAAAATTAACTGATACTGAAAGGTGAGTTAAACGGTGAATTTAGATATATGTAATTAAAAAATCTGTTTATAAATGTAGGTGTACGATTATATATTGATATTACATATTGTATGCTTTTCAAATGCATCGAACACCTCCAGGTGAATTTCTAAGAAATTCATTAAATTGCTAAGAAATCTATTGTTAACTGTAACGCCGGCGTGTCCGCGGTTGTGGAGGGATTAAGTAAGCAATGTGAAAAGTTTTTGTTAAAAAACCCAAACAGGTATCTTTTTCAAATATACTGTACATACATATGTAGGTATAATACTAGTTTAGTATTATATTTGTACTGTCTCTATGATATCCCTACCTATGACGTCCGTCTATCCAGCCATGATATATACACAAATTGTACATGTGGTTTCTTTTCTTACGATGGTATATTATATATATATGTATATTAATTTTTCTCACTATTGTTTTTTCATTTAGTTTAATTTGGTCCTACAATCCTACCAGTAGCCTGTAGGCATACAAAAAAACTAGCAATATCGAAATATTTTAGTTTTAATGAATAAAAGTGAGGAAGAAGAAATATTAAATCAGTACAAATAGCTAGGTAGTTAACCCCTTCTTTTTAATGTTGGAAAATGCATTGCGTACCATCTGTATAAATACAGGTGGTTATGTGGGACTCAGCGGCTAGAAATACAGTACTACCCACCAAAATCCAACAGAACCTCCCTCATCTTAATGGGTCAGGTCAAACCGAACAACCAAGGGGCTGCTCCCACGATCTACTCTGCTGTCAGAGGAGTACCAGGGGCAACCCATATGGTACACCGCCTACCGAAGTGGGATACCTCTCAGTGTGTCTTGGCTTCATGCCCGGCTGGATTGCTGGACGCTAATTAGCCCCTCCCCCGCGACAAGGCGAATACAATTGAGGGAAGGTCTGCGAGATAACTTTACTATATAATTGGCGATCCCCTAGGGGGTCACGAACCGCACTTTGAGTAGCCCTGGTTTACACAACACATATAATATATCTTATGGTGGTATAGAATCCTTGGGTGATTCTGTTTTGCCCTTGACCGTTTTTTCTTTATGAAAATTTTTATGTGAATGAAGCAGAGAATTTGTTATTGTATATACATATAATAGAGGCCTCTCGTTGTAACATTTTATATGGAGGCACGTATCGCAAATTAAGCACACATAGATAATAATTTGACATACAAATATCGTTAAAGCACTATAAAATTGTATGTTGCGTTATGCTATTATCTGAAAACAAGTGAGTGATAAGTTCTTTAAAAGGTTTAAACTTTTTTTATAATTGAAACCTTATTCATTTATCCTAAATATCATCAGCTAGTAGGCCGAGTTTCAAATTAAATCTTATTAAATCTTATTTTTTTCTTTTATAATTTTTAATATATAGATATAGGTAGGTACATATATTACCGTAACTAATTTTCATTTAAACAGTCTCGAAAAACGAATAGAAAGAAATAAAAATAAATTATTCTACAGACAATCAATTACTTAAGTAACCTACTTATATGTAGAGTTATTCATATTGAACTTCAAATCGTCTGTGCAACTCTTATTTTTCGGTTACATGCTTCATAAAATAGATTTTGTTACAAGGTTAATAAAATATTTAATTATTTTATTACTATCATAGTTTATCGCATCCGTTTTCAAGCGTACATACCTATACGTATATTACAATGATATACACACAACTATAGTCAATGAACAAAAAGCAAACTGTACGTTTAGGTTTAAAGAATTTATTTCCCAAAGGAATTACAAAAAAATCACTTTTAAGAGAAACAATATTTTTTCTTAAATAATAAACATTAAATTTTGACATTTATTTGTTATATAACACAAATTATTTTTTATTATGAATGTTTTATATATTAAGTACATTATCGTATATTAAGATATTTTTACCTCTATAGAATTTTCTAATACTTAGATACACTAAAGCCTTAACTCCAAGGTTTTTCTTATATTTTAAAGTTTGAATTAAACTGAATAAGCACATGCCGAACGTTATTTATATATATACATATAATTTCTTAAATGACTCTTTTATATTAAAAAATATATCTATGTTTAAGAAATTGCTAAGTATTAAATATTTTATACTTAAATTATTGTTGTAGCTTAAAATTAATTAAGAATATAGTTGTACATTACCTTGTATGACAGAAAAACAAATAAAAACAGACAAGCGCGTTAAGTTTTATTTATGTAATTTTCATTGAAATTATTTTAGAAGCTATAATTACCTCAATTTTTTTCAGGATTTTCTGATTCATGGTTAAAAAGTTAGAGGGGGTGGGATACAATATTTACGACTTTAGGAGCATATAACTCAACAAACTTGGGCTAAAACAAAAAATTACTTAGAGACCTACCCCACGAGCTTATATGTCTTATACCTACTTTAAGTTATGATTCACTCCTCAGTTACTTTTATGGTGGAAAGTTACCCCTATTTTTTTTGTACTGACATCTACGTACCAAATTTTAACAACGTAGCAACGATTTCACACTAATAGTATTCGAGTAAAATGGCTATGACACGGACATGCTGAAATTATAAGAGTTTTGACCACTTAGCAGCAGAACCCTAAAATGGCTCTCTTCACAGCTAGCATCATGTATAAGTACGTAATAACAACAATCATATATACCTTATAAAAACCGCAATCATTTACTTTTTTATTGCATTCAATGTTTTTACCAAATATCATTATGGGTCCATTCAAATGCAACATAGAGAGAATCATATTTCTTTACCAACCACCCAGCAAAGTTATTGTATAATTAGCACAAGAAGTGAGCCATTGTATCAGAAACATATACATACATCATTATTAAGAGGTAATACGAGGGACCTACTGACGAATTGCAACTACACCGTAGGTACTAACCTCACAAGGACAGACGGACAAACGGCGGATGGCCTAGAGAGCCCTAAAAATGACTAAGACCCTTAAAAACAATAACACTTAAACATTAATAATATAATAATATTAACTCTTTAGTCTTTACCTATTCGGGTCTGAAGGGTCTAGCGCTAGCGTATAGCGAATTGGTACCCAAATGACAACCTATTTCGAATCTTATGTATTTTTCAATATCAATTTTGTTCGTCCGACCTTAAAATAGGGGTAAATTTTCCTCCTCTCCAGCAAGTTAACGAAAATTAAGGGTCTCATGGTCCACTCTACAATCTCTACAATAGATAAATACACGGATTATTTGTCCTACAACCGCGTCTCTTCGGCTTAAGCCATCCGAGACACAAGACACACTAAAAAAAGGAAATACAAACATAATAATTTGATACAATAAAGTATATTAAATATAAACACATATATTATCATAAAAATAAAAATATTTATTATATTCTTTTCAGTGTCGTGCCTAGAATGATGTAACATGTTTCAAACAAAATATGCAAAGATACTTATTTTTTCTACATTATCAATAATAAGTATAATGTATAACACATTATATCCTAAAGCAAATATAGACGAATATAAAATTAAAACCGAAAATATTACGCTCATACTACAGAAAAATGACTGCCAACCCTATAACGGTAAGATTGTAGTCTAAGATCTAAGAGGGGTTCACACCTTTACGGTTTTACTGGATAGGTTTTCGTACGGTTCGCCGTATTAAAAAAACGTACATGTTCATGTTAATGCATTTTTTAATTCGATTAACAGTTCAAGCGATTCAAATTCGCGAATTTGCCAATACGGTAAACCGTATACGGTTTGTGATTTGTGAATTGTCTCGGTTACACGATCCGATTTACCGAATCGGTTTTAGTAGGTATATGGTTTGCCAAAAACAAGTACGTATCGGTTTTTTTAACATATCAGCTTTTGCTGCATGGTGTGAACACCACTACTACTATAATATGTTTGCATACGCGAATGAAAACCGTATACTAGAGCCGTCTCGGTAAACCACAACGCGTGAACTTAATGTTAATCAGAATTTTGTTTTTTCAAAAATCGCTATTTCTAGTGTATTAAATAGAGTTATGCTTTTTTACAAGATAACATCACGTCTACATTATGAAATACATGTCTAACTATAACAATTAGGATAACAAGTCACTAGCGACATCTTGGGTTAACAGATGCGGAATACATACACGGAAAAATATGCAATTTGGGTTACATCATTGTAAAAAATGGAAAGTTATTTATAAGCAAATCGCTTGAGAACGGCTGGACCGATTTGGATTTTTTTTAATATTCTAAGATCTATACATACGAACACATATTATAATATAAGTGGAACTGATCCCTGTCTTTACATGGAAGATATTTGAGAAAAACTATTATTGGGGGATTTTATTAACGCAATAGAACCCAAAACAATGATTTTTACAGTTTTTGACTGTTTGTCTGTGCGCTTGTGCGCGCAAATCTCAGAAACGGCTTAACCGATTTACGTGCGGTTTTCACTATTGTATTGCCTTAACATTTAGCAGTTTGTTATATTTCAATCGGTACATAAGCAAAAAATGTTATGTCAATTTTAGGAATTATCTAGGGACGAACCCGAGCGAAGGGTGAGTCGCTAGTCATAAATAAATATATGTATCAACATTGGGACAGGACAAAGTCTGTCGAGTCAAATAGGTTTATTTTAATTCTACTACCTATGTAATGTATCATTATTCAAAATTTGCCTATTTTTATTAACAGAGAGCGCTGATTACTTAATTAACACTCCAGGATGTTTCATACCAAATTACTTAAAAACATTTAAATTAAAAGAAGCACGACCTATTAAAAAAACATGTGGCGAACGCGCAGTGTTCATTAAAAAAATATCTAACGACATTATCAAATTTAAAATAAATCAACACAAAATGACGAACTATAATAAAGGAGAAAAGTATACGTGTTGTTATAAATTTGCCCGCCCGTCCATCGTTTTAGGAAAGATAGATAACACAGCGTTAAGGTAAATTAACACATATAATTAAACATGCATTAAAATACAATTGAATAAATAAAAAAATGGGTATTATCTACAATTTATTTAAAATATACGCAACACTACCTTTTATTTCTCTTAAACTCAAGGACGATCTTATTTATACGAATATACTATATTAGCATTATAGTGGTATGTATTACCTAAATGTTTAGCAGCTGTGTACGAAGTTTGTTTCTTACAAAATTATTACAATAATGCTTTTCACTTTGATTTCAGATATTCTCCATGTGAATATTTTACAAATGATACAGAGGCTCCTTTAGAACATGAAGTCATCGTCGTAACTTGTTTTCTTATTAGAACTAAAAATAAGGTTATATACGAAGATGCTTATGCCATAATTAAAAAAATAAAAGTAATAAATCAGGATGAGAAGGAAAAATCTTGGAACATATTGATCTTGGGAATGGATACCATGTCACGTGCAAGAATTTATAAAAGCATGCCTAAAACAGCCGCTTATTTATCACAGAATAATTGGTTAGATTATAGGGGATACCAAAAGGTAACTAAGTACTACCGACTATCGTATATTATATTGTAGCCTGTAGGTACCTAATATAACCGCTACTTTGCAATTTGTTTCTTAAGTACTATACCTACTTACTAACAGTGTACACTACATGGCCACGCGTTGTTATAGTTCAGTCTTGAGTTTGTTATGATTGTAAAGTGTAAAGTTTGAAGCGCGACAGCGCCATCTAGTGGCATGTTACAGCAAAAGAGATAGCATAAAGATCTCCATATAAAACATTTTTATAGACATTTTAAAGCAATCAGTGAATAGTTTAAAACAAACTAAAACTATATAAATAAAAATTAAATTCCAAAAAGAAAAAAGTTATTATGCAATCGGAGCCAAGCATGTGACAAGTAAGCTGCTAAACTTTGCCTAAATTCTGATAAAGAGATCTTTTATTTTTAACTACATAAATATATAGTTTAGCATTATAATTTAACTGCCTTGTTATTCATACTTTCTTTTTTCTTTTATTTAAAATTATTACTTGTTTGTTTAAGGTTGGCTATAACACGTTTCCAAATGTAATGGCATTGTTGACTGGCAAGGAAGTTTCGACGGTATACAAAGCCTGTTCGTCAGGTATGGACAGCTGTAACGAATTAGTTATATGGTCTGCATTTAAAAAAGCTGGATACGTTACGGGTACAGGAGAAGAATATCTACAACTACCCGACACATTCGCAAAGCGTGGATATAAAAATTCACCTACTGATCATTATTTAAGACCACTTTTTCTAACTGGAGAAAACAGAATTGGTAGCCTTGTGTGCACGAAAAAGGTGTCATCAGGAAGGCATATCCTTGACTATGCCTCGCAATTTGCAAATGAATATAAAACAGATAAGTTCTTTGGAATGTACTGGTTTAATTCCTATAGTCATAATCTGGAAAACATACCTGCGCTTATTGATGGAGATATCGTTGACTTCTTTAAAAGCCTTAATGATACAGGAATTTTGAATAACACATTTATATTTTTCTTAAGTGATCATGGAATAAGATATGGAACACAGAGAATTCCTTATGAGTCATATTACGAGGAGCGCTTACCAATGCTTTTCGTATGGGTGCCCCAAACTTATAAGGATATTTATTTTAAAGAGTATAATAACATGGTGTTGAACCAGAACAGACTTGTTACTCCGTACGATGTTCGTTTAACTTTGGGGGATATAATGGTATCGTCTACAAATACTATACCAAAAATAAATACTGAAGCATGCTCTAAATGTGTTAGTATCTTCAATGAAATCCCACCGGAAAGAAGCTGTAAAGACGTTAACGTAGAAGATAAATGGTGTACTTGCCACAAGCTGGAAAGCATAAGTGAAAATGACTTAGACACACATCGTAGTTTACAACTATCTGTGTCATATTTACAAGACAAAATGAAAAATATACCAACTATATCTTGCATGGAATGTATTGTGCTAAAATTGAAAAAGGTACTACGAGCGCACACGTATCGAGACGAATCCAGCAACAGCACTTATTTTGTGTTAGCATTCGTCTTGACACCTGGCGATGTTGGTTACGAAGCTACGATTGTCAAACGTAATAACGAATTTATCATAATGCAACCGACATATACTATCTCGTCCTACAATGCAAGAGGAAGTTGTGTTATTGAACCAAATCATCGCTCATATTGTATTTGCAAAAAAAAAGCAAACTGCAAAAGTAAACACTGAAAGTAAATTTACATGTTTTATTATAAGTACCTGGGCCACCGATTTTTTTAAATAAACCGGTGTTTTTGGTTAATAAGTACAATTTTCTTAAAAAAAAATTGCATAAATATAAAAAAAAAGTAAAAGTTTCTTAGACATAAGACTAATCTAGATCGATTTACCGCTGAAACCCCTTGTATACTAAATTTCATGAAAATCGCTGGAGTTGTTTCCGAGATTCAGATTATATATTGATATACGAGTATAATCTCAATCTCGGAATATCTATGTATTCTTTTTTCGCTAGCTTAGTTAAATAAGCCTACGTATTAACTAAATTTGGCTTTAGCCGAGCAAGGCAGGTCACAGAATGTATTTTACCTCTATTGATTGATACACTTTTGCGTTCAATTTTTATTACAAACTAGCGGCTCACCCTCGCTTCGCACGGGTTCGTCGCTACGTCGTTACGTTTTAAATAGATATAATTCGTTATTAGCCAGCGTTAGCCATATAAATTTTAATTTTTTTGTTGATAATATTGAAAAATATTGACATTAATATTTATACGATACTAACGTCACTCAATTGTTTTGACTTCCCGGAACCTCTCCACTAACACTTAAACTTTATGGGGGATTAATGTTCAAATTGATTTTGAAATATTATTACGAAACTTTTGTATGGGAGTATAGAAAAGTGTTGTTTTTAGATTTTTTCAGGCAATTTATTAAATTTTTCTCTCCGTAAGAACCATCCTCGTACTTCAAGGAATATTTTAAAAAAGAATTATCGAAATCGGTTCAGCTGCTCTCGAGATTTGCGCTTAGCAACACATTCAGCGATTCATTTTTATAATATAGAAGATGTGTACATAATTATTGTAATATGTTTTAAAATTTCTTAATATGTCCTTGATACATATGTATATAGGTACAGTAGATATTTACACCATAGTCTTACAATTTTACCTGATTATAAGAAGAAAACAAAAAGTTGTAATAGGTACCCCGTTTTTATTTAATTCGAATGAAAATAAAATAGAATTACTCAACAGAACAATATCTTAAAACTAACACACACAGTAGGTACTAAAATATATTTTTTCTTATGATAGTAAGATAAAGTATCAAGAAACACATAGGTACATATATTTACATAAACAGAGATGTCGTAAGTTATTAGTGTTTAGGACAATTTTCATCGAGTTTTTTATTTTACATTTCCTGAGTAGTATTGGATAGCAAAAGTTTAGAAAGCTTAGACATTATTTAAAATTAATTTATGTTTATTACACAAGTCAGATCGCAAGTAAAGCATTCGAAACGTGAGAAACCAAATATCGAAATAAATTCGCGAAAAAAATTAAAAATATATATTTTTAAAACGATTTTAAATTAGGTTTTTTAAGGATGAAAGGTGATTTGAACTAGAGTGTTCTTAGTTATTACCAATACTTTTTCATTGAAATGTCTTCAACTATTCATATAGTTTATTGTGTTTAGGGATTCTATTTAAGTGTTATATTGCGAAACAACGAACGTGATTGGCTTCACAGAGAAAAAAGAACATCGGGTTTTGCACAACAAGAAACAATTTTGAATTTCAGTAAAGTTATTTAGAACAATTTCTCTTCGAATGCTCCATGAATCATACGAGTGGCCGATTTTGAGACCGCTCTACATATTTTCTAAGTCACAGTGGGAAAAATCCAAGCGTATATAGGAATCTCGTCGAAACTAAATGAAAAGCTCGGAGCTGAATTAAAAGCGGAGTCAGCGTGTTTTTTGTATAAGACATAGGAACAGGACAGTCAAATACTTCAGTTAAACAAAAATGAAGATTACCTACTTACATGTCACTCCAGATTAAGATTTGGGTCTCGCTTGACTGACGCGGCGAGTCCGCACATTGACTGACAAAAAGTCTCAGGGAATGCATATATGTAATGCAATTTTAAACAAGTATAGTTGTTTTGGCGTATAGTTCACGTTATATGTTCATTATTTGCAATACCCATGTTTATTATTGGTCATGACCATAATTAATTTATTTAGTAAGAGTATTAATATAACATTCATTTTTTAATTTATGAATTTTCAATTCAATTTCCATAGAAAAGTCAAAATTTTTATTTGAAAATACAGGCACGACCATATAGTCGTATAGCAATGTTACAAATTCAAGCGCTGACTAGCAACAGTTGTTTAAATATTTCTTTAAGTGAACCCAATTCAATATTCTATTAAAAAACTGTTCATACACTTGTAAGTTACAATATTTAACGACATACACTCTTATAAAACAAACATAAATCATAATACTAAAATAACATCAATTATAATACTTTTAGCCAACTTGAGCAACTTCGAAGAAAACTTCAAATAAATAGTACCTACCTATAACAATTACTTTTTAATTTACGCGAATCGTGGCATAAAAACGTATTGAATGTGTTGATAAAAAATTACCGGTTATAAATATGATAATATTTATTTTCATTACCTTCATGAAATACAAGAATTTTTATTACTCAATTTTAAATTTAGTTTATCAAAAAAACCTGTAACTGCAAAATATTAGTTAAACATACAGTACACATATATTATGTATACAGTACACATATATTACACATATATTATGTGCCAGTTATAAAAGAAGTCGCTCGGAGTTTTTGGCCTGAAGTACAATTTTCTTTTTATTTTTAACAAAAAACTTGAATAAATATAAAAAAAAACAAAAGTAAAAACTTTGTATGCGATGCGACCGAGATTCGAACCTGGACACCTGTGATTGTTGATCTTGCACCTTGGCCGCTTGACCACGATGCTTATGCCGGAGCATGCAAATTACCGACCATATTTTGCGTGGAATAATGCAAAAGAAAACTGCATGAAAACTCGTAAACACGCGTTTTCTCAGACATAAGACTAATCTAGATCGATTTATCGCCCCCGAAACCTCCTGCGTACTAAATTTCATCAAAATCGTGGAGCCGTTTCCGAGATTCAGATTATATATATACTATACAAGAATTGCTCGTTTAAAGATATAATATATTGATCATGCCAATTTAATGCAAATTGTGGATAGTAAGAGTTGTGTTATGCTAATTGGTATTGAAATTTTGCTTGCTACTTTAAATTGTATAAATACTTCAAAGTTACCTGAGGTGGCTATATGTACATATATTGTGTATAGACACAGAATACTATCTAACAAATGCTTTTAATAATACTCCATATTGCAAAATATATTGAATATATAAAATTAAAAACAACTATATCTTACTCCAAACATACAACCTTCTTTAGATCTAAAGCATTTTTTTTCCACTAGCCGACGGGACGATCAGATATTAGGTATACACTCAAAAAGATCGATAAGATAATAATTGAAAACTAAAAAATAAGCATTAAAATAAACCTTATTCTATGGGACTCATCGATAAAACCTGTTGCCTCCATCATGACACTATTTTTGTCATCTTGATGCTATTAAATTAATTTTATCATATTGGAAAAGATGGAAACTAAAATTCATATCCAACGTTTTATTTTACACAGTGTATGTTGACGGAACCAATAATGCAGAGGTTTGAAGAATGCAAAACGATTATACAACCTCGCGTGTCAAAATTTGGGAAATTGTACAATTTTTAAAATTTCAATTAATGTAAAGCAGCTGATTCTACAATCCTATTATAAGCGAAGTAAAATAGTCAAAAAAGTGTGTTATTTTTGTAAAGCTGTCATCACCGCAGAAGAACGCGTCATCTATACTAGTCTATACTAGTATTATAAAGAGGTAGTTTGTAAGTTTGTATGTAGGGGTAATCTCTGAACCTACTGATCCAATTTTGAATATTCTTTCACTAATAAGAAGCTACATAAACGCCTAATACTATTTATATTACGATAAAAATGTATTTAGTGTCAGAAATCATAACTTTAACTGAAGTCGGTAAGTTTCAAAATTGAAATTTTTATTTCAATGCCTTCGGAGATGGTCTAACGCGCGTGTCGTGTCAGCTAGTGGACAAAAGTTTATACAATTCAATCTATTATGCTGGCTACATAAATAGCGAGGATCATTTACATCATAGTGATATTCATATTTATTAAAATTGACTTAGAATTAACAAAATAATTTAGTTATTTTTTAACGTTTTAAATTTATTCACTAAGCTAATTTAAATATTTGTACACATATTTCCTTACTTAATATTTAATGATAAGTATTGTCATTTATTTTAATAACATAATTAATTTAAAACATTATTTTTTTAACATGTCACATTTTAATTAGTTTAAATAATATTAGGAGATTTTCCTGAAATATATTTGTACCTATATTGCATTCTAAATCGAAAATAAATAAACAGCCTTTCTGTATGTCTTGCAAGAAATATTACTATGAAAATAGTGACTTATTATAAATTTATGACTTTAGTTTTTTCACTGAACTGACAATATTTTATAATACAAAATTTACATAACTCCACACTTCACTCCCAAATACTAATCTTATTGTCTATAAGTATTTAATTTTTTATGCTAAAACAGATTTAGGTATTAATTGTTGCTGTGGGACACTAGGATATATAACAAATAGTGAAAGTTGTAGGAAAGACAAGCCTCCACCTACTAAATTTGGTACCTGAAAAAAAAAAGTATTGTAACATCTATAAGTAAATATTCTTGCTTTTAATTATTGTCTACACAGACTATCTATATGTTTACTAATGTGACTATTTTATTTTGTTTGATATTAATCTATAAATATCTCATGTCATGCTGTTTGTGGCTGCACTCCTCTAAAACGGCTCAACCGATTATAATGATTTTTTTTGTATATTCAACGGGTGTGACAGGGCCGTAACGTATTTTTCACCCTCCAACCCCTACCCCCCAATTTTTGTCGCGATTTCAGTATTTTTGTATGAACAATACGGTTTATATAAATACATATGTGAGGAACCTAGCGAAGCGAGTGCGAGTTGCTATAAAACATAAAACCAAAGAGTTTTTTTGTAGATAAAACTGGATGAGTTAAATTGAATTGGGTGTATCCGCTGGTTCTGCTAGTAATGAATAAATATATAATAACAGACCTATAATTCCTAAGTTTTTTTTCGTTTTAGGCACAACTTTAGTATATGGAACACAGCCCTTGGAGAAGTGACTTACATTTTTGGATAGGTGAGATGATGGGTAGTTTAAAATAATTAAGGAAATGAAAGAGTTTACCTCTTAGTTATGTAGAGTTAAAGTTATACCCTCTACCATATAAATAGTATCATCTATTAAACTGCAGCCTTATTTACTATAGAGTAGAATATATATATATATATATATATATATATATATATATTCTACTCTATGAAAATAAAATATATTTACCATTATATATGAATCTCCAGCCATCATGCCATAGATATACCAAAGGCTCGATACAATAAATGACATAAATATCATAGGAAATGGAAGGCAATCTGTACTTTTTGTTTTAATTACATAAATCAATTTACTCATTGGTGCAGCAATTGTCAACAGCGTAAGAAAACATGCTAACAGACCTGAAGATAAAAATAATTAGTATTACACTTTGTAACAATATATTTATAAATTTATATAATTAATATACATACCAAATCTATTTACAAGTACTTCGTTGTCCAGTTCTACAGACATATATCCCATAATAAAACCATAGAAGACGAGTGTTAATAAAATCAGCCTTAGTACAGAAGACTTCTTAAATGTATACAGGTAAAATACAATAACATATGAAGCCATTAAAATTACTCCAACTGCATTAACAAAAACTATTTTATTATCTTGTTTTGCCATTCCATACAAAAGCCATACGCCGCTTCTGCAAAAAATAATTCATTACTACTTAAATTTCATAATAATTAATAAATACAATATAATAATTTAGAATAAAAGTTACTTACGAAGCAAACCCACAAAAGAATGGGAGTGGGGACGATTCTGCAGTTGTTTTATTATCCACATATTGCTTGCACACTATACTAAAATGTTATGTTGATTAATTAAAAAATATATAACAATGTGAATAATTAAAATATTTATATATTACATTAATACTAACATCCCAGAGAGAAACTGTAAAATCGTAGTACAAACTGCTAAGGTCGCTGTTATTCCTATCGGTTCATATATTAGCATGTTTACTACTTTTCGTCTTGACAGGAAAATTTAACAAAAATTTGTTTTCAAAACAATACATACAATAGTCAATCTATTCTAGACAATCAACAATCAACATCATCCGTGTTTCTTTGGCAACCATAGACTAGCACAGACTAAGTAGATGATAACAAGCATAGATAAATAATAAAATAGTTAAAAAAAAACTTTGAAAATTTCGAACTATGAAATATTTCTTAGAATGTTAATTAAAATCTCTTAAAACTTTATCTCATTACGTTAAGGTACATTATCGGTTCAACATATATAAGCTACTCATTTGGTGGGTAGAAAAGCCGGGACGCTGATTTTATCGATATTTTTTTAATTTTAGTAATGACTAGCATTGCCCGCGGTTCCGCCCGCGTTCAGATGACCAAAAACCAAATTCTTAGGCTTTACATATTAGTATACTCTTACATTGCAGTTTTTGTATTTTTTTCTCTTAAATGAGATATTTTCCCGAGGTAAAAAGTATTCTATATGTTGACCCGGATAACCAGCTACCATCGTACCAAATTTCATCAAAATGTCTCCAGTGGTTTTTCCGTGATGCGGTAGACAGACAGACAAAACTTTTAAAAACTATAGATTCAACCTCTGTATCGACAATAATGTCTAATTCAATAAGATTTTCCAAAAAATATTTAATGTACAGATTCGGCTCAGTTACAATTTTATTATATGTATAGATTATGATGCCTAGCCCCCGAGAAATGGAGAGACGCAAAGCGTTGAAAAATAGTTTTTTTTCGATTTCCGGCTTACTGTGACATTCTATCGAAAAATGTTTTCTACAAAAGTTGTAGGCCTAGTAAAAATCTACAACTTTTATAAATAACACTTTTTACAATAACCTCAAAGTTTTCGAGATATATGCAAAAAACTCGGCCTTTAACTTTTTCTTGGTTTATATTTTTAATTTCTAGAATTATCTTCTGATTTCCATGAACCTAAAAAAATGTAATCTTAAAAAACATATAGTAAATTAAAAAATGAAATAGAAATGTTTAGCTATTTCCGAGAAAAGTATGTTTTATTGTCTCGAGAGGCTGAAAATCACCCCCAAATTCAAGTGGACGTTTAAATTAAAAAAAAATCGTTCAATTTTAAGGTAGGGCTCATTCTTTTCATCTTGAACTCAATTTTTTGAAGAAATAAAAATATTGTATGTTCGTCCTCTAAAAACACCTGCCTTGTATTCCAGGATCACGTGGGTGACTGATTCTTCGGCACTGAAACGTCCTCCGCATAGAGGACTATCAGTCCCACCGGTTATGAATAAATGTTTATTTAAGTGACAATGACCCGTAATTGTCCCTATCATTATTGTTAGGTTGGTTCTGTTGAGACCTGTTGCGACCATATAAGGTTTTGTAGTTCTGTAGATCTTTGCCGGATCCAGGTTCGAACTTGTGAAAAAGGTAGGGGGAGGAGTGTGTACGAGCCGACCACTCTCATCTCAGATCCTCTCTTTGCAAGTTCGTCTGCTGCATCGTTCCCGAGAAGTCCACTGTGTCCCTTTATCCACTGGAGAGTAACTCGATTAGTCGAGGATATTACATCCAGGGCATATTGACACTCAGTGATTAGTTTGCTATTCGTTTGTTTGCTTTCTAGTGCCGTTAGTACGACAGCGCTATCAGACAGTAATCTTCTACAGTAGTTTTGCACCCCCCGCCTGTGCACTGCTCTTGCGGCTTCTGTTAGGCCCTGTCCGCACTGCGATATTCACCGCGCGATTTTTATTCTCGCGTATTATATTCCGTGATCGAAATTGTACTTATTACGCACTGCGAATAAAATTTCGTACGATTTTTGTCAGTTTGATGCAGTTCCCGACTGAGACAAACGTCTAAAATGATAAATCTGCTATATCTACTGAGACATTTTAGTAATCTAAAATGATGTTTTTCTACATTAAATATCAAGAGTTGCGAAAATACAGTAGTTCAGTTCTTTGCTTTAATGGCTTTAATGCGTGCCAGAAAAATACAGTAAAAAGTTTTTCGGATATTACAGAATGACTACAAAATCATTCGATAAACCAATAGCGTCGGTTCACGACTGAGCGAAACGCGCGAATTTTATTTCGCAGTGCGGCCATAGCCATACATATTATATACTGTACAAAACATTCGCGCGGAAATAATCCGCGCCGCATCGCGTTCAATTTGCATCAAATCACAGACTTTTTTTCCGCGCGAATTTTTAACCGCCAGTGCGGATACTCCTATAAGGTTCAATGTGTTACAGAATTGCGAGAATAAAAACGTGCGGTGAAATATCGTAGTGCGGACAGGCCGTTAGGGCGGCACATTCACATTGAAAGATAGAGCTGTATGCACCTAGCATTCTACCCTCCATAAGTCAGAGAAATAAAGATTTTTATCGATGCCCCACGCGAACAGAGGTTTAGGTAGAAAATATTTGTTTATAAAAAATAAAAAATAATGATCCAGATTAACCAAAAACTATTAAAGTTGTTATTTATAAATATGAATAATAAAGAATATATTATAGTTTTAATATATATTGGAGGGTAGAAGTCTCCATATTATAATAATAAACTTTGACCATAGATAAAAGTCTATTTGCTATTGATGAATGTTGAAACTTGTTGTAGCCTGTAGGTACGTCACTATGTAGCAATATACTCTATGTACGTCACTGTTGTTTTGACTTTTTAATATGATCAGACATCTCTCAGTTTCGTTTAAAGATGAATAAATAGAAAAATACTAGAAGCTTTTAAAAAGAATGTATACAATATATTAGTATATTTAGTGCCTATTTAATTTAAAATACGATCATGCGTGTTATGAAAGAAACGTACATACATATGATTCTATAACTATTAAATTCGTTTAATCAATCTTACATCATGAAGTCCTTCAAGTTAATAGTTCATCAGTCCAGTTTTAGCTGTAAGTAACAATGCTATAGAAATATAAACAATATCTAAGATCCACTATTTACTTTATCTAAACAGTATCTATTTATTCTAGCGGAAGATCTTATTATAAATCTTAAAGACTATCCAGGATTAAAAGAAAAAGATATAGTTGAAATCTATCATCCAGAAAATGACTATCCACGATTACTTTTACAAGTTACTAAGGTAGATGCTCCAGGACGAGGGAGAGGTATGCGCTATATCTAATTTAATAGTATTGGCTAAATAACGACGATAGGTTTCACCATTTCTTCGAAGTCCAATTTATGATGGCTCAACTATATAAATCAGACATCAATCGTCATTGATACAATTAGTTTCAATAGTTTTAGTTATTTGCTTAACATTAATTTTTATTGGCAATTTAGTTAGATGGTCTAGATGACAATATTGTATTAGTGCAGATAAAAAAAAAATTAAATACTTCATAGCACTGTAAGTGGACATCCAGAGTTACAGCTAATTGAGATAAATATTTTATTTATAAATATGTGCACCAAAATTGGGAAGTATAGTAAAATTTTAAAATAAAACAATTTAAAATTGTCAGTGACTCTTACAACCCCTTTAAATATTCAGTGCACATTTATTGATTATAGATAAGATTATAATAATTAAAGTTTATAAATTATGGAAATTTTATTTTAGTCTACTTGTGCATGTGGGGTTAACATATAGGATAAATTCTATTTAGAAATACATACTAATATTATAAATGTGAAAGTGTATTCGTTTGTTTGTTTGCCCTTTCGCTTGAAATAGAGTTTGCGTAGTTGGAGGACTGGAGAGTGACATAGGCTACCTTTTTACAGCAGAAAACTTATTATAATACAATCCGCAACAACTCATCATACCTATGTGTATATAATAGATAGTCTATCTATAAATGTAATATAAAGTTACATCAATGTGTAAAATAACATTTCTATAAAATATATTAATAATATAATTCATGAATACATTACTCATGTTCATATTAAATAAAATTTAATAAATTTGTACAGACACCATCAGTGTAGAGCAAAGCATTGCTACCACCTTCCAACTGCGAACATTTGCTGATGTGTATGTTAATATTGTAAATGTGGCAGATGTGGCCTTAGATTCTGTAGAATTGACTTTTAAAGACCAATACTTGGGCAGATCTGAAATGTGGAGACTGAAGAATCATTTAGTAAGATTTCATTTATTACTACCTTATAAATTACCTTTGTTTTATATAATATATATTATAAGTACTAAACATGGTATCCTCCATGTTTAGTAGTATATAGAAAAATGCACTTGTCTCTAAAATTTTTCTATTCATTTCATAAGTTGTTTTTCTATGGTGTATGATTAAATAACTAGTCTGACCAATAAAAGAAAATAAAAAAATGTTTGTAAAACAAATGTTAGTAAAAAACTGTGATCTGCTCGTTTTTCATCTTTAATTATTATTGCTATTTTAATTATTAACAATATTTCTATGTTGTAGGTAAGCACATGTGTATATCTTAACAAGAAAATAGAATATTGTAGCAGTGCAGTAAGATGTCAGGTGTATGAAATGTGGTCTCAAGGTGATAGAGTGGCTTGTGGTGTTATTACGGAGGACACGAAAATTGTATTTCGATCTTCAACATCAATGGTATATCTCTTCATTCAAATGTCTTCAGAAATGTGGGATTTTGATATACATGGTGACTTGTATTTTGAGAAGGCTGTTAATGGCTTTCTTGCAGATCTTTTTGCTAAATGGAAAGTAAGTTATTTGTTTTTTATATTTGTTATTAATAGGTTTATATATTTTACTAGCATTGCCTGCGGCTGCGCCCGAGATCAGATGACCAAAAACCAAATTCTCAGGTTTTACTTATTAGTATACTCTTACATTGTTGTTTTTGTATTTTTTCTCAGAAATGAGACATGTTCTCGCGGTAAAAAGTATCCTATATGTTGACCCGGATAACCAGCTACCATCATACCAAATTTCATCAAAATCTCTCCAGTGGTTTTCCCATGATGCGGTAACCGACAGACAAAAATTCTAAAATCTATAGATTCAGCCTCTGTATCGATAATAATGTTTATTTCAATAAGATTTTCCTAAAAATATTTAATGTACAGATTCGGCATAGTTACAATTTTATTATATGTATAGATTTTGATGATGTCATATCGGCGGCATATGCACTTTTCAGGAATTATTAATAGTTAATTCCTGTAATAAAATAAATAATTGATTCCTAGGCCATTACATCTTCGTTACCAAGCATTTGCTTTTGCTTAGATCATTGTCTCAACTCTAAAAACATTGAAGTGTGTCTAAAATAGCATAAGATAACTTTATAATAGATTTAAATATTGATTGTTATTACTAAAATACTGAATATTGTAATAAACACAAAAATAATTTAATGATTAATATGTATATGCATATCAATGCTAACTACTATGCATGACCTTCCTGGTGATGTAAGTATTATTTGATTGGGTAGTAATTTTCTTTTTTACAGAAAAATGGCAGCAATCATGAAGTAACAATTGTACTTTTTTCAAGAACATTCTACAAAGCAAAAACATTAGAAGAATTCCCACAACATATGAAAGAGTGTTTACAAAAGGATTATAGAGGCAGATTCTATGAAGATTTTTACAGGTTATAGTCAAAATTATTTTTCTTACTAATACTTAAATATTTTGTAGAGTAGCAGACTATTGTATAACATTATAATCCATACTTAAAAAAAGAAAAATTGTAATATCTGTTTGTAAAATAACAGATTTTTACTAATTGCATATAAAAGTATATACAGAACTTTAAGAAAAAAGAATTTTTAAGTTTTTTGTCATATTTTCTGTTTGTTCTGGCTAATCTCTGGAACGGTTGGAGCCTGGACCGATTTTGACGGGATTTTCGCTGGCAGATAACTGATGTTAACGTGCAACAGACCATATGCGAGTCAAGTACGGAAAACGAGTCCAATGTACAATAGCTGATGTTATAAATAGTAACTTAGGCTACTTTTATTTAAAAAAAAGATTTATGGTTCGGTGCAAAAAAATTAAAAACAAAATTCGCGTATTTAAATAATAAGAAGCGAGGGTAAGTTATATAAAAAAATCACTACATATAGTATATAATTTTAGAGTTGCAGTTCAGAATGAGAGATATGAAGACTGGTCAAATGTGCTGTTGCAATTAAGACGGTTGTTTACTGATTATCAAAAAATTGTTTTGCAATATCATGAGAGGCCGAACATGGAAATACCAACAGCAATCAACTCCACTGCAGCACAGGGAAATTTTCTTGAAGTGCTCAATATGAGTTTGAATGGTATGTATGAAATGAATTACTTTAAATTAATTTTTTCCTGTGACCAACCATGGTCCATTGAGATTAGCCATCTTCGCAAGTATAGGTTGATGATGATGCGATAATATAGACATAATCGCTATTTTATTATATCATACTTCTTTTGGGACGTTTGGAAAACATTATGAGAGTAAAATTTTTACCATGCGCACGCACACCGACAGGCAAGAAGCGACATGATGAAGTTAGCTAATAACTTTTTGTTGCCACAGTAACCGTTGTTATTATATATTGTTATCAATTTCAGTGTTTGAAAAACATTATCTAGATAGATGTTTTGACCGTACCGGCCAACTTAGTGTAGTAATAACGCCAGGAGTCGGCGTCTTTGAAGTTGACAGAGAGTTGACTAACGTCACGAAGCAGAGGATCATAGACAACGGAGTGGGGAGTGACCTCGTGTGTGTGGGAGAACAACCTCTCCACGCTGTACCATTGCTAAAGTTCCATAACAAAGACAGCAATCTAAACTCCATAGACGATTACTCTATGCCACATTGGATAAACTTGTCGTTTTATTCAACAAATAAAAAAGTTGCCTACTCAAATTTTATTCCAAGAATCAAATTGCCCCCAAGGAAAAGTCAGGAGCCCTTGAAGAAAATGTACGAGGACGAATATAGAGGGAAATTGTTAAAAGAGGATGATTATATGCATAATTCTATATTTGATTACGACGCGTACGACGCGCAAGTTTTTCAATTACCACCAGCGCATAGTACATGGTAAGTTTAGAAAACCAACCGAGTAGACCATTTGTTGTCATGCAAAATTTCTCTTTTGCTGTTTAAGAATCTCAGTATATAATATAAAATTGCCTTTGCTGATATATAAGATTTATTTAGATCGGCAACATTGTCCTCTCATGAAAAACAAGATTTTGAACAACAAGAAATTCACAAAATCTAGACTGATTTTAAGAATTTCAAATTTTTGTTTTTGGTGTTAGAACAAACTTATATTGCTAATATAAGAGGCATTTTGGTTTAATAATATACCATACACGCAATCTAAATTGACCGTATTGATGTTCTTTTTATTTCGTTGCGCATTTATTTATTTATGTACCATAAAATATACGTTATACAAAATTAATTAACAGAATTTCGCCACTTTTGTCGAAATTATTTATAAGGATAACTTATCTCTTAAAGAGATTTTTTCCAAAAAACACTTCAGAAGTGAGAAAATAAGTTAATTTAGTGCGGTATACAGTACAGCATCAAAACGTATAAACTTAATATAATATAATAAGGGTAAGCCTTCTGAAACTTTTTGATTTCAAATGCAATTATTACTGCGCTATCTGTAAGAAATTCAAGCTGGCCAACTTATATAAATATAAAACTATATATATAAAAGGTGTTAACATAACTGTGTACGTGTTGTTTTGATAATTAATTATTATTTATTACTTTCTAGTGTGCAAAGAATTTCACGTACAAAGAAAACATCTATGGCCGGCTTGGAAAGTATAAGCAGGAGAAGTCCACCGACCACTGCAATACATCATAGAAAAATGTCAGATCCTGATATTCATCACAGCCTTGGCTCGGATATATTGACAAGTTGTAGTAAGTTTGATTATGCACCCTGTTTGCATTTTAATAGGTATTTTATTCCAACCAAGCCATTATCGTGATATAAACAATTGTTTTGATACGATGATTCTATGTTTGTGGATATAGTGTAAAAATACAGCCAATTTAATATACATACATAAAATCATCGTTTTTAATATATTGTGCTTTTTTATCTTCTTTTGATTTTTAAGATGGGTCGATAGAGGGAATATAAGTAAAGGCTTATTTGAAGGGTATTAACTAATCTAGATGAAATTGGTTACTACCAAAAAGAAAACTAAACGAATATGTGAAAATATTGTGAATAATTCTGAACATTTCGAATGTTCTAAATCTATGTCTATCATTATTGCAAACATTCCATGTTGAATTAATTTGATTTAATCTATAGTTAATAGTGGTAGTGATAATAGCATGTGGCCTGTTTTAGTCCTGAAAGGTTAAAAGAGCGCGTTGAAATGTTCAAATGAGCGCTCATTCGGTGAGGACATTTTTTGTTCCTGATTGTCTATCTAGTAATTTTTGATCAATGATTTTGACACTAAACACTTTTTATCGCAATAAAAATAACTCGTAGTTTTCGACGGCAATGTATCAATGTCCATGAATGTCATATTATCAAACGAATTTTTAGAATCAATTCAGTACGTTTAGAGATACTTACACGGGAACTTACAAACTTTACCTCCTTTGTAAATTAATATTAAAATAACAACTATACGGGTAGGTGCCGTTGGGGTTCACTAAAACTCGCTGTTACTCATATAAGTTTAATGTTAGTATATCAATGAACACGAGAAACAATATTATAACAGAAAAGAGTCTTAAACAGCCAAAACACATTACAAATAAGTGCGAGCGCGGGTATCCCTTACCGCTCGGCGAAACGCTTCTAAGCCACTCTGTCGACCAGCACCTCTAGTGGTCGACGCAATATTCACACAGAATTATTTAGACCACCAACAAAGTACAAACTAAACACATAATAACATACATGGAAAATAAAACATATAGAGTAGTACCGTAATTATAGGTAATAACGACATTCAAAAAATAGTACATGTAAAGGCAAAACAATGTTACAGCTTACATATAAAAATTAGTTTATAAAAATAATAATTAGTAACTTAACTCCTAAAGACTGTATCACACTCTATACAATGAATATACAGATAAATACAACTCGAACGAGGCGTCGAGCGACGTGCCAGACGCGGCCACGCCGGCTTGCCGGGCGGCGCGCGGCGCGGCGCCCGGCAAGCCGGTGATGCGCACGGGCCGCGCGCTCATCAACCCCTTCGACCCCTCGCACGTCACCGTCAAGCTCACCAGCAACAGGCGACGGTGGACACATATATTTCCTAAAGGTACGATTATCTGTGTTACACTTTAATATACCTATAATATAAATTTATAAACGTATATATATATATATATATATATATATATATATATATATATATACGTTTAATATAGATTTCTCAGAAATGAGATATTTTCCCGCGGTAAAAAGTATCCTATATGTTGACCCGGATAACCAGCTATCATCATACCAAATTTCATCAAAATCCCCTCCAGTGGCTTTTCCGTGATGCGGCCAGAGACAGAGACAATATCTTTAAAAATTGTAGATTCGCCTCTGTATCTATAATAATGACTATTTCAATAAGATTTTCCAAAAAATATTTAATCTACAGATTCGGCTTGGTTACAATTTTGTTATATGTATAGATTGACTTTTTTTAGATTGATTTGATTTTTTTAAATTGTTGTATTGAGTGGAAAAAGGGGCAACAATTGCTCTGTGTTTTGTTTTATGATTTAATTAAATTAGTCATACATTTCCGTAAAGTTTTTTTGATGCGTTACTGTCTCTGTACAAAATAATAAATACTTCTAAAAGATATTAAAAAAAAATTAAGTCTTTAATCTTGCAAATTCAATAGTTATGGAAATTTTTTATACATATTTAGTTCTTTGTTCTATAAAACATAATCAACATTTAATCATTTCTTTTATCTTTACATAGTAAAAAATGAAGTCGCTTCCGCTGTCTGTTCGCTTAGACCTTTTAAACTACACACTCAACGGATTTTAATGCAGTTTTCAGCAATAGATAGAGTGATTCAAGAGGAAGGTTTATATGTATAATACATGCATATTATAATATTAGTATAGATAGATGAGGGTAACAATAAAAATAAATTGTTTTTTTTTTGGTATCAGGTCCAACAGGAGTTTTAATTCAGCAACATCACTACCAAGCGCGGCCCGCGGGAGAGCCCGCCTCGAAGGTGGAACATCGCGAAAACAATATAAATAAAGATAATGGCTCCATTAATAACAATCACTCTGTGTACCAAGTGGATGGTAAGCACACTTAACTATAGTATAGTATAAAAATCCATAAAGTATGTGATCAATTTTGATTTTAAAGGAAATCCTGACAAATGAAAGTGTTTTTAAAAATACTAAATTTCATGGTGAACGGTTCCAAAGTTAAAACGCTATCTCTAGCTATTAGTATCAACCCTAAAGTTTTTTCCAACCGTTATATAAAAGTAAGTATGATAGTCGGGAACGCCTCAGTCGTGTTTCTCCCCGCACTACAAATTCCTTATCTACAGATAAAACATTCAATAATGGCATTTGTTTTATTAAAGCTGTCATTTGTATAATCTAATAGTGTCGCGATTTTCGTCAGACGATAACTATTTATTACATCTATACTTATATATAGGACTGATATTTTTACTTGCTTCTCGAGGGGTGAAATACTGCCAACTTCCCAACTCCGGGCTGTTACTGGGAATTTCTTAATATAATATCTCATTAACTAAACTTGGCCCACCCATATGAACCCACGACCTCTGGATCTGCAGCCATATATGCTAGGCACTCACATATAAAAATAACCCCTATATAAATAAACTAGCGACTCACCCTCGCTTCGCTTCGGGTTGGTCCCTAGACAAAAACAAATTATCCTACCGGAACCGGACATTTTATGATATATAGCCTATAGCCTTCCTCAATAAACCAGCTATCTAAATCAAAAAGAATTATTCAAATCGAATTAATAGTTCTTGAGATTAATGTGTTCAACCTACCAAACAAACAAACAAACTCTGCCTCTTTATAATATTAGTAAAGACTAGCGATTTCGTCCCTAGGTACGTTTTAAAGTACCGTATATAATTTCACATGCATTTAGTAAAACGCTGTCACATTGACATTACAAACAGACACTTCAATTTTATTTATCTGTATAGATATGTCGCTTTTAGGCAACATAATGAGCCGCAAGCGCATGGTGAGCGTGTCGGGCGCGCTGCCCGCCGCCACCAACAACGCGTCGCTGGCGCTGCTGTGGGGCGCCACCGGCGAGCAGGAGTGGACGCCCGCGCTCACCACCGGTACACTCCCTGCCCACTTCCCGAGCACTCGCGGTCGGCGCAGTACATCTTCTGTGCTGCTGATAGGATTTAGCAAAAGTTTTACGACCGGTCGCCTGCCCGACGTCAACTCTCCTTGGAAATGCTATTGCTTATCGCGGAAGTCTTGTAATATGCACATTCGATTTTTTTTCCTTTTAAAACATTTTTTTATACTATTACTCAAAGTTTTAATGTAATTTTCTAAAATATTTTGAAATAAATTTTGATACTCTTTAGTATTATATTTGCTTAAATTAAGATAAGTTTATACAAGTTTATTATGGTATTCGCGCCCACCACCGATATTTTTATTGCCGTTTAGTTTTATATTTGTTTAAATAAGATACGTTTATACATGAGGTCTGCGCCCACCACCGGTGTGTTCTTTAGTATAATTGACATATTGTGTCATCATGAATAAAGAAAAATATAATCTTAAGTGAAGAAAATCGAAATAATGTCGTAAATCAAATGTGCGTAATTTTACTGATTATTTAAAAAGCAGCAATCAGATAAATGGGTTTGTAATGCCTATTCACAGATGTCATATATATGTTACATACATACAGAAACATTCACCCAAAGAGTTTACTTTTTCGTTTTTGAAATTAATGAAAAATTCAATCACAGATATACTGTATTTTTAAGTGGATAAGTTTGATTATGATTTTTTAAGGTAAATACTTTAAATTCATTCATATATTTAATCATAAGATTGACATTGTAACACGTAATAAAGTCCATATTAAATTTTATTAAGTTTATTGTATATATTCGTATATAATTATTAGTTTCCATTTTAATCATATATGTAACAATATCCCGCCTCATCCATACTGTTAATAAAGGCTATATGATTTCTGATGTTTCATGACACCGTCGCGTTGAAAACTTCGAATCGTTTGGATCGAATGCGGCCCAAAGCAAACCGAGCCATAGGTTTGATATCCCATTCATTGGATTTGCATTGAGTAGTAGACACCCTGCGACACTTTTATATATTATCTCACTTGGCGGGTCGTTTCCACTACGCTTCGTAGATTTTCTGTAGCAAATCCAATTGGCTTATTTTGGAACAAATTAGCCTTTTTGTGTTTAGTAAGTGGGTTAATTTGTTAGATTTTAAAGGGTCACAAGCTTAAGTTGAGTTTTATTGTAAGTAATTTTTATATTCGGTTGTAAATTTTTTATAGAATCAATAATAAGTATACTTAAAGGATTCATTATTTTTATACCCTTACCTTGTGACCATTTCTGAAGTTTATTTAGTAAAATATTAAACATGTGCTTATAACCACGTGCTAATGTTGATTTTTATAAGATTGCTTAGAAAATTGATTTATATATATCTGTTCATAAAAATAGTGCATGACAGTCTCTAGCACTAACACTAAGAGATAAATTAAAATATGAACGCTTTGGGCCTTATTTCGGCAACATTCGATATATTATTTTTTGAAGTAAAACTTCTTTAGGCGTGACTGAGGAGTAAGTTAATATATTGGAAAAATTATATATTTCTATTTTTATAGTAATTATTACTAATAAAAATTAATATTTATAACAATTTTATTAAAAAAATGATGAATATTTATATTTTGATTTGTTTTAATTTAATTACGATATCTAGCGTCCTAGGCCTCCAAAGAAGTTTTACTTCAAACGCGCGTAAAGTTTACACGCACTCATCTTTTTTTTATAATAAACAGCTTTACCATTACTCTCTTAGCATATAAAAATATTGAATGGTAATTGAAGTGCGTATCTCTCAGTCTTGTTCGATATACATATTCTATTTAAGCGACTGTCTATCGTCATTTTCATACTAATTTTCAATAAAAAACATATTTTCGCTATCATCATATTGCGCTAAGTACTAACTGTCGCTTATAATATATTCATTGGCTCATTATTAATATTATACTTATATCGTATTCATGATATTTGTACAAGGAAATATATTAATTCTAATTTAAAATCGATTTATATAGGAGTGGACTGGAAATCATTGACAATCCCGGCGTGTCTTCCTATCACTACTGATTATTTTCCCGACAAGAGGTCTCTTCAGAACGATTATCTCGTGTCGGACTACAATTTGTTGCCCGATGACGTGAATGCAGACTTCGCACAAAATAGGGCCATATATAAGGAACCACTAACGACAATGGAAGTGTTTAAAGAATTAGTCTCTCAAAGGTTGGCTCAGGTGAGATTATGTCAGTTTAATATTATCTTTTAAAACCTGTAAATATTCCATACTATATTTATAGTTGTCTACACTTATAGTCCCGCTTGACTAAAAAAGATAAGATTAAGTAGAAACTACATATAAAACTATGATTAATTATTAGACAGATTACCTGTGGATATACATTATAATCAAGTAAATGTGCTGTGTGTGTGCGTGCGTGCGTCTGTGTGCGTGTGTCTGTGTCTTCCAAGTTTAAACGGTTGGACAAATTTGAATTTAATTTAGATCACAGAGACCTGGAATAACACATAGACTAGTTAGGTACTTAAGGACGTACGAAGGAAGAGTAAATCACTAGTCAAAACATTTCCAATTAATATTTTTATTTTTTATTTTTAAAGGGTTTCCAATTAATAGTCGGTGTAAATGAAAGTGAAGTGATAGAGTCCCACTGTCCCTCGACACACGCGCCGCCGTCCAAGGTGGCGCCGCAGAGCAGTGCGGCGGCCAACGCTGCCACCAAGCGCTACCTGCTCTCTATCGGACGCATCTTCCACAAGCTCACCTTGGTCGGCTCTACCATCACCGTCACTAGATATAGACCTAGGTGAGGCTAGATCTAATTAGGTTTTAACTTGTGTTGAAATCTGTTATTAAAACTACCAATACTAGGTATGACGACACGTTTGGCTCAGTTTGTAGTGACCCTACTTGCTGTGCCAGCGGTAGCGGGTTCGAGTCCCGCTGGGGGCATTCCAGTCATTGGTGTTTATATTTATAATATGTATGTTTTTAATGTTATATATGTGTAGTGTATCAACTATCTGGTATCCATAACACAAGCCTCGTATCTTACCATGGAACTAGATGGTGTTGTGAGTTAATGTCCCATCATATTTATATTTATTTATGATTTATTAGGGTGTCCCTTATTTATTGATTTTTTTTTGTAATGTATACCCTCTAATTATATTTATTACGTATTTATATATTCCCAGTAAAAAAATCATACAAATTGCGCGTGCCTTGCTATTTATTACTAATGTTGAATCGGAAAAATTGTTGTAGGCTTATTTTAAAGGCATTTTTGTATTCGTTTAATTTTATGGCAGAGCTTAGGAAATTGTAAGATTTTAATTAAGCTTTAAACAGTTTCTAAGCATCTTGCGAACAAATGTTTAGAAATATTAGTAAGATTATGTATATATATTATAGGTGATATTATTTAATTAATAAATAAAATTAACTTTGTAATCCGTTTCAGACATCCATATCCACCTTTCAACATCCACTACAGATATCGTTTCCATGCACCCTACCATGACACTTACGAGGTGTCCTGGGTGTCTTTTACTACAGAGAAGTTGGAAAATTACAACTGGAATTACATGGATCATTATATTTGTACACGAGGAGACACAGATTTTTCTCTTGTAGAGGTAAATAATTCTCATAGAACTAAGATAATGCTCATATATTTACATTATAAGTTAACCCATCAAAAACATACATGTGAAAATGGAAGACAAGTTCAATATTAAGAATAAGCGTGGTTGTCAACTTCACCGACAAAAGAATTGCGATCTTAATGGGTGCCAAGTTCTGTAGATAGTCCTTATTTTTTTTCATAAGAATATACAACATTCTAAAATAAATTAAAAAAAAAAGAACTTCTTAATTTGAACTGTCGAATTATTTACACAGAGTTGATAACTTAGGATAAATTGAAATTTAAGATTTGACTTGGGTAGTTTTTACCAGTAAAGCAAGTTTTTAGAAGAGTGAGAAATGTTGATCTTACAATATTAAAACAGCAACTTGTGTATAGCATAAAGAAGATATAAGTGATTAGCCGAATATAAGATAACTTGTATGTAAATGTCTTGATTACTTTTACTTTAAATTAAATGTAGTTATAGTAAGTAATATTTTCACAATTAGTTGAATAAGGGTTGGACAATATTCATGACTCATTTGAATAACACCTCAAAAATTATAATATAATAATCTTTTTTTTTAGTAATGTTAGAATTTTACCATTAAAGGCACTTAAATACTGGCGTTTCCGAACCCTGCTGTTGCCGCTGTCCAACCCGGCGACCAAGATGATCCTCGAGGACGACTCGACCCACTGCGACATCTACCCCACGCCCACGCGCCAGGACCTGGACAACCTCACCGAAGGGTTCCTTAAAATGACTGAGTCATATTTCAATAAGGTCAAAAGACCAAACAAACAGAGGGTAACTATTTTTATAACCTTAAAACGTGATTAATCAAATTCCTGTACATAAAAGCTAAAGAGAATATTTCAACTTCTGAACATGTAGATATAATGCCCTACTCAGTGATTTCTGTATATAGTTTCACCTTACAAGTAATGAAGCATGAATTTTGCACTTGAATGTAAAAAATAATAATGGCACAGCATGATTTTTGTTAATAATTGCACAGTAAGTAGAATTAATATATTTTAAACTTAGATGCGGTTTTAATAGCTATTAATACGATCAGCTCAAACACGAAATTGTAGTTATTTTTAAAAGACTACAGTGGCATGTCCCGTATAGTATACATACATGGTCTTTGTCAAATGTCTCAGTCCAAATTTTTAAATGCCGCACATGAAAAATATTTTTGTCTGCACGTTTGTTATGTCTTGTATATTATATTTTATTTGCTCCTTGTTCTTTTATCATATGTTTAATTTCTTGTTTGAGTATTGCATGTTCAAATAATATAATTAATGTTTTTAATAAATTATTTTAATTAATACAAAAGAATAAATATCGGTTTATATTAGCAAAAAATAATTAAATATGTATTATGTTATTAAATTTGAAAATAGATATCTAGCACATTTATATTAAATTAATAAATCAAAAACGCCTTAATAGCCTGGACTCTCAATTAGAATTTTGACTGTCCTATACAATGAGGCAATAAAAATCAACGCCGGCCCTACACTTTAAAATATTTGTAATATAAATACCGACTAAATTAAATTAAAAAAATATATACATATATTAAAAAAAAGTATCACCATATAACAAATGAAATAGTATCCAATTATTTTAGTTTTAAATTTGAAAAAAAAATATCAGTAATAGTAGGATAGTATGAATATAATAGGTAGCTATGGTAGGGCCGGAGTCGCTTAGGACAGGACTGCTGCAGGTGGCGGGCGGCGCGGCGGCGGAGGCGCTCACGCGGCGGCGCCACTCCACCTCCAACGTCGGCCGGCACGCGCAGGTACTCCGAACCTTACCGCTATTGGTATAAGGTCGAATATCGCATCTCTGGTCAACGTGTTCATACTAATTTACCGCGTTTATAAAGTATGGACATAAGGGCGAAAATCGTATATCTGGTCAATGTGTCTATAGTAATTTACTGCTATGGACATAAGGTTGAATATAACGTCTCCTAGTCAATATGCCCAAATTAGTTTATTGCTATGCATATAAGGTTGAATATCGCCTCTCTGGTCTATGTGGCGATACTAATTTACCGCTATGTATATATAAGGTCGAATATCGCATCTATAGGCAATTTGTCCATACTTATAATGTTACTTGTTAGTGTGTTTGTATATTACTTTCCATGAGGATGACGAAATGTTTTTAATATAGAATTAATTGGGGTTGGATAGTGATGTATAATTTGTTTTAAATATCTCATTCCCTATTGCATTTTATATTCCTATGTACAAAACACACCGGATGACACCAAGTCGACTTCTTGTGTATAACTTTGAATGGTATACCTACATACATCACTTTCATGTAAACTTTGTATGTACCTTTCATGAATTACCTTTCATAAATTAGTATACGAGTGGCATACAATTATTTTATCGCTAGAAAGACCAGAGATGCAAAAACTCGTAAGCTTAGGCGCGATTTTCTGATTTCTTTTTATAGATGACGCGGCACTGCGATATATAGCTTTATTTAAATGATCACTTCCAATGGAGAATCTGCATCTAGATGATATAGACTGAACGGGTACAAATATCACTAAAACGTTTTTTTTTTTGCGTGTTCAATCTAATTATAGTTTTTATTTTGCGAATTTGCAACGTAAAAATTGTTTGACTTGATTTGCTTCACACTTGACTTACAATATCGAGAATTGTGATTTTAAATCACCTGCTACTTATCTCTACAATATTTAAGGCCTTTTTTATTTGCTATTTGTTGCATTTTCTATTAAATCTTGGCACTTTCGAGTAGATGATATGATAGGATAAGAGAAAAAATAAAAAAGTGTCTCCCAATTTATATATTTAACTGTTATTTTCGATTCTGGTAATGATATTTCTCTAGCACACTTAAATTATACCGAATAAAAATCGATGTACAGTACTAAGTACTTATTAGATTACAGTAATAAATCGATTTGGAAATTGGCTATAAACATTTAAACTAATAATAATAACTGAAAGCATTTGTGGAGCTAAAAATAGTGTATCATTTAAAAATAACAGACAATTAAAACCTCACAAGTATTAGCTATGGGGTAGCAAGCACTTTAAATTGACACCATTTTCATTATAACAGATGGCTTATCATACCATAACCTCTAAGTATATAGATGAGTCGAATGTTACCTGCGTATATAAAGCACTGACTAAACTATATACAAAACAATGCACGGACTGCTGTTACACTGTAATTACTTTGGTTGGCTTATTATTTTTATGTTAGAATTGTAATGGAACTTACTGTTTTTCAATTATTCTAAATATGCTCGTCATATAATATAATTTTTAATCTTTACTTTTTAAATTGATTATATTTAACGGTCACTGATTTCCTTGCAAAAAATTATAGCTCATCAGGTCAAGGCTTTCCCAGTGCCTTAGAGTAAAGTTGATGATGATAATAAAGTAAATAATAGTATATTAGTCTAACTGTTATAATTTTTGAAAAACAGCTGCCTTTGTAATCGTTTGATTAGTTTTATGACCTGAGATTAAATTTGTTTTTGTGTATCTCTATATATGAATTTTATTCTAAAGTATACCCTGCAATTTATTAATTCTAAATATAATAAATTTTTTTTAGATTTACACGAATACTTGATATTTTTATTAAAACTGAATTTTCCAGTTTCATTTTATTTTAATGTTAACAGTAAAGTGTAAAGTATTCTAATCATAGTGGTACATGACTTTTTTTAAATATAACACATTCAAACAAACAAACGTCATGTATTAATTATGAAAATGCTCTTTCCTTTATATAGGGTATACTTTTGAAAGTTTATAGTAGATATATATACCCTTCAGTAGTTTTGTAACGATATGATGCGTGTAGCAGGGCGGGGTGTCCAGCTCTCCGTTCAGAGAGCGCGTCGGCAGCACGCGGCTCCCCGACCGCCCGCGGCTTCGGATCGAAGCTATGTCAGTACCGACACACACGACACACCGACATCACAGTATAAAAATCCATACAGTAGACCATCGCCATTGATTTTGACAGATAGCTGTCAAAAGCAAGGGTTGTCAAAAATGCCAATTTTTATGGCGAACGGTTTCGAAGGTAGTGCGCTGTATTGTCATCTCGTGTCAAGTTATAGTTGCCAACCCTAATACCGTTTCCCAACCCGTCATATAAATGTAAGTATGACGATGAGATGAAGCAAATGGTACTGTCTAGACGCCTTCGTCAGATGACATCATGACTGTATGGATTAGTAGACTGTGCTAATACAATGGGTCTCCACATTTTAAATTACAAATATATTATAAATTATCTTTAATATATTATTACATATTGTATTAATATTTAAAGAAATGAGAATAAACGTATCTAAGTATATTTTTTATAATTTGGAAATATACTACATTTATAAGTATATTGATATAATACTTTCTTAAATTTACGCGAATATTTGACATTTTAAATTAAACTATCTTCGGATTATTTCGCGGATGCATTTTGATTTTGGTTCCCACAAATCAAAATTAATCCGCGAAATAATCCGAAAAGATAGTTTTATTTAAAATATATTGATTTAGTAAAAAATTTGGAGATCTCTTCATTTAAGTATGTTATTCAAATAACTTCTTACAGAAACCATAAATTGCTATAGTATTCCGGATATATTTAACACTTTACAAATTGGACGTATTGTATAGTTAATTTTGAGCCATATACAAAGCACAGACATACTTTTGTCTGCTTGTAATTGTCTTCAAACCTGATTGGAATTTAAACTCTAATTCAGCAGGCGTTGGTAGGATTTTGGTTGACTCGCTTCTCGGCATGGCGTGGGGCTTTCGTAGTTCGTTTCACATTAGAGCTTGCGCTACTGTAACCATCTTATATTATTATTATCGCTATATTCCTTCATTCACTTATCTAGCTTCACATATAATATATTTTTTCTTGTATTTTGCTTAAAGGCTTTTATTTATTTAGCTTTACATACTTTTGCACTATATTTTTGGGTATCTTATACAATTTCTAAGACTTAGTGGGACTCGTTCAATATTATATTTTCTTCAATAATCTTTTTTTTTTGTTCTTTATAAAATTAATTTAATATTCAATGTTTATTTTTTTCTAATAGCTTGCCCTGATTTATTTGTTATAAATGCTTGTTATCTTATCCTTACTGAATGTTTCATTGCAGCAAGTTTCACCTACTAAGTCACTAAATTCTAGCCAAGGGAACAAGTAAGTACGCTGCCGGCTTTCATCATTCACCTAACATTTCTAGAGTAACTGAAGCTATCGAAAAATATTAAGAATTTTCTCATTATCCTAATTTTTTTTCAAATTGGCTTTCCAACTAAATGGTTGGGCAAATTTTTATTTTTAAGAAGACTTTTTAATATTCCATTATTTATCTGTAATACTTCCTTAGATTTACGCGAATAGTTGATAGGAGGAGCGAAAAAAGAAAATCATTGTATTTGAACATAATATTTTTTTTTTGGGGAGTCGGATTATTATGAAAATGATGTACTTTACTGTACTTACACGAATTGTGTACCGATTCTCTCAATTCGTTTTAATACCTATACGGGCGATACCATATAAATTTCAAGAAAAACTGTATAAATGTTACTAAAAAATTTGAACTCGATGTATTATTTTAGTAAAAAGTAACTAAAAATATTAGCTTGTAATATTAAAATATGCGCTTAAATATTTATGATAGCTTCAGTTACTTACTATACTTCTTAACTATAATATTATATAAATATATATTTTTCATTGCCAATTTTCTTTGCTTGAGGTGCTTTCACATTTTTTTTTAATTTTTAAATTTAAATATAGCGTACACTCATAGTCATCTTTGTTTTCAAAATATAAATAATAGTAGCTATAATTTAGGTTATAATATTTTCAGAAACGCGGCGAAGACCGTTTTAGAGCGCTCACAATCTCAATCTGGTGAATGCGATGATACCTACGATGATGGGTAAGTAGTTGGTTCAATATTAAATCCATACTAATATTATAAATGTGAAAGTGTGTTTGTTTGTTTGTCCTTCTTTCACGTCAAAACAGAGTGACGGATTGGCGTGATTTTTTGTGTGAAGATAGTTGGAGGACTGGAGAGTGACATAGGCTACTTATGAGGTTATCTCACACACGTTATAATACAACCCAAAAAATATTTATTTGAATTACTTGAAACTTGTTATTAATTCTTTTCAATACAATTAAATAAATACGTGTTTTAGCATTTTTCGAAGTTCATCTCATATCATAGTTCATTTGTATGAAACCTTTACCTTTTTAGAGTTATTTTTGTAGTTTTACCGCGAGCGAAGCCGCGGGTTCTACTAGTATTTACATATAAATTAAATTGTATGTTATTAGCGGCTTAACTTCACTTCCTTACTACTAAATAACTATAACAGTATGTACATTCTTCTACTACTTAAATATTCCATAGAAATATCCCAAAATAAAAAAAAATCTACTAATAAAGACTATCTCCGCTTTTATTGAAATTCAAGTGTGACATTTCTTAAATAATGTATCCTTTTATCTATAATAATATTATAAAGAGTCAGAGTTTGTTTGTTTGAACGCGCTAATCTCAGGAGCTACTAATTCTCCCCCCCAACGTGCGTTCACCTTGTCGTGGTGGGGGGGCTCAGTAGTAGTAGCGAAGCTAAGAAACGCACAGGGAGGATGCCCACTTCGGTGGGCGGTGGGAGGTGGCCCTCTTCGGAGGGCGGTGTGTCATGTGGGTTGCTCCTGGTACTTCTCTGATAGCAGAGTGGACCTTGGAGCAACCCCATGGTTGTGGTGGTCTGCTTAGGCAGACCTGCCGTCGGGGCGTCGTAGTTGAATGCGTAAGCGATCCTGCGACGCCCCATTAAGACGGGGGAAGGTTTTGTTGGGTTTTAGTGGGTAGTACTGGCTGTATTGCGCCGGTGAGTCCCACACGTCGTGCGTAAATGCATTTCCCAACGTTAAAAAAAAAAAAAAAAAAAAAAAAAGGAGCTACTAATTCTATTAGAAAAATTCTTTTTGCATTAGATAGCCCGTTTATTGAGGAATTCTATATGCTATATATCATCATGCTACTGCCCAAGGGGGCGTAGCAGTAATCGTAAATGTCAACAAAACGGGCAGACTTCCATACATTATTATTATAGAACTGATGTTTATATCGGAAGTTTAAACGCGGGCGAAACCACGGGTACTGCTAGTTAAATTTATTTAGGTCAGTCTTTGCCAATAAAATTATCTATTTCAGTGTAATCGAACCCAAGTTAAAAGCGAATGCGACGCTGACAGAGGTCGTAGAGCGAATGCGTCACCCGAGCCTCGGGGTAGGTTTTCTGCAACAAACAGTGAGCTTGCCCTCGCACACGTTCGTCTCCATCTACGCGATACACTGGCTTCAAGCTAATATGGAAAATATTACATATGAAAAAGCAACCAACATTATGGAGGTACATAACTGTTCTTCTATAAAACTTATAGGTATAAACTGATTTTGTTAGGTAGATTTAATGAGGTCTCGGGTTTGAAGCCTGGGTCGGGATTCATTTACTGAGTAACTGGGTTTATCTGTAAACAAATTAATACTATCGACATTTTCAGTATTTTATTTAATACTTTTGACCTTTACACAAGGTCATTAAAATATATCCCTGGAGAAATGTGTTATTCAATAGTTTAAGAGTTTTTTTTTTGGTTTTAGAAACTTCTCCAAGAAAAGATGATAAGTCATGCTTCTGGAGATACATTAAAACGTTACATCGTCGGCTATTACATGTTTCATATTCTCCCACAGAAAAAAGAAAAAGGTTAGTCATAACTTATATTAAATCAGATTTTAGTAAAGGCCTTGTAACTTATTGTAATGCATTGCTTTTAGCATTATAGTGTAGCGATAATAATATTTTTATTTAATATTTTTTTAATATTTTTAATATATTTTTTTGTTTAATCTTAAAAATGAGCTTTTAATTTAAATTGTACAATATATTTTCATAGTTACATATTTTCGGTGGTAATGTATGTTAAATTTGTAGAGATCCAAAATGGTTTTCTTCTTTTATTTATTGTGCTATTTTTTGTTCTATCTGAAAAACATTGAGATTTTAAAATTTCTTACCTGTCTATTTTTCCACTAACAATTTAGACGAGTTGCCAATAGTAATGTATTACATATTACGAAGTTTAAACGTAATATATGTAATATTTGAGGTTAATTTAATCAATTTAACAGAACTAGGAGAATACGTGAAGCCGTTAGGTGATCTCCAGAGCTTCGAGAACGAATGGATGGAAGTGGAAGTACTGGGGCCGAGGTCACCGCTGCTCACTTCGGAAAGTGCCGTCGGTGCGATAGACATATCCGGCAGCAGCCCCGCCGCCGCCGCCGCCGGCGACTCCGGCATGCCGGCCTTCCTCTGCGATAATATAGACCCCAACTATCTGCAGCTCGGCAGTGATGACTGTAAGTTTGTTATCTTATAACTAGCCCCTCACCCTCGCTTCCCTCGGGTTCGTCCCTAGGTGCGTTTGACGGTTAGTATGAAATAAAAAATTTTGAATTTCTCGGCTTTTCTGTACTATTATATGCATATTATATATATAAACCTTCCTCTTGAATCACTCTATATATTAAAAAAACCGCATCAAAATCCGTTGCGTAGTTTTAAAGATCTAAGCATACATTGGGACAGACAGACAGACAGCGCAAAGCGACTTTGTTTTATACTATGTAGTAATTATTTTTTTAACCGAGTTTAAAAAAGGAGGAGGTTGTTCGGATGTTTATATATATTTTTTTATATACATGTTTGGGCATAACTCTGTCGTATATAGACGGATTTGCAAAATTCTTTTTTCGTTCGAAAGAAGTCTATTAATTAGGATAGGAGGAATATTAGGAAATGGTCCCATTTAAAATTGAGAAACAAATCCACCCATAAGTGTAGAATGTAAGGGATAATTGATTTTTCACCTACTGAATTTTTAAAGTACTCTCTTCTTATTTTGCTACTATTATGTCTACACTAAAAATGGTAAAATATAAACCAACTTCAAAAAAAACATTAAAAATTAAAAAAATAACTGATTAGCAGTTCTCATTTACTATAGATACTTAATCAGATTTTTTTGAAGTCGGTGCCAGCCGATACAAATACAATGTAGACTCTTTATATTTTAAAATAAAGTAAAAATACTCATAAATATGACTGATCTATCTAGATTCAAGACAAACAACTCAAAAATGCCTAATGAAGAAATATGAAAATTTTAAAGCAATTATTATATACATTTTTAATTTCAGTCGACCTACAACCTTATGAGGTTAAATTAAAAGTCGTTTCAGGTCGTAACCTTTCAAGGTCAATGTCTTATAAAGAACTTACCTCACATTTCAACTTAAAGTTTGTCCTTCGAAATACAGTTCTCATTAAGAATATATGGTTCTAACTTCTAAGTACTACATTTATCGCCATAAAACCAAGTTATTTAAACTAAAATCCAAATGTTTGTGTATTATTCATACAGATATTGCTCCCCAAAATTCGTGCAGGAATGTTAAACCGACGGCATCTTATATAGATAAGATTGAATATAACATTTTGGAACAACACGCTTTAGCATTACATAGTTTATATATTGCAATATTTAAAGTAAAACTAAAGTATAAGCAGGATGGAAGCATTCCACAATTTGCTCAATTGGCAGTTTTGTCTAAATTAATTTTGAACATATTCAATTATTCCTTGATATGATTTTTGTATTTTTAAATAACATAAAAAGAATCAATCACCTTGATTCTCTTTGTTATTTTGTTTTCAAATGTTACATATTAAAAATATTGATTAATAATTGGTAATTAAAATTAACTGTCTTTATTTTGAATCATAATTTTATCGCATTTAACTATATAGGTCCTTATGAGGTAAACTGGCGGATTTAGCACTGCGTAATTTGTTATGGTTCCAACCCTTTATGTTCACTAGATTGAGATTGAGAGAACGTTATTTGCCTCGATGATCTAAAATTTAAATGTTACAATACAAGCTCTTAATTTGGATGTCATATAACGCCATAGGTTGTGCTGATCTAATATTTTACCGGTAATATACCGGTGCGACCAGTATGAATCGATGTCTACATTCAAATTTGACAATTTCAATTAATAGGTAAATAATTTTTCAGTACCATTATATAAGAATACGCACTTAGACATCGATGTCAACAACAAAAGTGATCGTATAGAGTGGGGCCACGCGCGCTACCAGGCCACGTTCAGACCCGACCAGGCCTACGAGATGTGCATACAGTGGGCCATTGCTAGTGGAAATATTGTCGCTGAATTAGTAAGTATACTTGTACATATATAGAGAATGATACTGCAGATTGATATTATTAATCTTAGAAATTGTTTGACTTTCTCACTGGTCTAGTATCTACAGTTGTATGTCCCAGGGTTCTAGGATCGAGTCCTGGGTCGCGCCAAGTAAAGTTTTAGGTTTTTTCTGGCGAGAAAATATCGATAACATCACCCTTACGCGTGAAAGTTATCAGTTTTTGCGCCTCATTTCTTATCGTTTATATCGAATTGTCGTACCACTGGAGCTTGAAAATAAAAGAAATATAGAGTGCACTTGTGTCAATTGTTTGCGTGCACTCGTGCTAGTTCACTTTATCTATACTAATATTATGAAGGGGTTAAGTTTGTGAGTTTGTGAGGTTTTAGGGGGCAAACTCTGCATCTACTGAACCGATTTAGATTATATTTGGTAAGAAGATAGTTTGAGATTCTGGGAAGGATATAGGATACTTTTTATCCCGGAAATCATCTCTTAAAGGGTTGAAAATGGGGATGAAAGTTTGTATTGGGAAGCAAACTACGGACGAACCCGAGCGAAGCGAGGGTGAGTCGCTAGTAGTAGATATTGTTATCTCCTGCACACTTGGCAAATTTCAATGAGGTCGACCACATTGACCAAAATCGACCAGAAAAGTATTTTTAATAATTATTATTGGAAAGAATTATTATTAGATCACTTTTAATATTTAGATTTTTTGATATGTTTTAGAATACATAGTTTTTTTTTCTTTTAGATAGTCGGTTGGGCCCGCAAAGCGCAGAGCTGCCGGCTGCAGATGGTGCCCATCCCGGCGGACCCGCTCGCTTTGCCCTTCACCGTCAAGTCGGATCCTTTGCGAGGACCCATCTATATACCTCTCAATGAAGAGCCGTTGTTGGGAGGAAAACTCGCCTTGTTCGAAGGTAGGTATAACATATTATATGTGTTACGCATAACGAAATCGTTATTTCTAATAAACATTACCCAAAATTATATAAAATTAGTTTCTCACAGCTCCTTTCATGTCGTGGATACGTAAATAAAAAGTAGCCTACGTATTGTATTCAGCCCTTTTTAACGTCCCACTGCTGGGCACGGGCCTCCCTTCAGCACGAGGGGACTCAGGCCATAGTCCACCACGCTGGCCAAGAGCGGGTTGGCGGACTTCACATGTCTTTTGAAAACTTACTAGGTTCTCTCAGACATGCAGGTTTCCTCACGATGTTTTCCTTCACCGTTAAGTGGTAATCATGTTGGAAATGATTCGCACATGAAAATATCAGAGGTGCGAGACCCGGGATTTGAACTCACTTCATTCGGTTTCCCAAGCGAGCGCGTTACCACTGGGCTACCACTGCCTTCTTGCCTATGTATTAATTTAGTATCTAACTCTAATATAAATTTCACTCAAATCTATAACGCCATTACAGTGTAAAGAAGTAACAAACATTTTGCACTTATATATGTACACTGTGTAATATGTTAAAATAATTAAGTATGAAATGATATAAATAAATCAATGTTACAATCAAAATCCAGTTATAGAATATCTAACCATAATTACCTTAGAAAGCTTTTTTGTATAACAATAATAAAATTGTTATAGTTAAAATCTATTATTGATCCAATCGTAATTCATTTAATGACCTTGTCGGTCTAGCTAGTGACTAGCATGTACGGCTGCCGATTCGGAGATACTGGGTTTGAGTACCCGGTCAGGCTAAGTAAAATTATTGAGATTATTTCTAAAATAGCTCTCAGTGACAGCGGGTAAAGTTAAAAATATTGTAAGGTAATTGGTGCAATTTTCATTTTGTTATTTGTGGATAGGCTGTCTGTAACAACTATACCTTCGAGACATGTAACACCTCAGTCTCTCCCGTGACCATGATTGCTGTAAAGCATTCGAAACGTCGGGAACCAAAAATCCAAATAAATCCGCGAAAAAATCCGAAAGATAGTTTTATTTAAAATGTCAAATATTCGCGTAAATCTAAGAAAGTATTGTGTATCAGCGGGTAGTTGAGTCGTTGGAGGTAATACACCTCCGTGTCTCGTAGAGCACGTAAAGACTTTCTATGTCGAGCTCCATTTCTTGCCGGTCTTGTGGAATTATCATCACGCCGGATTACGAGAGTGAAATGTATAGCGATTAGCGAGTGTACTTATGTTTGCACGCTCTATAATATTTCCTACACAAATGGTCTCAGTGACAAAAATGCTTCAGGAGGGCAGTAACATTATGTACAGATGTAAGAGACGGACCTCGATATTATTTTATCCGTATTAACATTATAAATGTGAAAGTTTGTGAGTAGGTATGGATGTTTGTTACTCTTTCACGCCAGAACGGCTGAACTGATCTGGATGAAATTTGGCATAGAAATAGATTATATAGTCTGGAATAACACATAGGTTACTATTTTAAACCGGAAAAATGTACGGTTCCCGTAGGATAGGTTTGTTTTTGTTTTTTCTAGAGATAAATTTTATCGCTTATGAAAGCTCACTAACTGAACTTTTCTAGTTATATGGATGTGTTTATTTATGCTGATTTATTATTACTTAATATTTCCGCCATTTTTCCAGAATTAACTTTATCTAATCTAATTTCATATTAATTGACTTGAATCTAATTTCATTATCGTAATGAAATCAATATGTTAGGTTTACATTTATGCTTAAGTGCCTTTTCATATACTGAGGTCACTTCAAGGAGCTATTCTGACACGAATAAGTATTAGTCACGTAATAAACTCACTAGAAAGTCTCTTTGTGTGAATTAACATTATTTCTTTTTGCATACACAATTACGTTTCTTTTCGAAAATAGTATTTTTTTTTTGTTTAATAGTTACTTATATTTCTTTCTGAGATTTCTTGTTTTTTTCGACAGAGAACATGGTTCCCATGGACAATCTATACTTCAATGCACATAGAGTTACTTTCGCATTTAGAATACTCTGTTTGTCTGTTAACTTTTCACGCTTAATCCGCTGAACCGATTTAGACGAAATTTGATATGGAGATAGTTTGAGACCTTGGGAAGGACATAGGATAGTTTTTATCCCGGAAATTATCCCCTATGGGTGTGAAAAGGGGGTGAGAGTTTGCATGGGGAATCAATCATTTCTCAAGTAAAGGGAGATAAAACTCCTCATACTTATGTATATATAGTCTATATATTCCCTACTAAGCGTGTAGTAGCACGAGTTTTTTAAGGAACACATTAAAATTATAAATACAAAAAGTGTGTGTGAGTGCGAGTACATGCGTGCGTGCGTGTTTGTTACTTTTTCACGCTGTCTCAGGGAAATAGACTTGAGTTAACCAATGGAGATAGAACCACCTTTTAATACGATAATTTAGTACCCATATATACAAATTATATCATTATTAATGCAATCACCGCCAGGTTTTCCAGAAGAGACATGGCTTGAGCGTCTCTTCTTGTTCCAAGAAGCGATAGTTGAACGTTTCGGCTTCATAAAGTGTACAGTAGAAAGTACGTCGCACGCGGCCGGCGTCGGCGACCACCTGTACGTGCACGTCACCGGCAACATGTTCATTCTCATCCCCACTACCGTGAAGGCCGAGCTTAAGGGCTTGAGGTGCAAGCCAGTTAACAAACCGGTAAACGCTAGCAGGTATGACTATTTTTATTATATTTGTTCTAGTATGAATAAATTAAATAAGCTCTTTAATAAAGCTACTACAGGTTAAAACAATTTTTTTGATATTATGTTTAGTTCCATGACACTCTGGACTACGCTATATTATTTGTTAATCTGAGTTTATTTAAACGGACTTCTGAAACAAAAACCGTTTCTATTAAAACTTGTGTATATATTAATAAATTCGAGTTTGCTGTTGCGTCGTTATGTGTCGGTGTCCACATTTGTCTTACATTACCTATTTCGTCCAAGCTACAGGTTCTTAGCTGGCACAAGGCAAAATTTTTATATTGACTTGAGAAAGAGAAAACACACAAAGTATACATTTGAATAATATTTGAATCGGTCTAATAAAGAAAATATAGCGTTACATCGTCATAGCTCTAACGATGCGGAACCGAGTGTTGAATCATAACTGCAAGGGCGATAATGAGCTTGAGATTAGATTATAAATATAACTAGCGGACCCGACAGACGTTGTCCTGTCTACACGTCTTTAATTTGAAAATTTCAAACTTTTTTTAATAATTTTTTGGATGAAAATTATTATTCAAATTGTGAATCTAAACCATTCCCAGATCCCCTTGAACACACACAAAAAATTTCATCAAAATCGGTCCAGTCGTTTGAGAGAAGTTCAGTGACATACACACTCACAGAAGAATTATATATATAAAGATATGTTATTATAATTTCATAATTTTATATTTTCATATAACATTAATAATGTAGTACCTAGTACCCTACTTACTTTTCATAAATTAAAGCTCTTAGGTTAGTTTAATCTATACATATAATAAAATTGTAACTAAGCCGAATCTGTACATGAAATATTTTTTGGAAAATCTTATTGTAGATGTAGACATTATTATCGACACAGAGGCCTAATCTATAGTTTTTATCATTTTTGTCTGTCTGTCTGTCTGTCTGTCTGTCTGTTACCGCATCACAGAAAAACCACTGGAGAGATTTTGACGAAATTTTGTATGGTGATAGTTGGTTGTCCGGGTCAACATATAGTATACCTATTACCGCGGGAAAATGTCTCATTTCTAAGAAAAATACAAAAACTGCAATGTAAGAGTACACTAATATATAAAACCTAAGAATTTGGTTTTTGGTCATCTAAACGCGGGCGGAGCCGCGGGCAATGCTAGTATGATCTATATTTTTATTTTTATATTATTATCTTTTCGGATCTTTACGTGGTTTTGTTACCATTGTTACCATGATTGCTGTAAAACATTCGGAACAAAAACCAAAAAAAAACCGCAAATAGATAGTTTTATTAAAAGTTAAATATTCGCGTAAATTTAAAAAGTATTACAATCTGTAACATATTTGAGTCATGAGTTAATTAACCGCAATTACATTGACTTGTAATTCGCTCTTCCCATGAAAGTACACTCACAGCTTAATGTAAAGAAACAATACCATGAAATATATGACGACACGTTTGGCTCAGTTTGTACTGACCCTGCTTGCTGTGCCAGCGGTCGCGGGTTCGAGTCCCGCTGGGGACATTCATTTGTGTGATGAGCACGTTTGTACTCCAGTCATGGGTGTTTATATTTATAATATGTATGTATTTAAAATTATATATATGTAGTGTATCAACTATCTGGTATCCATAACACAGGCCTCGTAGCTTACCATGGAACTAGATAGTAGTGTGTTAATGTCCCAACATATTTATTTATATATGACGTTCGTCGTTCCTGTTAGGTACTTTGTTAAGAGTAAAGTTCATTGATCGTTGTAAATGAAAACTGTAGAACGATATCCTTCGTAGCCGTTCAATGAACTTTGAAAGCGTCTGGGTCGCTACATTCATTAATAAAGTAAAAACGACCTGTCAATATTATTCTGACTTAAATCTATACATATAATAAAATTGTAACTAAGCCGAATCTGTACATTAAATATTTTTTGGAAAATCTTATTGAAATTGACATTATAGAGGCTGAATCTATAGTTTTTTAGAATTTTTGTCTGTCCGTCTGTTACTGCATCACGGAAAACTCACTGGAGGGATTTTCATGAAATTTGGTATGGTGATTGCTGGTTATCCGGGTCAACATATAGGATACTTTTTACTTCGGGAAAATATTTCATTTCTGAGAAAAAATACAAAAACTGTATTGTAAGAGTATACTAATATGTAAAACCTAAAAATGGTTTTTGGTAATCTGAACGCTGGCGGAGCCGCGGGCAATGCTAGTATAATAATAAATTACACCATTTTATTGTTATTTTTGAATCACTTTTTGATAAGTTAGTTAAGATATAAAAGCTTTTGATACAATTTAATCTTATCACCGTTGTGAGTGTCTATGGAGTGCCAATTAGGCATTGTGTTAGCTGTTAGAGCTATGTTCCGATCAATATAACAAACAAATGACGAATGATATGAAATATGCAAAAACTAATTAATCTTTTCAAGGGAATGTAGAAAGAGAAAAAAGCATTTATATCTTTCAAAATTAAAACTGTTAGGTATATCCAAATGTAAAAAGGTGCTTTATTATAATAATATAAATTAAATAATTCAACTTTAAAACTCAAGTTACATATATCAAATCTCAAATCCTAATAAAAATTACATATCTACCAACCAAAGTATGAAATTATATTCTAGAGGTCGGTGCCGTACACTCTCCCTTTTATTAAGTGCTGAAAATATATCATCGATATTTTAAATATAACTATCTTTTCGGATTTTTTCGCGGATTTATTTGGATGTTTTGTTCCCGACGTTTCGAATACTTTACAGCAATCATGGTGACGAGATAGACTAAGGTGTTAGATGTCTCAAACTTCAAAGGTATTTATTACACAGTTGTTACAGACAACCTATCAACACCTAACAACTGTGTAACACCTTCGAGACATGTAACACCTCAGTCTCTCCCGTGACCATGATTGCTGTAAAGCATTTGAAACGTCGGGAACCAAAAATCCAAATAAATCTGCGAAAACGTTCGAAAGGATAGTTTTATTTAAAATGACAAATATTCGCGAAAATCTAAGAAAGTATTATTAGATCATCGGTTCACTTTGGCTTCGTTCTAAAGTATGTATCTAGCTATCAGGAGTAACAATTGTGCAACGATCTATTTTAAGATCTTATTTATATCCTTCGAAGTCCTCGTCCAATGCACTGGCCATGTTTGTTACTTTAATGTGATTTAATTAGTATTATTAAGTAGAGAACTTTGTTTTAGGTATCCTGTTCCTTTTGAAGCAGCTCCAAGTCCTCATGAAGGCTACATAACACGTCATGTCAGTGGGAAAAATAAAGACGATTATGATAATAATCGAAGGGTCAGTTTTTTTTACTCCTCACATATTTTCTTCTAGCTAATTAACTCTAACTAAAATATCATAGATGGATATAATATCTCCATTTTTTAGTAGCAGTATCTATTATAATTTTTTTGCGAAATACTAGTAGGTACATGTTTATTTGATTTAAATATATTTTATGTATTAATGTACTTATTATATATTTCACATTAAAATAGTCTGTAAATATTATGTAGGTATGTAGATTTCAAACTTATGATGTATTTCTCCCATTTTAAATAATCCGTTAAAAATTTTATACTTCTATATCGACAATATTCTGATATGTAAAGGTAGGTACCTCCCCTTATGTTGGTTGGATATGTACCTACATGTTCAAAATGTATAGTTTCTAGAATTTTTGTCTGTCTGTCTGGAAACGCGTTACGAGAAAACCACTGGACAGATTTTGATGATATTTAGTACGATGATAGCTGGTTATCCGGGTCAACATAAAGAATACTTTTTACTGCGGGAAAATATTTCGTCTGTGAGAAATCTATACTAAACATTATAACGTAAATAGAGACGAACCCGCGCGGAGCGAGGATGAGTCGCTAATATAAAATATTAAGTATCTTTTCTTACAGATGGGTTTTCTGTGGTCCTGGAATCACATGATATCAAAAAAATGGAAATGGTCTCAAACTCCAGCTACAGGAGACGAAGGTTTTCAAATGAGAATGCTACGCGATTTTAAACATTTCTGCGCAAATCACGAACAGAGATTGAGTCAATTCTGGGATCAATGTTGGGAGCTACGTGAAAAAGCAAAGGGAATAAAATGTTTTTAATAAAATTAATTTTAACCTGTTACGTGTGATTTTTCTGTTTATCCTTTCTTTTTACTTCATAAGTAATATGTCTTTGTTGCCTACCCAAAATTATGCCTAGACTCTGAATGAAAGGGAGCGAAAAAAAAACTCAAGTAGATATTACAAAAAAGGAAAAAAATATTTTATTTATCCGTTCCAGTTTGAGTTGTCAAAAATTTACTAATTGGGGGGAGTGTAGGGAAAAACGGTGTTTTTGTGAAATTTCAAGTAATATCTAGGGTACTGGTTTTCAGAACCCCAGTCTACTATTTACCACAAAACGTCAAGTAGTTTATTAGGCGCTCTAAGATATCATTTAAGCTGTAAGTTCTCAGCCTCAGTTTTACTATACACAAGTACTGGCATGGTGCAGTAAAGGCCTAAGCAAAAAATAATTGCTGATTAAGTGGTGTACCAATTTTTTTAATTCTTTATAGGTATGTCATACAGAAATTCAAACGCATAAAATAAATAAATATCATCAAGTTAGAAAATTTTTCTATGGTAAAACTATCTTCATGTTTGTATTTAATTGATTGGTATTTTTATCCAAATGTGTATTTATAATAAAAATGCAATAGGTCTTATATATAAAATAAAATATAATGAAATTTGAAACTATTTATTGCTTAAGCAAAATACAAAATATTTTTACTTAAAAATACATTGTTTTATTTTATTTGTTACTATTTTAAACACTTCAAAGAGATACATCGAATTTGTTCTTGTAATAGGAATTCTAGCACATACATATATAATATTATGATATTTTCGGTGTCTTATTTCAAGGCACAAATTTGACTGTATAAAACCCAAAAGATCTAACATCAGTTTAAGCTTAGTCTAACATCAGTCGGCACTTAACATCAATCCATTTTTATAAGGCAAACTGAGATGATTTTATAGTGCACAAATAGTAATGCAACGATGCGTAGATGCTATAACTTATCAATGTTATGCATGCACCTAATTATTCTACCTTAATGTATCTTAATTAAAAGAAAAAAGTATTTTGAAACAAAATATTTCAAACATTTCTCATGTACTACATTAAACAAAAAACTAATAATAAAATGCACATATGTATATCACTAAAAAAAAGAAAAAAAAAGAAAAAGACATATACAGAGTTATAATTCTGTAATCAAAAAAAAAACTTATAAATTGTTAAGAATGATATGTAATGTCATAAATATGCAAGACATATTTTATACCATTACAAAAAATCTGAACCTATGCGATTCCAAATAACAATTTAATGGAATGTACTTTAATATACTTTAATTATTTATTTAGAAACAGATTAATTAACTGGATACATTCTAGTACAGGCAGTAAAAATGGCAGTATTTTAAGTACATTTTTATACTAATTTTGTTAGAAAAAATATTTTCAAATCTTAAAAATTTACTGAAATATAAATACTACAGTTATTTGAGCATATATATTAAGATATTATTATTATGGCTTAGTATTTCAATCATAACATTATTTCATGGTAAAAGTCATTAAGATTTCCATTCATTGTTCCATTGCATTTTTAAACATGATTTTTTTTTAAACTCTTTCGTTTTCAAAGCATTTTAAATTAAATGAATGGTTTTAATACATAATAATCATCAACTCGGTGAGTATTTTGCACACCATAATTAATAAAATAAAAAGATTGACAAATGAAATTGCATTAAAATTTTAAACATATTTTTAGTTTCTCATTACTTCTTATTAAACAGAAGTAATCTTGTCAACATAGTATTAGTACATGGTACTTGCTTCTGCTGATGCATTGTTAGCATATCTGGAGTATTTGATTCATAGTCAAATGCTACTCTCTTTGTGACAAAAGTTAGCAAAGTAAGGATGTCTTTTTTTGTGCCATTTTCACGAAGCTCATCACAAAGTGCCTGCATGAACCATGAACCTCGAGTAGTGTTTCTCCAAGAATAATAACCTGGAACTGTTGAAAACACTATCAAAAAGTCAGCATGTATAGGAATTCTGTATGATGGACTTGAACCATCTGTTTCGGTCCTGCTGGTCAGTGTTATTCCTCCATCTAATTTATCTCCCTGGCATGCTTGTATAAAAAAGAGTTTTGGTTTTCCTGCCAATGTAGGGCATTTATCGGCAGTAAAATAGTACCAGAGAGTGTCAGGCTTATAATGAGTATCTTTAGCATAGAGCATACCCATCTCTCCGTGACTCAGTACTGCAATAAGCATGCAATCATTTTCAGTGTGATCCATCTGAGAAACCTCTTGCAAATATCTATTAACATCTTCAAATTTTAAATTATTTACTATTGTTACACGAAATCCCAAGCCTTTTAATACTCGTGATAAATTGTCGCTGTCAGCATTCGTTCCTGTACGAGGTCTTAAGTTGTGGATATCAAAGTGTTCATGATTAAAGATAATTGCCATACCACGATTCTTATGATTCATGTTATAATATATCGCGTCTCTTTCTACAGGCATTCTAGCGTAACGGCGTACTGATGAAGACTCGTGACTACCCCATGCATCGCCTTCATCACCACCGCCGTTAGACCTTTGTTCTCTCTCAACTTCTATACTGTCTTGATCACTCATTTCGGACATGTTTTCAACTCTAATTCTACTTTATATTTATGTTCGTTAATTGAAAATCCAAAGTTAAATATTCAAAAGCGTTTTAATTCAAGAGTCTCTCGTAAAATAACGAAGATAAAAAACTAACACGACTTGCGGGTAATGAATACGATACAATATACAATTTCGAATTCACTCACAACCACACGACATTGACAAAATGACAAAAATAACAAAGCTCTGTGGCCTGTGCTCATCACAGACTGAGGTTAGACATCACAGATTATTAATATGATTATCAATTATGTATATATTATACAGTCCCTGTTTTCCAATTACAGAACATAATGACGCACTTTGGCGCACAATGCCGAAGTGGACTAAATCTAATGCATAATTAGTTTTCAAGTGCACCTGCAGAGGGCACTAGGTTCAGTGTAGAAAGAAAAAAATAACTAACCAATAAATATGTAATATAAAAATATACATATAACTAATAAATATATAATAATATGTAACTAACAAATACATAATAATCTAAATAAAATATAAGCAATAATTACTAACGATAATGTACATAAAATTTTGATTAATGCTGCCTTGAAGAAAAAACCGCTTCTTATATAAATATATTATTGTTAATGTGTTGGTATACTTGCGCGCATCACGCCAAAACAGTACTTTTCAAAATGCTCGATTGTGCGGAACATTCGAAGCTATTATATTCGCTGTAGTACTCTAATTGGAAAACAGGGAGTACTCTATCATGGATGAAAAATACCGGCATCACGCGGACGGATTTTCAAAAATCTTTTATCAACTCAAAGCGTATATTAATTATTAAAGTATTAATTTTCTGGCTAACTTTATAAAAATCATCTTTTTCTAAAAACTAATGTTACATTTATGCAGGGCCTCCTCTAATAGACCAACGAGAATGTTACTTTCGTTCGTTGGGTTTCTGAATCACACCTGCTTTCACGTACGTCCTATTCACACGTACCAGGTGTAAGATCGTCCATCACAATGATGCTCTCGATCAAAGAATAGTACCAATAATTTTAACTCGTATTTGATATTTAATTTAAGCAAGCGTTTTCTTTGTTCCTAATTCATTTAAACTATTTTTTCTTTTCAACCCATGCTTATATAAAGAATAGATTTTCAAACTTTTTGAATTTGTTGTTTAGTCCTTTTTTCACGCAATTGTAATGGAATAACGAATCGATGCCACTTTAAGCTTATTTTTATTAACAATAGGTTTTGGGTCGTAAAACTATATGGTAGTTCCCGTTGACCTAGAATCACAAAATTTGGCAAAAAGCAAGGTCTTACAGCACAAAAAAGGGGAAAATGACGAAATAAAAAAAGTTGAAAATTAAGGTAAATGTTGATACTTACAAGTTTTCGTCTATCTATCTCATCCTATCATCATATCTTTTTATCGTGTTGACTCAGGACCTTGATTTTTATATTCTTAATGGGGACTATAGATCTTAGTATCTGGTATAAATTTCAACTTGCTAGGTCCACCTGTTGTTCCTGAGAAAATCTGTGGCGACACACGGACAGACAGACGTACAGACGGATAAGAGACTGATCTTGAAAGGGGTTTCTTTTTTACCTTTCGAGGTACAGAACCCTAAAAAGTTACCGATAGATTTTTTGACTTGGCATCCGGTTGATTACCTATTTGTTATCGATTGTGTCTTTTTGTTCCTCGTCATAATTAAATTATCGTAATTGCATATTTTTTGTACACACAATAATAAAAACATAGAGTTTTATTTAAAATTAAAATATTAAAAATAACGATCTACCTTATATTATACACTGTTATTTTATAACGCCGCTACCGCCTACCACTATAAAACGTTGCCATGGAACATTTAGTACAAACACTTTGTAGGATATGAATAATATGGATTAATTTAATATAATATTTAGTTACTTTACCGTATAATGTCAATATTCAAAATAAAACAGTGGTGGTCTAATGATAAATCTCAGAGCGCGGAATATGATGATGGCATTCAAAATAGTAATTGTATTAAAGCAGATAAATTTGAATCCCACAAAGATAGTGATTGCTTGATTATCGGCCAAGGTTCATTGTTGAACATATATAAACCTACTACTGAAAACAAAAATCCTCATCCAATTTTAGAAACTAATTTGAACGAAATTATATTACAAGTAGAGACGGGTAAATTTGTAGCGTAAGTATTTATTTATTATCGTTTAATCTATTTTTCAGTGGTTAACCATTTTCTTCATACTTCTCCTTTGAATTTCTAGAGATTCAGCTGATAGACAAATATTGTTATTACATCCAAATAGCTACGTCGTTTACTTTTTAAAACGCATTGGTGGTCATGTAGATGTCGGTAAGTTATTATATTAATTGCCTTGTACGATTTTGCACGTAAGTAAATGTACTACGTATACTTTACGACAGTTACCTATATAGTAAATATTTTTGTTTCAAGGGGAACAAAACTCTCTTACTGATGTTATAAAACATTCATTCATTAGAAGGGCTGCTAGTGTTATTTCTGGCCCTTTCGGAGCTTCAAAAGGCAGAGATCTAATATGTATTCAAGCTATGGACGGTACCTTAAGTTTCTTTGATCAAGATACTTTTTTGTTCATGTGTGTTTTTAACGACATCATAATACCAGGGCCGATATGTTACACAGCTAACAGTGATCAATTCGTCATTTGTAAATCGACTTGGATAATGGAAATATTCAGGTTAGTCCCTATACTGCTTTTAATAAATTTTCCATTTTCTTGTTAGTGGCTTCAAAATGTGCCATTTGAGAAGAATTAATGAATACAGAAGACACGAGGGAGTTTAGTTCTTTAAAAAATGTTATATCTTTAAAGTATGTATGTAAGTAAAAAAAAAAGATAAGTTAATATTGGTCCCGCTGAGTTTCTTTCGCCAGTTCTTCTCAGGTCTGAGGCTTCTTCTTTCTGAACTGGTAGTAGACTCATGACGTTCAGTAAAAAATTTAATGCTGAATAAAATATTTTGATTTGATTTTATGCGTTAACGTACCTATGTCTAAATCGTAGATAATTTTCTCAGTTTTCAGCAATTAAATGAATTAAGCGAATTAAGTATTCGGCAAAACAAGAAGAATATTCCTCAATGGAGTTTTAATCCGGGAGAGGAAATTATATCTCTTCAAACCGTTCGAGTATGATCATTTTTTCCATCTACATACACATTAAATACTAATAATTTTCCTTATTAAAATAGTACCTATATTTTAAATTACAGACTAGCAACAATTTTTCTACAATTGTAGCAATAGGAGAAAGACATCTATATTGCTTTCAAGATAACGGTTTAATGAAATATATGATTAAGTTCGACTATATGCCAATTTGTTTTCATGCATATTTGATCGGATGGTACTATGGTAAATATTAAATTATACACATTCACAAGTACATACATTCAACATTTTATTTTTAAGATCGATTGGCGGTGATGAGATTTTCCTAGTGGCTTGTACGAGTATAACGACATATAAGTAAGAAAAGTAAAGTTTATAGTAATATTTATTTATGAGCATCTTTTTTGAAGCCATTTTACGATGCGCGCGCACATCGACAGCCAAAAAGCGACATGATAAAATTAGCTGCATTTCTTTTACAAATAGAGATTTGTGACATACAGTGATGAAATCTTTAGCTACTTTTGTTCCGTTACGTTAAATGATCAAAATCATTTTCGTTGCTTCAGAAAAAAGCCACTAGGGAGACCTAAATATATACTGCAACCAATTAAATCAATCACCTATTTCGATTACAGAACCTAATTCCAGATTACTCATAATGGTAGCTTCTGAAGATTCAAAGCTAAATATATATGAGGGAACATCACTTTTATGGTCTTGTGATTTAATGCATAAAGTTATATCAATAGCCCGTTGTTATTTGAATTCCTTATCAGGAGGTATTCTCACGCTTTCTACTGAAGGCGTTGTGAACGTTAGCTATCTCGGAACGGAGCCAGATTTAAATGCAAGTGGAAATGCAATGAATGATATTGCTGATGCTAATCAGATTCAAGCAGAATTAGATATCGTAGAAGAATCTTTGAAAAAAATAATGGACGCTAAAGGAGGTAATAATATGATTTTTTGACATTTTATGAGCTATGGGATCGGAAATTAAAGTAGGTACGTGTTTTGCACTACAGATTTTTGTTTTGCTTTTGGTTCACAAGAGTCACTTGGCGGTTCACGAACAAGCATGCAGTACCTACATGCACAATTTTGATTTAAGTCAGTCTCTGAGTGCTATTTTCCACCAAAAGTGACACTTTCACATATGACTTTACTCTATTTTTCCTATCTCATTTTTTCGTATTTCTTCTCAATCTTCTCTTTAGCTCTGGAATACAAATGAACTCTCAACAGACTGCCAACCCTTTTTATATGCATAAACAAAAAACATTCTAGCATTAAAAATTCCAAATTTTCGGGTAATTTTAATTCCTTTCTGGAAAATATTTTGTTCCTCTCCTAAACATGGCAACTAAGATTAACTGTTCGTGTCATTAATTGTCACACATTGGCAACTGTCTTAAGGTGTATTAAGCATGCTTCAGACGTCCTATTTTTAATATTATTTTTGGTATTAAGACGTTACACACTCTCCACTACGCGACAACATGTTATCAAGAAAGCATTATTTCAATAACATTATCACTAAAAATGGAGTTCAGTTTTAGGTTTTCTTCCTACCTTATAAGAAAAATGTAAAAGAAAAGTAATGAAATAAAGTAATTTGTGTTTTTACAGAAGTGGATGAAGAAGATATAGAACTTGACCATTTGATGAAAATAAAAATTGATGTTGGAAATTTATTAAACAAACCTATTACCGATTTTTCCGATAATAGGATGAGAGCTTTGCAAACATGTCCTTTAATTATTATAATAACCTGCGAAAATCCTAAATTGATTCAGAGTTTACAAATAACTTATTACTGTATTCCACCTATCGTTAGTTTAGAGAACACACAGTGCCTGGATGAGATAAATGGCACTGAGATATTAGAAAATTACCTGTTCTTGTTTGATGATGGCGATGTATCAGATTGTGGATTAAATATAGAATTTACCGTCGTACAAAATAATGGCAAGATACATATATTTTCTAGAAGACTAATAATACCGATTAATTTTTATTGCGTACCAACTGAGATTGTAATGGAAAATGATTTTAAAATAAATATAAGTACAAATAGGCCAGCTTTGGATTTCGTTGAAATTTTTAGTGGTATGTATAGTGTTAATCTATACTTATAAAAATTGTAACTAAGCTGAATCTGTACATTAAATATTTTTTGGAAAATCTTATTGAAATACTCGTAGACATTATTATCGATGCAGAGGCCGAATCTATAGTTTTTAGAATTTTTGTCTGTCTGTGACCGCATCACGGAAAAACCATTGGAGGGATTTTGATGAAATTTGGTATGATGATAACTGGTTATCCGGGTCAACATATAGGATACTTTAAAACGTAAGTAGGGACGAACACGAGCGGAGCGAGGGTGAGTCGCTAGTACTTTAATATTTCTTGCCAAATGACATCACATATTTTCTATATAATCATTTCGGCCCATTAAAGGTTTTTATATAGTCTCTTAACCTTTATTCCTTAGAAATTTCCGATATATAGAAGATTTTTTAATTGTTTTTATTTAGGGACTTTTTAAACATAAAAGGAAAACGTTCGTCCTTAAAATGCATAAGTATATTTATGATCTATTTAATTACATTGAGATGGTTTCACAAGGTTTGCCGGCAACGTATTAAAGATAAATAAAAGGATTGGCTTTTCCATTTATATAGGAAACAAGAATATTCAACAAGTCTCATTAACACCAATCTTGCATTGTATGTGAAGTAGGGCAGTTATTGTTATCGCACCCACCCATCCGTCTGTCTGTTTCTCCATCTATAAAATGCAATTTCGACGACGTTTGGCTCAGTTTGTAGTGTCTTTGTACTTGCTGTGCCAGCGGTCGCGGGTTTGAGTCCCGCTAGGGGCATTCATTTGTGTGATGAGCACAAATGCTTGTACTCCAGTCATGGGTGTTTATATTTATAATATGTACTAGCATTGTCCGCGTTCAGATGACCAAAAACCAAATTCTTAGGTTTTACATATTAGTGTACTCTTACATTGCTGTCTTTGTATTTTTTCTCAGAAATGAGACATTTCCCCGCGGTAAAAAGTATCCTTTATGTTGACACGGTTAACCAGTTATCATCATACCAAATTTCATCAAAATCCCGTAGTTTTTCCGTGATGCGGTAAGAGACGGACAGACAGACAAAACTTCTAAAAACTATAGATTCGGCCTCTGTATCGATAATAATGTCTATTTGAATAAGATTTTCTAAAAAATATTTAATGTACAGATTCGGCTTAGTTACAATTTTATTATATGTATAGATGTAGGTATTTTAAGTTATATGTAGTGTATATGTAGTATAGCAACTATCTGGTATCCATAACACAAGCCTCGTAGCTTACGATGGAACTAGATGGTGCTGTGTGATAATATCCCAACATATTTATTATTATTATTTATCTGTACCTACTAATGCCGGATGTTGGGACTTAGGAGGTATTTTGAACAAAATGCGCATAGACTTTAGAGTTATAAATCTATTTCAGATTTCACGAGAGATGAACTTATAAATTTTATAACTGAAAATATGTTGACATTAAAATATAGAACATCAGACAATACAGTCACCCTTAAAATTTCTGAAAATATGTATAGCATAGAAGCAAATGATTTCATGGAAATGTCGCCAGTAATAGATTACATTATAAACTTCTTAAAAAGTTATCATGAAAAACAGGGTGCTAGTGATTTTAGCATACATTGTATAGTGAATGGAGAATTAATAAAGCAAATTATACACGCATTTTTAAAAAGTATCGAAGGGCATGCTAAAGAGAGGGTAAAATTAAAAAATTTAGAGGTAGGTATGTTTACGTTCAACTGCTTTTAAGTTTTCTTAACACACTTGTTTTAACTTGATAAACAATCAAATCTAAGAAATGAAATAAACTTTATTCAATTAGATGTATTACAAGTACTTTTGAATCGACAATTTAATGAAAGCGTCAGTGTAGTCAGTCCTTGAGGAAGCTACCACAAGAAGTCAAATTAACTTATTTCTAAATTATTGCTGTATTGATTTAATACAGCAATAACTTTAAAGTAGGTACCTAATTTAAATGTAATTTGTAAGTATGGGAAATTAGGATGATAGTACAAAAGTTTTATACTATCAAACTAATTTTTTGATAAATCCAAAAAGAGGATAGTGAACGTTTCAATGGCTACTACCTAGTTAAACCTTTGAATTTTGGCTATGTAATTGGTCTGAAGAGTTTTTTTAGTTCTAACGCTATAACTAAAAGAAAATTTAAGATCTTTTTTATATAACGTTAAAATTAAAAGCATGTTTTCAAATTCCTAGGAAGAGCTGAACATTCTTCAAAGACAATTTACGTTAGTACAAAAACGCCTTTTAGTTCAATATGGATCACTGCCGCCAGGAAACTGTGATCCATTGGAATTTCTCATGTACGATACACACGAACGAATAAAGATGGCGGCGTATGGAATGATACAGAGTAAACAAAATGTTCTCAGGTAAAAAATACATAATATACGAGTATATATAAGAAACTAATTTATGAAACAACTAGCTGAAAATAAAAACTGTCCCACTGGAACCGTAACCGTAGATTTTTCCGGGATGAAGAAGCCTATGTGTTATTCCAGACTATAATCTATCTCTGTGCCAAATTTCATCCAGATCCGTTAAGCCATTCTGGCGTGTTGAGTAACAAAAATCAATCCAAACTTTTGCATTTATATTATATAGTAATGGGACATTTTCCACATATGTACTTCCAAACTTTTTTAATGTATTCTGAACACATCCCTTCCCTTTTAGTGTTAGGATACAAACGTAAACATTATTTGGTATTTTTAAAATAACTACCTATTTAAAATATTATGGTTTAACCCAATGATGATGCTTATTGTTACTAGGAGGGATTTAATCACTGAAAATTTTCAATTCAATTTCAATTGACCTATTCTTCTTGAAATAAATTTTTACAAGTAGGTACTATTTTCAGTGCCGGATCCAACCTTAGCGCCGCCCCTGGGCATAGTAAAAAATTCCGCCCAATTATCGAAATTTTGCATAAAATGGGTAGTTTCGATAAGGTTGTTTTTAATTATTATTTTTTTGAAAAATGCAAAAAAATAATTTATAAATGATATCAATTCTTCGAAAGATGTACCTATTAGTTACGCTTTTATATTTTTATTTTTTTGTAAAATAAAAAAAACTTTTTTGATAACGCGAAGAAATTTTTTTTCCCGCCCTCCGAATTTTGCCGCCCTGGGCACTAGCCCCGAATGTAAATCCAGCGCTGACTATTTTGGTCAACGTATATTTTAAATTTATTCGCGCCGGCATATAATAATTAATACTTACTTTACATTTTTAAGTGCTGGTAACAATTTAAGAAGATATGGTTCTTTAATTGTTCACATATTGAAGCAAACGGTAACCGATAATTTGAAATTAAAACTTATAGAAGAAATGTTAGCATTGGACACTCTTAACGGCCAGTTTCAAGTGAGTAATTAACGTTTCTATTGTTTTCATCCATATACCGTCATCGCAACCGACAATTTTAATTATTTTATATACCCAACATTTGATCAGAAATAGATCGACACGTTACGCCTAACACTACACAGTTCCTACACTATTAGGTACATCTATACATATAATACAATTTTACCAAGTCGAACTTTTTGAAAAATCTTATTGAAATAGACATTATTAGTGTATGTACATATAACATTACCGTGCTATAGTAATTCGAATTTTTGTCTGTTTTTGCGTCTGGGAATGTATCACGAGAAAACCACGGGACAGATTTTGATGAAATTTGGTACGATGATAGCTGGTTATCCGGGTCAACATAGGTATAGGATACTTTTTACTGCGGGAAAATATCTCATACCTGAGAAATTTATACTAACCATTAAAACGTACCTCGGGGCGAAACCGCGCGCAGGGGAGGCGGAGGGAGGGGGCGAGGGTTTATCGCTAGTTAATTAAATAAATAGCTTACGTTGTTTGCTTATAGAATATATCCCGCACATACCAGCCACGATCAGGGAATTTATTCAGCCAAAATAAAGTCGGTTATGTTAAAAATGTGTCAGCCCTACCCGAATTCCCAATTCACCTTTTCATATAGACTAAGGCCGTGGATATGGATGCGTTTCCAGATAGACAGACAAAAATTCTAAAAAATAATGGATTCGGCCTCTATCAATATTAATGACTATATCAATATAATTTTTAAGAAAAATATTTAATGTAGGTACAAAGTCGGCTCAGTTCGAATTTTATTATATGTATACATATAAGTTATTTTTTTAATCTCCTTAATCTTGCTCATTTAGTATGAATGCTGGATAACAAAAAAACCAGCTTTTTCCCTATTCACCCCTGCATCCCTAGAAACCCGTTTTACGGTACACACGATTTTGATCTGAAAGGAATACCGACGTTTTAATAGCCTACAAAAGCTGAGAATTGCGTTAGACGTTATCTACACGACTGTACAATGTACATGTACTAGTTAAATTAAACATTGGAAAATATGTAACCAATTGCATTTGATAAAAAAATAAATCGATTTTTTTAGGAATGGGAAGAGGCTGTTGCACAAGGACTGTCTTACATTCTGAACAAAATATTCAAGAAATCTGACAAAGATAAAGAAAAGCTAGCACCAGTCATCGACCAAGGCATACTTTCACAAACCAATCTTAAAAAGCTTTTAAAGCAATTGCGTATTATGTTTGAAAAGGTGTTTGCCGATCAAAATATAGAGGAAAAGGGAAAGATAACACGAATAGAGGAATTTGTTGAAGTGATATAATTATTAAAAATTACAAAAGCTCAGTCATAACACTTGAGGAAGCTTTATTTAATTATTTACAAAGTCTTCAAATTACATGCAATTGTTTCCTTGCATTAATAAGACTTAAAGCCTTTATATTATAACATCAATATTTATAAATATATTACTTTATTGTAAAAAAAAAAGATTTTAAAATTTACTATATATATTATTTAGAACACAGATCTTAATTTTATTATTTATAACACCTAGTATTATCGCGTACATTAACCAATTAGCTTAGCCAATTGGCCATACTCCTTAATTCAACTGCAAATCAGTTGAATTAAAATCATGTAAAATACAAAAATATTGCATGATCACTTCCCTCCAATCACAGTGCATATAATCAGAAGACAAAAAGAGGTTTATTATAAAATAATAATTTATTATGTAAATAGTCCACGGGTCAAGCAACGTGTAACAATGTGTATAACGCGAGATTTAGATACAGCATGTGTACAAGCAACAGCAGCACTTTGTCGCGTCATTTCTTCTTAGCGTCCTTGAGACCGGCGCCAGCGTTGAACTTGAAGAAAATTATATCGCCATCCTCCACTACGTAATTTCTACCTAAAATTAATAAAATACGTGCGTTATATAAGAGTTTAATTTATTGAATGACATATTTCCCGTAACCCGAAACATACGACAACAAATTTGATATTTAAAAAAAATATCTTTGAATATCTGTCAATCTTCAATCGATTAAAAAGAAGTATCAACCCTTATCTAATTTATCAAGAAAAAAAATATTCCTATAAATAACCAAGAGTCATCTAGTATTTCATATCACAGCTTATGGAGGTTTCCACGAGAAACAGTTCCACTCAAAATTTAGTAGAATATTTTTTGTATAATTATCTCCAAAATTGATCTTGAACCGAATCAAGGTCATGCAAGCTTTCCATACTACATATAAACTATAATACAAAGCAAGGTCAGATTTGCCTAGTAGAGCCATAGAGCTATACATTCGCAAAAACAATGAGAATGCCCCGCATGGCGCTAGTATAGAGTGAGGTCTGTGCGAGCTTTTCAAAGCGGATCTTCACTAATTGTTCATGATTATTATATAAACATTGTGCCATTCCCAATTAATTGTGGCAGATACTACCGTATCCGACTCAACAATACATGTTATTGCTTTAAAAACTAAGAAAAAGTCAATATATCATAAATGTCCAAAACAAAATCCTGATAAACTGGTGCGGCGCTAACAGTTATTAATACTATATCAAAATGGCCCTGCCGCACTAACAAATACTTGTTTAACGACAGCGATACGACCTTACCCGCCAGTAGCGCCAACTAGTGCTACCAGAAATAGCCCGTATTAAGGCATGAAATTGAATTCCGTAGATAGTGGAGTAAACAATAAGATGTTGTAAACATTAAGATTGATTTTTTATTTTATTTTAATGTGATTCTAAGCTGTCTTTTTACATAAAATATAATTTGTAAATATTTTAAAATAATATTAACGTAAAAATACATGCCACACTAATTCTGCATTTTATATTACATATAAAAATTAAATAAAAAACAATATGTAAATTTAATTATTAATCTGGGTAAACATATACATATAGGAATGTTACGGCTATACTGTAATAGCCTGGGTTACAATAGTACTTTTCCAATTACACCACTAATAATAATGAATCTTACCTTGTTGTCTGTACTTGCCGGCACTTTTGCAAGCGGCTTCCGAGCCCTCCTCCTTAAAGTCTTTGTAATGCATCACCTCCGCCATTATGAAGCCTTTCTCAAAGTCCGTGTGGATTCTACCGGCAGCTTGTGGGGCTTTAGTTCCTTTCTGTTAGTACATAAGAGTATTAAAGAAATGTGGGAAATAAAGATGTAATTTACGATAAGAGCGGATTTTCGATATATATATAGTTTTTAATGTTATGTAAAAATATAATTATTGGGCTTCAAATAATATAAAATTGTAAGTATTTTAATAAAGACTACATACTTTTGAGAAAAGCTGCAGGCAGAAGCTGTTGTTTATGATTACGCATATCTTAATATTGTTGTTAATTGTAACTACAGATTAGCTAATGACTGATTAAAACGTATTTGGTTTTTTGCCACTAGATGTCGCTGTTTTTTATTTCATAGTTCATACAAATCCTTAACGTCGACGCTATAGTCTAAGTTAAGAAGTTCGCACGTGGGACTAGTCTGATATAACATTCCAATTTCGAATGTATTGATCTAACTTTAATGTTATTTAAAAAGAAAATATTTCTTATTAAATTTCAAGCACAAGACGCTGCAATTACTACTATGGTGAGAGAGAAGCTTGTTATATATATATATATATATCTTTACCTGAATGGTCCAAGCTTTGACTTCATCGGGTCCAGCTGTAAAGAAGTATTCCAGCTGCAGCGCTTTGTAACCTTGTACTATTATTTTATCTAGTGCACTGAAAAAATAATAGGTACATAATTAATAATAAGATAGGAAAATCCCAAACATACACGATATATCAAATCATATATAGGATACAAATAAAATGAAAAACTCATTTATTTTTTTCTAAGAAAGAATTTATAAAAAAAATTGTATTGTAAAAATGTTCAAAATTTCTTTTTCTTAGAAAAATAAAAAAAAGATATTAAAAAACACACCGGTTCTCCACTTTGTATGTTTTGAATGCTGTGATACATACCTTTACTTTTCAAACCATTATGAACAATTCTCATTGGATATTGTTGATGTAAGATGCGAAAAATAAATACAGATTAAATCGAAGAATATATCATAAAAATACATTATGCTTAACCTTATTTACCTGGTGATGTTATTTTCTTTGAGGAATTGTTTTCTCTCTTCAGGCTCCATATCTAATAATTTACTTTCCAAAGCACCAGAGAATGGTATCAATGGTGCTCCGGGGTCATTCTTGTCAATCCATTCCTTTAGTTTGGGCAACCTGTATTGTCATTTAAAAACATTATGAGCATTTTTAAAATTATTATTGTTAATTAACTACCAAAAAGGTTTGTGTATACATGATACCTTTGTCGAGTATGAACTGACTTTAATATTCCATTTTTAATAGATGGATTATTTAATGGTGATTAATAAATATTAAAAATAAAATTTGGTGTCGTCTACCCTTTTAGTTAAAAAATACATAATAACAATTTAAAATGCAATTTCTAAATTAGTATCTAGACCAGTGATGGGCAAAGTACGGCCCGCGGGCCAACTCCGGCCCGCGAAAGTATTTAATCCGGCCATGTCGATAATAAAGTCTATTTCAATAAGATTTTCTAAAAAATATTTAATGTTTTTTACAGGAGGTAGGGCACAGTGGGGTATATACCCTAATCGAATTGGAGCAGCCCGACTGGCAAGTACCTCCGCCTTACAGAAAATCGCAGCCAAATAACACTACTCTATGACGGTGTCGTGTTCCTGCGGTGAGTAAGGTATCCAGAGCTCCAGAGGATTTATTGTGTTGATAGAGAGGGGCCGGTGATGCAAACGGCACAGTCATCGGCCGGTGTAGGCGCGGTGTGTGGGCGCAGCGGTCAGTGAGACCCAGTGAAACGGTTCGTCGCTGGCCGCCCGCGGGTCAGTAGAGTTCCCGAACCCAGGGATTACCTAATCTCCGCCCTGGGAGGCTGAACTGCCAACCCGCGTAAAATCCCTGCTGTAGCAGTCGTGCCGGAGGAGGAGACCGGGGTGGACCCGGCTGTTGCAGTGGGGGGGGACTGGGGGCCCTCTCGTACGCTGCGCTGACAACCCGTACTACTTATGCTAGCCTGTGGCTGGTCTGCATTGCAAATTTGCCCCTTTACCTATCAACACAACAAATCCTCACAACAACCTATAAACCACCCCCACCAAGAAAATGAAGAACAAAAGGAAAAAGAGTAAATGTTACACAGCGGCTCCCATCTCCACACAAGTGGACTTCTGCAACATCAGGGGGCTCCATGCAAACCTCAGCGCAGTCCATCACCATCTGGAGACTGCGCAGCCGACCTTACTATTCCTCACGGAGACGCAAATATCTTGCCCGGCCGACACATCATACTTGCACTATCCCGGCTACAAACTAGAACATAAGTTTCTAAGACGTGCCGGTGTATGCATGTTCGTTCGGGAGGATATCTGCTGTCGCCGTCTCCTTCATTTAGAGGACAGGGACCTCTCGATATTGTGGGTGCGCGTGGACTACGGTGGCCACACCCGTATTTATGCGTGCCTATACAGGTCTCATAGCGGTGACAGGGAAACAAAAAGACTCTTCGAGCACCTGCAATTGACGACGGACAAAGTTCTTGAGCAATACCCCTCTACGGAGTTGGTGATTTTAGGAGACTTTAACGCCCACCACACTGAATGGCTCAGTTCTCGGTCCACTGACTACGCGGGGAGGTGTGCTCACGAATTTGCTCTGGCCTATGGTTACTCACAACTGGTGCATTCTCCAACAAGAATACCAGATATTGAGGACCATACGAGCTCAATACTGGACCTTCTGCTGACTCAACGTCCGGATGGATATTCCATCTCAGTAGATGCACCACTTGGCTCGTCCGACCACTGCCTTATCCGGACTCTTGCACCATGCGCGCGCCCAGATCCACCTCGGCCAACTAGCTTGCGGCGCATGTGGCAGTATAAGTCAGCAGATTGGGATGGATTGCGAGAGTACTTCGCATCGTACCCGTGGAGGCAATTGTGCTTCACATCAGAAGATCCCGACATCTGCGCAGCTGCTGTCTCCGAGACAATATTGGCGGGTATGGAATGTTTCATTCCAAACTCGCTAGTTGCTGCCGGGAAAAAGAAACGACCGTGGTTTAATCGGCCTTGTAAGAAAGCGAGATACATTAAGCAAGCCGCGTTCAGGGATTGGATCACGGCTCGGAGTAATAGCGATCCAAATCTTTCTGATGTGAAACGCAAACTAAATGCCGTCTCGAGGTCCAGTAAAAAAACAATTGTCAGAGCTTTATTCGAGTTCATCGGGAGAATTGGCGAAAAGCTGGCTAGTTACCCTTCCGGGAGTCGAGCCTTCTGGTCGCTCGCCAAAGCTGCCGAGGGGAACTTTTGTCTGTCGTCCTTACCACCACTGCAAAATGCCGACGGCAACCTGGCCCATAGCGCCAAAGAGAAAGCCGATCTACTAGGTACACTCTTTGCCACAAACTCGACTTTGAAGGTCAATGAAAGCGCCGCACCGCCAACTATCCCACGGTGTGGACACTCCATGCCGGAAATAAATTTCTCACAAAGAGAAGTCCGGCGGGAGCTGCTAAGTCTTGATGTTCATAAGTCGAGTGGGCCCGACGGCATACCAGCAGTGGTACTCAAACAGTGTGCTCCTGAGTTGTGCCCTGTACTAACGCGACTTTTCGCACTTTCCTACCAATCTAGGCAAGTACCGTCTTCGTGGAAGACCGCCCATGTGCACCCGGTGCCCAAAAAGGGCGATAGATCAGACCCATCGAATTACAGGCCTATCGCTATTACCTCTCTTCTCTCCAAGGTTATGGAGCGTGTTATTAATACCAAGCTCCTCAGATACCTAGAGGAACACGATTTGATCAGCGACCGGCAATACGGCTTTCGCCACGGTCGCTCGACTGGTGACCTTCTAGTGTATCTGACACACCGGTGGGCTTCAGCCATCGAGAGTCAAGGTGAGGCGTTGGCAGTTAGCCTAGATATAGCAAAGGCGTTCGATCGGGTCTGGCACCGGGGTCTTCTCTCGAAGTTGCCATCTTACGGACTACCCGAGGGCTTGTGCAAATGGGTTGCCAGCTTTTTATCTGGTCGATCCATCAGAGTCGTCGTTGATGGCTGCTGCTCGGAAAAACTAGATATAAACGCTGGCGTCCCGCAAGGTTCTGTGCTGTCTCCAACGCTTTTCCTTCTGCATATCAATGACTTGCTGTCTATTGATGGCATTCATTGCTATGCGGACGACAGCACTGGAGACGCTTTCTACACAGGCCGTGCAAACATCCCTCGCTCCGCTGTGGTAGAAAGTCGCGAACAACTTGTGTCTCAAATCGAGAGTATTCTTTCCAGAGTCTCCGATTGGGGTCGGGACAATTTAGTCCAATTTAACCCCTCCAAGACACAAGTTTGTGCGTTCACCGCTAAGAAAACCCCATTTACTGTGGCCCCTCAATTCCAGGACACACCTAACCATTTCCAACAGTATTGGTATTCTTGGTGTCGACATATCCAGCGACGTCCAGTTCCGAAGTCACCTGGAAGACAAGGTCAAGCTGGCATCCAAAAAGCTAGGTGTGCTTAATAGAGCGAAGCGGTACTTCACGCCGGGACAAAGACTGCTTTTATATAAATCGCAAGTCCGTCCCCATATGGAGTACTGCTCGCATCTCTGGGCGGGAGCACCGGCATACCAGCTTGGGCCTTTTGACTCGGTTCAGAGGAGAGCTGTGAGAATTGTCGACGATCCAATACTCACAAGCGATATAGAGCCCCTAAGTCTAAGAAGAGATTTTGCGTCCCTATGTGTGCTCTATCGTTTGTACAATGGGTTGTGTTCCGAAGAATTGTTCGAAATGATGCCCACGGCCACTTTCTATCACCGCACCGCTCGCCATCGACAGGGAGTTCATGCTCACACATTGCAGCCCAAATGGTCCCGTACAGTTCGGTTTCAGAGGAACTTTCTCCCACGGACCATCTCGCTGTGGAATGAACTCCCTGCCGAGGTTTTCCCAGAGGGCTACAGTATGGGGTCCTTCAAAAGGGGAGTAAATAGGTTTTTAAAGGGTCGGCAACGCGCATGTGATGCCCAAGGTGTTGCAGGCGTCCATAGGCTGCGGTAACCGCTTACCATCAGGCGGGCCGCATGCCTGATTGCCACCGACGTGGTATAAAAAAAAAAAATGTACAAATTCGGCTTAGTTACAATTTTATTATATGTATAGATGTCAAATATTCGCTTAAATCTAAGAAAGTATTACATACTAACCACTTATTCTTTTTCCTGATGTAATCCTTTTCGGACAAGTTCACGAGATACAGCGCAGGTTTCGATGTCAAAAACAGATATTTGTTAAGAACCTCTATCTGAAATAAAAAAAGAAAGCAATGCAATAAAATGATATTTTTGCTAACCAGATTTTTATTAGATATACTAGCGTTGCCTGCGGATCCGCCCGCGTTCAGATTACCAAAGACCAAATTCTTAGGTTTCATATTAGTATACTCTTTTGTTGCAGTTTTTGTAATTATACTCAGAAATAAGATACTTTTCCGCGGTAAAAAGTATCCTATATGTTGACCCAGATAACCAGCTATCACCATACCAAATTTCATCAAAATCCCTCCAGTGGTTTTTCTGTGATGCGGTAACAGACAGACAGACACAAATTCTAAAAACTATTGATTCGGCCTGTGTACCGATAATAATATTTATTTCAATAAGATTTTCCAAAAACATATTTAATGTTCAGATTCGGCTTAGTTACAATTTTATTATATATGTATAGATTAAAGCATAGTATTATTTATAAGGTTAACTTCTCAAAGCAGATTTTGACTTTATAACACATATGGTATTAAAAAGGTTTCAATAATGTCTTCCTGACCGACCAATAATTCAACATGACCGGTGAAAATTAAGTTTTAAACCGACGTGTTTTCACGCTCCCCGAGGCACGGGGGTGTAACACCACTAACTTCCCTGATCCAGACAGCTACTGAGTTTCTTAACAGAAAACCAACAACTATACACACTTAATCCGAGCAGGGACTCAAACCCAGGACGTCTATATCTGCGGCCTTACAAAATATTTATACTAACGGTGACTGTTGTTAAGTTGGAACATACATCATCCGACCTTGACTATTCCTTTCACTATAATTCTAGATAACACTATATATTTTATCTAATATATTGAAACGAGCAATTCTTGTAAATTTATTTATACCGGCGATCTTGGAAATGGCTCTGACGATTTCTTTGGAATTTGCTATATAGGGGTTTTCGGGGGCGAAAAATCAATCTAGATAGTCTTATGTCTGAGAAAACGCGTGTTTTCGACTTTTCATGCAGTTTTCAATCGCATTTTTTCGCTAATTTCGCACGCTCGGGCATATAAGCATTGTGGTGAAGCGGCCAAGGCACAAATTGACAATCACAGGTGTTCGAATCCCAGTCGGAAACAAAGTTTTTACTTATGTTTTTTTTGTTTCATTTTATATTTATTCAAGTTTTTCGTTTTATTTTGGTTTTTTGGCCAAATTAAAAAGAAATATGTACTTCTGGCCAAAAACTTCGAGCTTGGTGGTTCCAGGTACTTAAATTTATAACGGAATAAAAATTGATGTATCAAAGATGTTAATAATGACAATTAAAGTATTCAAAAAGCGATTGCTTACATCTGCGGCGCTCCAGTCACCAAATCTTATATGTTTTTTCTCTTCTCCTAATATGGTTTTAATTTTAGCCAATGCTTCCTGAAAAATAAAAATATATATAATTTGTATATAGAAATATTACAATAGTACTAATATGAATTGTTACATCAATTCATATTAGTACTATTGTAATTGTAAATCTCTATATCTAATACATTATTATGAGACCTGTTTAAATCTTTAGTTGTTAAGAGTGTTGGTTATTACAAAAAGGGGTAATTTGTTGGTTTTCTTTTTTTAAAGTTTGTGTTGTTTGCTTTGGAACAAATTTCTTATCGGCATACTGTAAAATTACGACCGTCACGACACTTAGTATTATTCATCAACCGACTTCAAAAAGGAGGAGGTTCTCAATTCGACTGTATGTTTTTTTTTTTTTTTTTTTTATGTTTGTTACCTCAGAACTCCGTCATTTATTAACCGATTTGGACAATTTTTGTTTTGTTTGAAAGGGTATACTTCCAGATTGGTCCCATTTAAATTTCAAAAAAAAATACCACCCCTAAGGGTGGAAAAACAACTAATGATGAATTTAACCTACTTCTAATTGTCATATTGACTTGAAACTTTGCAAGTATTTCTATTTCCGTTGATAGTACAGTGGTTCGGTGTTGTTGACCTGATCTGATGGCAAGGCCAGAAGGTGGATAGGTGGAACTCTTCAACGGCTAATAGTAGATACTTTGAGTTTGGGCTTATTTTGTTTGATTTGACAAGCCTAACACGTTAGAATCCTTACTTTGCTACTACTGTCTACACTAAAAATGGAAAAATAAAAACTTTTTAACAAAAAAATAAAAACCGACTTCAAAAAAAAGCACTAAAAAGTAAAAAATAACTGATTGGTAGTTTTCATTTACTATACATACCTAATCAAATATTTTCGAAGTCGGTGTGCTTTGGCTAAGTAATTAAAGCCTACCTATTAAATACATACCTAATCAAATATTTTCGAAATCGGTGCCAGCCCATACAAAGCAAAGCACACCGACTTCGAAAATATTTGATTAGGTATGTATAGTAAATGAAAACTACCAATCAGTTATTTTTTACTTTTTAGTGCTTTTTTTTGAAGTCGGTTTTTATTTTTTTGTTAAAAAGTTTTTATTTAATAAGAGGACCTCATGTGACGTCATCATAAATACCAGGGGATCATAAGCGTTAAGGAATGTATGTTGTTCAACGAACTTCAACATATATATTTCATTCCTACCAGATGTTACGGCATCTCTAAACTTTTTTATTTTGATTAAAATAAAAGTTGAGTTTGATAAATAGTTTTGTAGAAAATAATAAGTTTTAAAAGTAGAACTGCTGCCAACAGATGGGCAAATGAACACGACAAAATATCAGGGTTCCATTTTAACCTTTTGATTAGAGCGCCCTAAAAATTATTACATAGAAAATAGTGCAAAACATTACAATACTATTTAACAAAAAAAATATAGAAATTTACATATTCAGGTTTAAGTTTTTTGTCTCCGCCGCGATTTACAGCCCTGTCTAACTTTTCAATATGTTGAATCAATTGTTCTTCATCTTTAAGACGTAATTCCTCTCCGATGGTCTCCAAATCACGGATCGGGTCCACCTCACCGTCTACATGAATTACAGTTTCATCATCAAAAGCCCCTGAAAATAAATTAACAATTAAAGGACAACACAACCTTTTGTATGGACCGGTGGCATCATTTTTTTTTCTCTCGCCCTTAATTAAACTTAGATCATAATAAGAACACTATGAAAGAAGTGTATTAAAGAACAAACCGGCTAACTAAACCGCGATGAACCCGAGATATTGCTATTCCATTTTATCTGGCGTTATTTTAAAATAAATACCACTTTTATTCTTCTTAACCAGCTTACGTAGAAAAACTCGAAATCTTTCTAGATCATATATGAGTGCGACTGCTTTATTTGGGTGGGAGATCTGGTTAACAAGTGGATCCATTTTTGTTTTCTATGACTTTATATTTAGGTGTATTTTAAGATTGTAATACTCCTTTTGGGATTTCTCCCAAACAACTTTCTTCAACAATGTTATCGAAATTATCTAATCTATGCCAAAAGGTTGCATGCCCTTTTAAAGAGCTGCTATTTTTAAATTCTGATTATTATTATTACTACTCTACTCAGAGTCAGTAATTCTTTTTATGGACAATGTATACGCTTATACAACAGGATCCCTGAAAATGTTCAAAAGGCTTCTATCGCCAAATTAAAAAAAAAATGTTAAAGAACGTTTGTGTGCTAAAGGCTATTATACAACAAATGATTTTATAGAAGATGGCACACCTTGGGAATGGAATGATCACCTCCAGGCTACTTCAACTTGATAGAAATATTGTAAATTATAATTTTACTTTAAAAAAAAGATAACAGCTAATAATAGTCCCGCTGAGTTTCTTTCACCAGTTCTTCTCAGGTCTGAGGCTTCTTCTTTCCGAACTGGTAGTAGACTCGTGACGTTCAGTAAAAAATTGTAATAATTTAATGCTAAATAAAATATTTTAAATATGAATTTGAACTAACCAACACTGACATACACATACCCGTATATATACACAAACTTTAGCATTCATAACAGCAGCATTATATCTTATTAGTATTTTTATAAATAGCACGATTACGTACAGCTTAAGTCTAAATATAATGAATATACATGTCTGTATTAAAAGTTGCATTAGTTAAAATGAAATTCATTAAAACTTACTGCACAAGTTGAAAATTGCGTCACACGCTTTTATATGCGATAAGAAAGCATTGCCGAGACCTTGACCTTCGGCTGCACCACGAACTAGACCCGCAATATCTACTACATTTAAAAATGCTGGTACTTTACTGAAACAGATTTATTATAATATAATATTAAACACTTGAGTAACAATAATGCATGATAGATAAAATTATTTACCTCACTGGTTTATGGTATTCGCAGAGAAAATCAAACCTCTCATCAGGTACAGGTACCCTACTTGCTGAAATAAAAAAGGGCTTGTTAGCTTTGTGATTGTGTCATCTAAATTATTCTAAGTTATAACACTATACAAATTATTATACCTTAAAAGTTTTAGTTTGTTAACAGTAATATAATAGAAATAAAAAGCTTCGATATTAATATTTAGACATTTAATAGAGAGAAGAAAATAAAAGTGTTTTAGACCAAAATTATTCAATACAGTCATCAAATTCCGATTCTGAATAAGTTACAGTGGTGGAAACGATGCTAGTTTTCCTAACAGTTTCTTCTATTTGTTTGACTTTGTTTGTTTTGCAACATTTTGGATAGACAGCAAATGGATTATCGATTGATCTTAGACGTAAACCTACATGAGTAATTAGTTTACATCGTGCCTCAAATATTTTAAACACCAAATTATATGTAGACAATTTGTCTCTTTCCAATAAATCATTGTGAGTTTTTAAGAATAAAGCTATATATAAAAGTCCCGACAAGCATTTATCTAAGCCAGGATACTTCGGTCTGGCCTCATTGACTGCACAACAAGCTTCCGTTAGTATGTTTCCAACGCTTTGTTCCAAATACCCCAGGTGAGGTAATTCTTTTAATGTTAATTTTGGAAATATGTGCATTTCCTTAAAAACTCTTATGTTATAGTACATATGGGGTTTAGCCAAGAATTTGCGGTGACACTGAGGACTGCAGAATAAATAAATTTTCTTTTTGTATAAGGCTGCATATTGATTATATCCTTTTAGAACTTTTTGAGCTGGCAGATTCTCTGCATAGGTTACTATACATATGCCATTTTCATAAACAAGCGACATATCAACAGATTTAACAGTTGTTGGAATTTCAGGAATTGTTATTTTTGTTGTTATTAAAAAATCTTTAGGGGATTGCAATACTAGGTTTTTATGTTCGGAACAAATCCAATAAAAAAGGTCATTATATTGAATAAGACCTTTTTTATCAGGGGGATATCCACTGTGTCGTAGAATATTATTTTTGAAACAAATAGGGCAAAGGTTTTTGAAACAAGACATTTTTTGTTCAAATACCTCATTAGATACAGCCATAAAATCAACGCAAACTGCATTTGATTTTTCATGAGTTAAGTAATGATGTATTTTTGGAATTAATTCTTCGATTACTTTAATGGCGTCGGAATAGCATTGCCATTTAGAATTATTTCCATTGACAGTATAAAAATTTTGCGTGTCTTCATTGATCCAATTTCTAACAGACATAGACTTTTCTGCCCATTTCGAAAATCTATAATCTATGAAAGGACCCGAATAAGGAGGCTTTCTTTTTAGTATATTATAATAAATTTCATTCTGCGAGTTTTTCAGTACAGTTTTTTTAGTACTTTTAAGATCAAATATTATAAAAGGGAATAGCCCATGTTTTGATAATTCACAGACTTCATATGTAGATTCAGGAATACCGTCTAAAACGAAACCATTAGTCATAGTTCGATTGTCTATAGCCACTGTAATAATTGCTTTCATAACAAGTTCGTTATCAATACAGTTACCGTCGTAGAGTAATGACAATATATTTGAACCTAGAAGCGTCCAATCCATATTTTCCAAAATATGTCTTATAGCCATTCCTTTTGATATACACATCAATCCATAATGTTTAGCCAACTTACTAGCCAGTTCACTTTTGCCTGATTTTGGTGGTCCAATTACGCTAATCCTGAACGGGTAAGGTTTATATAATTTAATAATATCTTCATGTATATATATCAAAGGATTTTCTCTAAACTTTTTAACATTAGCCTCCGTTGAAATAAAATATATGTAAGCACGATGAATAATAGGAAATATTTTGTTTTTACGTTTACAAATATTATAAGGATTGTATAATGTATAAGGGTTTTCTTTTATAAAGACTGGGCACATTCTATTAAATTTGCTTAGCAAAAAAAATCCTTCTAATAAAAGTATTTCGGCTATGTCACAATTTATAATAAAAGTTTGCTCAAAAAATGATTCACTTCTATATCTTAGACCAGAAATTTTATTTAATACTTGCCGCGTTACTTTGTTCATAGTTTTTTTTCCATTAAATGATTCAATTTTAATTTTTTGTTCATCTAAAATATCTTTTAAATTTTGAATATTCTCATCGTCTGCCTCAAAAATACTTTCGATTCTGTTGTTTATCTTCTCGAGGGCGTCATCAGCCTTTTCCCATTCATTTTGATCAACTGGTTCTGGATATTCTTGAATCAGTTCGTTATAAGTTGTAAATAAATTGGCATCTACATTAAACGACCCAGTCGGATCAGCATCTATAATGGTGCTTTGTACAGATGAAGTTTTCAATGTTTCTTTCAAATCTATTATGACTACTTTTTCTACTAGCTCGTCTATTATAAGTTTAATTACGGTGTTTCTGGTTACAAAATTTTGCCAATCTTTTTTTTCTGCTTCTAACTTTTTAATAGCTTGGCTCTTGGCTTCATTCTGTTGTAATTTCCATTTTTTTAGTATTTTTGGGGATAATCTCTCTAGTGCAATTTCAGAATTATTTTCTAATTCAATTATTAAATCAGGAATACAAAAATTAGTTGTCATATCTTCTACATCAGAAGGTGATTTAGGGAAACCATCAATTACGATACCTGTGTTAGTATATGGGTTTTCAAACCAAAGCTTTTTAATCAAATATGTTATTAATATAGATGGCAACGTAGAACCTCTTTCAAAATAGTCAAAAATCATTCTTCTTAATCTTTTTTCGTTGAACAAATAGTATGAAATCTTGTTTAAATCACCATCTTCAGTTTGTAGGTCAACAATTTCTTCTTCATCGTCTACGTCCGTATCGGTGAAAACATTTTCATACTGCCAACCAACCTTCTTAAAATGTTTTGGTATAAGAAAATTATTTATAAAGTCTTCAAAATCAATGTGAAATAAACCAAGTTCTTTAGCTATTATTTTAGATATGGTTGATTTGCCACTACCAATACTTCCAATCACACATATTCTCAATGGCGGGAATTTTTTGAAGGGTTTATTGTAAAATTGATATTTTGTAATATCATTCTGTAGTGTTTTAGAGAAATCTTCATTACAGGAATAATAAAGTTTATTATAATACTTGGTAAAAAAATCGTTTTTACCTTCCCATAAAATACCATACTCATAGAAAGCTACTGGACAGTAAACATTTGTTTCACCTAAATATTGCGGATTATTGTATGTTACGATGTCTTTAACGGATTCGCTATCGTCTTCTTGTATTTCAGGTGCTAATTCTTCACCTGAATAAGGTTTACAATAACATTTACGCAATTTTAATAACACTTCATCTATTACTTCTATGTCACTTTTATTTTCAATTTCCACCTCTATAAATGATTTTAAATTTTCTTCTATTTTTATTTTTAAGCTATCCCAATCTTCACGAAACTTTTCTATTTTTTGGGGGAAAGATGTTAAAGAATCTTTTTCATTTTGTGTCTCAGATATATTTTCATTGGTATATAGAAGATCAAACATCTGAGTCAGAAACTGGTCTAAAATAATTTGCATATCTAACCATGAAGTATCTGGGGGTTTTTCTTGTAATAACTTAGTTTTAATCAAGGGATCTTGCGCCAAAACGTATCTTTCTTGGTAATTCTTAAGACAATTCTGTATGTTGTTATAATATTGGATCAAATTTAAATCAATTTCTCTATTTTCTGTCAATGCTATAGTATAGTCTGGTAAAAATCCAGATTCTATCAAATATTCCCAATATTCTAGATCTGATGGAAAACCGTCTATTATATATTTTCCGTAATTGTCTTCAGAGCCACTACTGTCAACAGAATTAAGATCTATATTTTGTATTATATTAATTATTTCAGTTATCAATTCGTGTGGTGTTGGTTCAATTTCTTTTTGTAACTCATTAGCTGTTATGTATGCAGAAATTTCTTGAGTAACATCTTCATCACCCAATATAGGTGTGGTAGGTTTAGCAAACTCTATGGTTAAGTCAACAGGAGCAAATTTTAATAAATTATTACCAATTAATGCTACTTCGCATTCATCTAAATCATCTACTGGCAAAAATTGTAGTTGATTTCTTAAAGATTTAAATTTATTAAAAGAAGATGAGTCTTCCTCTTCAGATTGTATTATTTTTCGTTTGAGAAGAGGTACGTAAGTGGTTAAAATACTATATTTTGTGTTAAACCATGTATTTAGTTTAGATGTTCTTTCTATCTCACTGTTTTGCCATTTAGTATATCTAGCTTCTTCTATTTTGGGTATAATTTCATAATAAATATTTTTAGCGTAAATGTCATACTTCTTTTTCCTTTCTTCTTCTAAAAATGTAGTGTAGCAAATTATAGGAGCTTTAAATAGCCATGAAAAACATTTAGCGATCATAGTTTTTCCAGAAGTTGGTGTCCCTATTATAATGGTACGACATGTGGGTTCTAAATATTCTAATTTCAAAAACGGCCGTGGATTTCTACAAAATTGCACCATATTCTCTAAAGAAGACAGTAAATATACATGTTTAAACAAAGTAACAGCAAATTTAGCATTCCCATGTATTGATCTTCTCTTTTTTAGTTCCACTGGACATCTATTATACCATAATGATGCATATCTATTAAAACTAATAATACCACTGCGAATCACATTTAGTTCTTCAATTAAATGCCAAAATTCTTCAAAATCTTCAGGAGGTTCATCAAGATATAGGGGTTCTGGGATAAGCACTGGTTTAATGGAAATAAGTAATAATCTCTCAATTAAAATATGAATCATTTGATGTAAAGTTACCCGACCATCTAATTTAATTATATTTTTTGGATCATATTCCATTAATTTACTTTCTATAAATGGAGTTATAACTCCTTTAAAGTTGCAAAGTTGTTGTATTGCATTAAAGACAAAATTAATTGGTTGTTTACAATTATATTTCGGATTGAACACATGAGTAACATATGGTTTTTTAAACTCTGTCAAAGTATAATGAGAGGGCCATCTTACTTCAAAATCTATATTAGAACTAAATGAATTAAAGGTAAAAGAATTATTTAAATAATTAATATGTTTACGATTTCTTTTTGTAATAATATCCTTATTTGGACATGAAATAAATATAATAATATCTGGTTTAAGATCAAATAATGCTTGGCTTTGTTCTAAAAGTACTATTTTCTGAGTCTTATACATTGACTTTTTATGGAATATCACATTTTCACATGTGTTTAAAATAAATTTTCGCAATTCAACTATTTTATATTCCATTTCATCAGCTAAAATCTCTGGTTCCTGTTCTTCTTCTATTTCTTCTTCAAAAGGCATTTCTTGCTCACTACTGAAAGAAGAGTGAGATAAATTTTTATCTTTTTTCGCTTTTCTCTTTTTTAAATTATATAATAAATCATTCAATATATTTTCTGATATGTCCAATGATTCTTCATCTATTAACGAATGATGTAAATAAAGATTGTGTTTGATTGAAGTCACTAAAGGTAAGCCTGACACCACAAATCCTCTATGTTTAACTACTGGTGACTTTATTTTTTCTCTCATAATTGATAATATAACATCAAATGTGCAAATTTTATTATGTCTCATGTTAAATTCTATGCATTTTCCAGTCAAGCTTTTCTGTTCAATTTCATCAAGTAAAATATTTTTTGGACATAGATGGATACAATTTAATTTCTTAGATATAGCCTCTCCTAAATTATAGCTTCCACATCCTTGTTTTCCAAGAACCAAAAATATTTTGGGATTTTGTGTTAAATAAGCTTCTTGAGCATCTGCATCAGTCCAACAATCATAAAATTCCAAATCATCAGGTAATGGGATATTTGTATTGTTGACACCAAGTATTGTTGCTGCTAAAGGTTTCCTAGAATATTCTTCCTTATAGTCATACTGGTTGAATATTTCATAATCCCCATCATACAATATTCCACTATTTATGTCAACATTTTTGACATCATATTTATCATTTAATTCAATATTGCTTTTATGAACTCCAAATTGTTCCATATTATTATTGTATTTAAATAATTATGACATCTGTCTAAAAATTTAATTTTTTCACAGTATTGGTTTTATATGTGGCCTATTAAAAAATAATAATTGTATGAAAAAAATATTATGTAAAAAAATCAAATAAAGAATTTCGTCATAAGTACTAAAATTGTAACATAGAACCTTGTAATATTGAGCCAATGATATGTTTACAATTATTTTTGGAAATCATTCCATATTATAAGTACTATTAACACAAAACTATTAATTAGCAGGCAAAGCTGAACCCAGTACATCAATAAAACAAGATATAATAGAATCACAACAAAGTTTGACAATATTTCAGTTAGTGCCAATAAAATCATTAATATATGGTTACCATAATGTAATTTACAACCTATTTCAGATAGGATTATGTTGGCGATTTTTTTAACTTCTGTATATTTATTAATTGAATAGTTTATAATAATGGACTGAACATTACCAATTGAAAAGCTTTAAAAGTACAATAAATGATAAGATTTCCATTGTAAACCAGTGGCTAATTTCTCTTTAGAAATGTAATTTAAACAAAACTTTCTGTTTTATGTAACCAAAATCGGCATCTATGTCAAAGAGACTATAAGAGATGCCTGTTTTCAAAAATGTATATTGATAATTTCACACATAAAATGTAAAAAATGTAATAAAAAACTGATACTTATTTTCATTGGGATCAATGGTACAAAATGGGAAATTCTCGGCAGCAGCTTGGCTTTTAGTGAGCACATTAAAGAAAGTGGATTTGCCAACATTTGGTACTCCAACTATGCCTACTTTCAAATTTGTGCCCACTCTCCCGATTAGTGGCTTTTTTTCTGGTTCTTCTACTTTTTTAGGTGGCATCCTAAAAAATAAAATGTATATAAATTTAAATATTTTGATTAATATGTATCATGTATTTAAAAAAATTGTAGCTTATCATTATTATTTTTTTAATTCGTTTTGGAAAATATTTTTGATATTTTCTCATTAAATTACATAGATTATTTTGAAAATTATATATATTTTTATTAATTTTATTATATGTTGTTCATTGTAGAGAAACCTAATTGTATTAGTCAACTTTATATAAGATTATAATTTAGCACTTTTTAATAATATTTTACACGTGCATTTCTAATTAACAGAAAGTATTGAAGGTTTTCAAGAATAACCTCTTCACTTTACCTGCTTTAGAAAAATTAAAAATTAGAAGTCAAGATGATATTTTGAAAATATATCTATTTTATACACGTTAATATAACGTTATGCTATATTTTGTATATTTTTTAAAATGTTTTAAAAAGCCATTAAAAATAAGGATACAACACGATGCGGTACTCTATGCCGTATTGCGATATTACAGATAATAAATATATTGCCGTTCTTATTTCTATTTTTTATACGTCAACATAAAATGTCATCTATTTCTGACGGATCGCATAGATTATCTTTTTTTTTTATAATCTTTTTTTTATTATCATTGCGTGAACAGACGCAATCCATTCTGCCAGTGTCACGTTTTGTGAGGAAGACTCGAATGAGATTGAGCGGTAATTTTTAAAATTTGGTAAGTATATTGTGGAATTAAGATTATCTTTCTGATTCATCAAGTACAATAAATACACCACACCCTGTTTTCCAATTAGAGCACTAAAGCGTAATATACGACATAATACTAACTTCGGATGAACCAACTACATCAACGCTCCGCTCAATCGAGCATTTTGAAAAGTACTGCTTTGGGGTGATGCGCGCGAAGATACCAACTCAATAACAGAAAATATAAGAAGTGTTTTTTCTTCAAGGTGGCATTGATCAAAATTTTATTTACATTAACGTTAGTAATATTTATTTATATTTTATTTATATTATTATATATCTATGCGTGCGGGTTGGCGGACGTCACACGTCTTTGAAAACTTGCTAGATTATCTCAGACATGCAGATTTACTCACGATGTTTTCCTTCACCGTAAGGCAAGTGGTAATCATGTTAGAAATAATTCGCTCGCACATGAAAATATCAGAGGTGCGAGACCAGGGATTTGAATCCGCTTAACTATTCTTCTAGCTTCCCAAACGAGCGCGTTTTCACTGGATTACCATTGCCTTATCATTATGTATTATTATATATTTATTAGTTAGTTATATTTTTCATTGAAATTTTAACATTGAATCTAGTGCCCTCTGCTAGTGCACTTGAAAACTAAATCACGCATAGCACACTTCGGCATTCTGCGCCAAAGTGCGGCATTATACTCTTTAGTTGGAAAACAGGGCAAGTTTGCAAATGGGCTATAAATGTATCGCTCGGCTTCCGTCTAATTTTCGAAACGGCTGCATAGATTTTGATTGAACTTCACTGGCAGATAGCTGATGTTATAAGGAATAACTTGGCTACTTTTATTTTAGAAAACGATTTAGGGTTTCGCTAAAGAAACGTATTACACTAGTAGTAATTAGTATACTTACCATTGTACTTTTTTATTTTTAGTATTTCTTAGACAATTAAAAACCAAAGAATTTTCAAGAAAATAAAAGAACTGAAAATAATTAGGAAACCTGCGTGTCTGAGAGAACCTAGGAAATTTTCAAAAGACATGTGAAATTTTCCAACCCGTCCCTCATATGGAGGGAGGATTCATAATAATCATTCAGCAGTGAAAGTTAAAAAAAATCAAGATAAAAGAAGCAGTCATGTGGACTGCTGACAGAAGCGAAAACTTAAAACTATAAGCAAACAGTTGTGATTTTTGAATTGTAATAAATTTGCATTCCTACAATATTACAGTGTAGTCTTTATATAAATTATAGAGTAACAATATTTACAAGATTCATGTGTGGTATAGGTGCCCGTGCCGCTTTCTGCATCTCTTTCTTTCATAACGAGTCAGAAAGAGACGGATGTATACACACTGCAATGTCGCAACAAAAGTTTATACCTTTTATAATAAAATATAAGTAGGTAGTTTCATTATAAACATGAACACTTTATTAATGTTGCCATTTTTTATTATATCAAAATTCGAATCCAAATATTTTATTCAGCATTAAATTATTACAATTTTTTACTGAACGTCATGAGTCTACTATCGTGTGATAATTCAAAACATTTTATTTGATTATGAATTTCAATAATGATTACATTTATTTTCAATGATGATATACTTATAGCTAGTGTTAGCGTTAACAAGTCACGTGACCATGTCGATGACGACTTATATGAAATTACTCCCTATCCAAACCTGCCTTTAGAAGTTTTCACTTCAAAAAAGAACTGAATACATATTTTTCAGAAGTCTGTTCTAAAGATTAGTTTAATTTAAGATATAAACAATAACATTTTAGAAAGGTATGGTTAATTGGTCTTTCACTATATGAAAGGTACAGGCAAAGAACATGGAAAGTCACAATTTTTGTTTGTTTTGTACTGATAACGAATCTATGTCTATGGTACTTGCATTCCCAACCACTGCTTTTTACAAATACTCAACGAATGTCGCTAAAAATACGTTTTTATATGCTTATAGAAATGGGAATGTATAAGATATATTAGTAAAGAAGAATGATTGTCCCAAAATCTACATAGTAAAAAGTTACATACTGCATACTTTAATCTCAATAAAAATATTATATATATATATATATATTGGTCTGAGGTATATATATATATATATATATACCTCAGACCAATAAAAAAGTATTTATTGGTCTGAGATATATACTTATAATATTTTTATTGAGATCAAAGAGATAGAGATATACTTCTAAACTTTAAATCACTTTTTTCTTAATTCATTAGGACATTCCATTCATTGCCTGTACCCTTCTTAGAGGGTCCAGGGTAGCTCTTAACAATAACAATGATTTATTTTTATTTTCTAATTAAGTATACATTTAAATAAAAATGTGACTGGTTTTTCATCAATAATTTAATAACTGTATTTATTTACAATAATAATAATTTATACTATGTGGTTAAAGATGCCCATGGTGGAGACATTGGAGCAGGATTTTGTAGATATGACATCACTACAGCAGATATTGAAAGCATAAATGAGCTTACTATCTGAAAAATATAAAATGCGGTGTTTCAAAATGGTTAATTAAAATAATAAAAATGTGTGAAAGTTAATCTGATCTAAAGTTACAACACTGATATCATGGAAGATAAAATGTTACCTGTTTTGTATCATCCGATACCCTTGAATTGGCAAAACTAATGCTTGAGCAAAATACTGCTGTCCATGCACACCACTTGAGGCGCATCATTAGACCACACATCGAGAAAACCATGCCTAAGGAAATATTTAAAACTCATTTTATAATAATTAGACATTATTATAAATATTATAGTAATTATTGTATTTCTCTGATAATTTCTTTAACCAGGGCAGTTAAATAAATACCAGCATAATTTATCTGTGTATATAATAAAATAGTTGCCTTATCTCTATTTGATTGTAAAGAAACCATTTAAGATTCTCTAAACTCTCATATTATTCTTGATAAAATAAATCATATTATTCTTGATAATATAAATTCTTGATATATATTTAGGTCCAGGTGTATAACAAAATTATTTATTCTTAAGTTATTACCAAGTATATTCATATAATCAGTAGTAAGGTCTTCAGCTGGAGCTGATGTTGGTGGTGGAGGTTTGTATTTTCTTTCACGGTCAGCTCTTCTTGGATCCACTGTTAGTTGCATCTAAATTGACAAAAAAATTTAATAACATATTATAATTTTTACAAATCTATGTAATACTTTTGATGGGAAATGTTTCAATTTTCATATATTCACATGGTATGTATGGAAATAATTTTAATTCATGTATACGATTTAAATATTCTAATTAAGCAGGTACCTTATTGAGTTTTAGCACTGGCCCACAAATAATTAATTTTTTATTGGTATTTGCTAGAAAACTGAACAATTTCTGAAATGTAGTACAGTTTAAATTTCTTTTTTTATATAAACATACGACAACTTAAACAACTCAACGTGTGCTTGATAATTGAATAATTTAATTATTTCACATTTATAATGCAAAAATAAAAATTCAGAAATGACAAAACGAATCACATCTGACTGCTGACATCACACTATTACCACAGATTAAAATTTGTGTTTAAGTAAAAACTAAAAACGTTTATTATTATTTGTCTATGGTAAAAAATGAGAAGTGCCCATAGGTACACAAACTTTGGGCGCGCGCACTTTGGATATGTTTTCGTCCGAATATCACTCGTGCGAACACGAACACACGAAACTACGAATACACACGAATGATTATCATCTTTCAAGTACTATGGGGGCGCGCAGACTGGGTGCGAGTTAGTCGTACGTATACCTGCGTGTAGTCCGACGTCAGAATACAATCCGAACGCTTTCGTGCGTTAAAAATGTGTAGAAAAAATTATAAACTTACTTTATGAAATAAATGTTTGTTTCTTCATACGTGCATAACCATGAAGCAGTATGTGGTCATTATATGTATAAGTCTACCATAATATGATGGAATTCACCGAATTCACGTCTTTTTGAATATACTTATGTGAAATATTTTAAAAAATACTTACGTTTGTAACTGACGGTTTTTTATTATTCGTGGTGTCACAACCGCATTCCACAATGAAAGATGTCGCACTGGCGACATCACACGAGCCCTTTTGTCGTGACATGTTTGAGGCACCATCTTTGAGTTTAGCTACCTATGTTTGTGATCTTGAGTGATTCAAACAATTTAAAGTTGAATTTCTAGAGCTTAGACCTTATTACCCGACAGGCTTTATTACCCGAACCTACCTTATTTCTCGCACCCATTCAGTTCTACGATAACGAAGACTTATAAGAGTTAGTAGCGAAGAGTTATAAGAGAACTAGCATGTTACCGCATTACAAAAAAACCACTGGAGGGATTTTGATGAAATTTGGTACTTATGGTGATAGTTGGTTATCCGGGTCAATATATAGGATACTTTTTACCGCGAGAAAATATCTCATTTCTGAGTAAAAATATAAAAACTGCAATGTAAGAGTATACTAATCTGTAAAGTCTAAGAATTTGGTTTTTGGTCATCAGAACGCGGGCGGAGCCGCGGGCAATGCTAGTTGTTAAATAAAACTAAAGATGTCGGACAGACCAAAACTAAAAAGCTGTAAATAAAAAAATATTCACAAAAGTAAAAAATCTGACGAAATCCGATCCGAGTGAATTAAAAAGAAGATAAGAATTTGACGAAGGAACATAGCATTATGTAGTCAGAGACATGCTTATGTACTTACATGTTTTAATACATATGTACATTTTGTACAATGTGTTTCAAAATAGCTGTGAGTGCGTGTGTATGTCTCCAACTGCTTATTACTATATTCCTTCGTCAAATTGTTCTCTTCTTTTTAGTTGATTTTTTAAGCTGTAGGATTTTTTTAATTTTTGTAAATATTTTTTTGTCCTACATGGCCCAAGTGATACTATACCAACTTATAATTAGATAAACGTATAATAGAAATAAGCTACGAATAATTAAATATGAGTAAGTCATTCGATTAGTAGATTGATAAGTATGTAGGTACCTACTTAACAGGTATTAAAAATGTGTATCTACTATCTAGGCAAATGTAAATGCAAATGATCAGAATTACAATTGATAGAATTATAGTATATAGATAGATACTAGGGAATACCAGTGCAGGTAAATATTAAGATTTGGGTTATAAATTATTAATTACAAATAGCAAGAAATCTTAATGGACAAATAATTGAACTCCTTTGACTCCAAACTCGTAGGTTTCAGTAGTCATTAATTTGTTATTTATTTTGTCTAATTTAACATATTATATTATCCAAGGAAGACACTTCAGAACCATTATATTATTAACGATTTTCCATATAAATATTCAAGACATTGCATGCAAGCCTTGGGCGATGGGCGTTCGCTATTGACCGGCCAATGGAGAGCGACCGCGTCAGATTTGAAATCCTCCCAATATTTCCCTTTTTTACTGTAATCTATCAAATTAGGCTGTATTGTATAATTTAAAGACTGTCCGATAAAAAATAATATATTAAAGACACAAAAAACTATTTACTTATCTACTTATTTTAATATAGATTTTTAACCCACTTCCAATTCCAAAAAGGAGGAGGTTCTCAATTCGTCGGAATCTTTTTTTTTCTTTTTTTTATGTATGTTCACCGATTAGGTACTCGAAGACGCTTGAACCGATTTGGAATTGTTTTTCTGTTTCAAAGGGTTAATATACTTCCCAGGTGGTCTTATATAAATTTTATCGAAATCGGTCGAGCGGTTTTAAAAAAAATCAACAATATGTTTTTTTTAAATAAATTGTTTAATCGAATATGTTATTAAAAATTTCCTTCTTACAAATTACCTGCTTATTACGTCTACACTAAAAATGGAAAAATAAAAACTTTTTAACAAAAAATAAAAACCGAATTCCAGGCACTAAAATGTAAAAAATAACTAAATGGAGGTTTTCATTTAGAATAGATACCAAATCAGATATTTTCGAAGTCGGTGCCATCTCTGGTATATCTGGTATATAAATATGTATTTTACGTATCGAAATATATTAGATTTGCTTTGCAGCGGCTGGCACTGACTTCGAAAATATCTGATTAGGTATCTATTCTAAATGAAAACCTCCGTTTAGTTATTTTTTACATTTTAGTGCCGGGAAGTTGGTTTTAATTTTTTGTTAAAAAGTTTTTATTAATCGCCTCTTTTGATACCCCACTAGAGTTATTCGGATATAAAACAATTTTCAAGGCACATAAATTGGCGCCCAGGATCCGCATTCCGCAATTTCGATTTTTTTAATAATATCTATATACACTATCACGCGTTATTAAAACAAACGGAATGAGGTATGAATCATCAAAACGGTTTTGCCGTTTCGTTATTACCTACAGGGAACATAGGATTGGACCAGCATACTTAAAGTATATACATACAGATTAAACACATAACCTTCCTTTGGGCTTCGGCTTCTACAGTCGGTTAATAAACTTATCACGTAAAAAGTGCTGAGCGGGTTTAAACTAAATTTTGTATGTATGTATTCAGCACTTTTTAACGTCTCACTGCTGGGCGGCATAGCTCGCCCTTCAATACGAGGGGGATCAGGCCATAGTCTACCACTGAGTTTTCTCAGACACGCAGGTTTTCTCACGATGATTTCCTTCACCGTAAGGCAAGTGGTAATCATGTTAGAAATAATTCACACAAGAAAATATCAGAGGTGCGAGACCCGGGATTTGAATCCGCATTACTCGGTTTCCCAATTGAGCGCGTTACCACTGGGCTACCACTGCCTTATTATGAGGTATATAAATTTTTAAAATTTCATTAATGATTTGGCCGTATTTTGACCTTTAGGCGAACACTTGTTTTATATTAATTATATTAATTGTTAGCTTAGATATTATTAATCTTTGTTTATTGTTTGTGACAAACCAGATTTTAATAATGGCTGAAAAACATAGTGCAACGGAAAGAACGGGTGCAATTATACGAGCATGAGTGAAGCGTATCGCGGGGGCCAGAGGAGGTTACAATTAACTAATATGGCGGATTAATTACTAGTTTACCCACGTTTGCTTTTTGCGCTGCACCGGCACAATTACTCATGGTTAATACTTTTTGATTCAAATTAGACTCTTTAATTAGAATTCACAACAATTATAAGTACTACACATTATTTATAATGGAAATGGGAGTAGAAATGTTATTTAACCGATGAAATTTTATAGAAAAGGCATATAACATACCTATTAAAATATCCAGCCTTTCATTATATTTACAAATAAGATACGTAGGTATTAGCTATACTTTGGCCGTAGACCGTGTGATACGCTGGCGATATGATATAAAGGAGCTAAAATTTTGAGTCTACTTCTATTATAACATAACAAAAGATTTTTAAATTAACCTATTATGGAAAGCAATATTATAGGTATATTACCTATTCGGTTACTAAATTAAAAAATAGCTAGCGAAGCCTATGGAGGCTATTATTTTAATACAACGCACATAAAATGCTAATGTAGGTACATATATTCCTGTTGATATAATACATCTAATAAGTATTGATTGAAGTAGAGTTCTAACTGCAGATTTATTCCTATTGTCATCTATACATATAATAGAATTGTAACTAAGCCGAATCTGTACATTAAATATTTTTTGGAAAATATTATTGAAATGAACATTATTATCGATACAGAGGCCGAATCTATAGTTTTTAGAATGTTTGTCTGTCTGTTACCGCATCACAGAAAAACCACTGGAGGGATTTTGATGAAATTTGGTATCCGGTGATAGCTGGTTATCCGGGTCAACATATAGTATACTTTTTATCGCGCGAAAATGTCTCATTTCTGAGAAAAAATACAAAAAATGCACTATAAGAGTACTTATACTAATAAAACGTAAGAATTTGGTTTTTGGTCATCTGAACGCGGGCGGAGCCACGGGAAATGCTAGTTACCTATATAACTTTGATAGAACATAGGTATCTACAGATTATAGAGAAGTTTCGTATTATATCTGGAAATTTTATTTAGATATCTGTTTTTGAGACATTGGCGAAAACTCGTAAAACAATAAATAGTTATTTAATATAACTAGTGTTTTTTTAAAATAATAACAATATATGTATCAAATATTACCTCCTAATATATATTAGATACTATTTACAAAATAGTGCCCCCTTAACCATAGGTGTGCAAACTTATCAGGCTGTCTTATTTTGATAAAATGGCAAGTCGACATCAGAGAAGAAAAATCTGGAGGACCGACGGCGTCACTTACCTACTCTTCGAGGTAGGTGGTTAACCAACAACTTACTAATCGTAAAAAAATGGACTGACACTAAAAGACTTAAATCTCATTAACTGTCTTACTTTTGATTTTAGTTAAAATATCGCGCATAATGTAATTACAACAAAAAAGGAAAACAGGATATTAGATATAAATAGGTACATATTAATTACTTTATTACGTTACTTTTGTTGGGTCCCTAATAAAACTTCGAGATATTCCTTGCTTATATTCTTATATTCAGTACTTTTATAAACGTCAGTGAGTTACATAATTTATAATCATAATTTTCAGTATTACAAACAATTCGTGCCTAGTCACTACTTGGTGGTAAGGTACCGACCTCTCTGTGCAAAAGCGCGGGAGACGGGAAAACAAATGAATATCCGCGCCCTTTTTTATTTTTTTAAAACACATTCCTATCGGCCTTCCTATAAGTAAATGCCTTATACATAAATCATTACAAATCAATCAAATATATTATTTTCTATTAAAACACTCAATATATAAAAATGCAACCTTACACTTTCTTAGTTTTAGGAAATTAACTCGTATAAGTATTGTGTAAGCTTCGAGATATTCCTTGCATATATTTGCAACAACAACTTAATTATTTTATAATCGTCAGTACGTCTGTCCGTGTGGAAAATATTACCGGCTCGGAAACAGTTCTGCTGAGAAGAGCCGGCGAGAAACTTAACAGCTGCTCTTTTAAATAATGAGTTAAATAATTTATATTAATAATTTACAGTATTACAAACAAATCATGAGTAGTCACTACAAGGTGGTACAGATTACAGACATCTCTAGTTCTACCCGCAAAAACGCGGAAAAAC